CATTGAAAGTCCCTGCTGTTGGCTGATGTGTGTGTTGTTTGGAACCTATTAAATTTCTACCCCTTGGATACAGCCACTGAACTCTCATTAACTCCAGGGGGAATCGGTGTGTTTGTAACAGCAAACAGAATTGGGTTTTTTGTGTTTTGCTGAGACTAGAAGGTTTGGAGTATAGGCAGCCGTGGGCCAGACCTCCCCCCTTGCTGAGCAGGACCGTGGTTTCCCCTTTTGTTTCCTGGTGGGTGTGGGCAAAACTCCCTTACCAGCTCCAAATTGCTTACAAGTGTGTTAATTTTTAGGGATTTTTTTTTTCTTTCCCGTAGAATTAAAGAATTTTGAAGTTTAAGAGGGACTTGAAGACCCTCTGGGCCAGGTGTGATGGCTCGTGCCTGTAATTCTAACACTCTGGGAGGCTCAGGTTTGAAGGGATCACTTGAGGTCAGGAGTTTGAGACTATCCTGAGCAAGAGTGAGACCCCATCTCTACTAAAAATAGAAAAATTAGACATGTGTTAGGAGGATCGTTTGGGCCCAGGAGTTTGAGGTTGCAGTGAGCCATCATGATGCCACTGCACTCTAGCCCGGCCAACAGAGTGAGACCCTGTCTCAAAACAAAACAACTAAAAAAACCCAAACACCTCTGGGCCTGAATTTTGTATCATTAGAGCTAAGGACACCTTTGGGAAGGTGAAGAGGGCTATGGCCTCTTCATCTTGCAAGTAGGTTCAAATCCCAGCCCTGCTACTTGGTATCAGCGTGATCTCCGGCAAGTGAGACTTGGAGCTTCCAGAGAGCATTTTGGAATGCATAGCACATTTGGAATGCTATGCACATAGGTTGCATAGCACACCTATGCAAGTACATTTGTGAATCACATGGTGGCATGTGGTTCATGGGTCCCTGAAGCACTGTCTTGGACTCCAGGCAAGAGCTTAAGGTTTTGGCCCCTTTTGGAGCATTTTGGAATGCATAGCACATTTTGGAATGCTATGCACATAGATTGCATAGCACACCTATGCAAGTACATTCGTAAATCACATGGTGGCATGTGGTTCGTGGGTCCCTGAAGCACTGTCTTGGACTCCAGGCAAGAGCTTAAGGTTTTGGCCCCTTTTCCCCCTCTCTTCCCATTGTACAGGTGAGTCTTTGTGGCCCTGAGAGGTGAAGAGGCTTGCCTGGGGTTGTATCCTGTTTAAACTCATTGTCTACCCATGACTCCTTGGTGGCTTCTGTTTGCTCAGTCCTGAATCAGGCCCTCAGATAGCGGTGGGGAAATCAAGGACGTTGGCTCACCAGTGTGGAACAGGATTCTCGACTCATGAGAACTCAAACACCGCTCCTCAAACATATACCAGACATGTCAAACTAGCGTACTTCCCAATCCCTGGGAGGACTAGTTAAAATACAGATTGCTGGGCCCTACCCTGGAGTTTCTGATTCGGTAGATCTGGGGTGGGAGCCTGAGAATTTGCATTTCCAGCCAATTCCCAGGTGACACTGCTGCTAGTGGTGCAGGGACCGCATGTCAGGAACCATGTCCCAGGGAATGGTAGCCATTCACTTGGATAACTTAGACTGTCCAGGGAGGAGCTGGGGCCCTTTCTGGCTCCAAGGGCTGAATAAGCACTTCCTGCATCCATCCACTGTGCCCCATTTTCTAGCTTGGTGGCTCTTCAGGGGGGCAGTACCACTTGTTTGGGAAGCGTGTGGCTGCACCTTTTGTTCTGACAGTGTTTAGGGGTACTAGTGGCAGAGTGCCGAGGTTGTCCTTGCAGTGAGCAGAGCTGTCCCTTCCAGAATCCAATAGCGCTCCGTTGAGAAACAGGAACACACACCTTGCTTTTCCCTGAACATGCCCCGCACCTTCTCGTTGGCAAGTCTTTGCTCATACACTTCTCTCAAAATCTCACAAACTAAAAACATAACAAAACCCAAACCTTTGCCTGATTGCTTTCAGATTTTCCCCCTGGCAGGATGCTATTTCTCTGGGACAGTTTCCTTTGAGCCCCCCAAACACCTTTATGAAACCTCCATACTCTGGCCCTGGAGCAGCATTATTGGGGTTTATCAGATTTACATACAACAAACCCCAAACTCCCTCCCGTGGTCCCCAACCCTTTGGTGACTGGCCCCGACTTTATCCGCTGGTGACACTTCTTATCCTGAGTCAGGCCTCCCTCATTTGCTTAGTGCTGGCTTTGGTTTGCACTTGCTGCTTTTTTATGTGAAATTAAACCTTCTAAATACTCTTTTTTTTTGAGACAGAGTCTGAGTGAGTGCCGTGGTGTCAGCCTAGCTCACAGCAACCTCAAACTCCTGGGCTCAAGCAATCCTGCTGCCTCAGCCTCCCGAGTAGCTGGGACTACAGGCATGTGCCACCATGCCCGGCTAATTTTTTTTTATATATATTAGTTGGCCAATTAATTTCTTCGTATTTATAGTAGAGATGGGGTCTTGCTCTTGCTCAGGCTGGTTTTTTTTTTTTTTTTTTTTTGAGACAGAGTCTTGCTTTGTTGCCTAGGCTAGAGTGAGTGCCGTGGCGTCAGCCTAGCTCACAGCAACCTCACACTCCTGGGCTCAAGCGATCCTTCTGTCTCAGCCTCCCAAGTAGCTGGGACTACAGGCATGTGCCACAATGCCCGGCTAATTTTTTCTATATATATTAGTTGGCCAATTAGTTTCTTTCTATTTATAGTAGAGACGAGGTCTCGCTCTTGCTCAGGCTGGTTTCGAACTCCCGACCTCGAGCAATCCGCCCGCCTCGGCCTCCCAGAGAGCTAGGATTACAGGCGTGAGCCACCGCGCCCGGCCTCAGGCTGGTTTTGAACTCCTGACCTCGAGCAATCCACCTGTCTTGGCCTCCCAGAGAGCTAGGATTACAGGTGTGAGCCACTGCACACGGCCGTCTAAATACTTTTTGATAAAGTCACCTAGGCTCATGGTAAATACAGTACACAAGGGCATATAGTGAAAAATAATCCTTCCCCACTCCCTGCAGGCTCTCCTTCCAAGATAACTACCAGTCCCCAGGTGGAGTGCTGTCATACTTTTGTGTTCATCTAGGAACATTCTAGGTTTATGCAAACATTGCTGTGTATATTGCATCTTTAATGGGAGGTGTGTGTTGGTTTGTTAATGGTGCCAGACACAAACGTTCCTCTTTTGACTGGATGCAGAAGCATAGGGAGTGTCACACATCGGTTCCTGTAGAGGTGCCTCATTGTTCTTGGTGGCCCGGAATAGCCCGTTGTGTGACTGTAAGATGTTGTTAGACCAGTCCTCTGTTTGCAGACGCTAAGGTTGTTTCCAGTCTTGGGTACGGCATAGAGCTGCAGTTGGGTCATCTCGAACTGCTTTGCCCCCCGTGACTGTGTTTGTAGAATGTGTTTCTAGGAGGGGACCGTTGGGTCAAAGCTAGGTGGAGAGAGTGAGAGTTTTCACGTGTGACGGTGAGGACCCCTCTGGGAATGAGGGGAGGTTTCCTCTGGGGGATCGGGCTGACCCCAGGTTGTACCCTTTTAGGGAGCTTCCTCCCTAACTAGCTGTCGTGTGCCTGTGGGCCAACCCTTTGGGCTCTCTGGGCCTCCAGTTTGATGTCTGTGCTGTGATCCCGGACTCAGGGGTCTGCTCACCCTCAAGGTGCCTGTGGTTAGCATTGAATTTCCTCTCAGGGCTGGGTCTCTGTTTTTACTCGGGGTTTTCCTGGAGCCTGCCCAGGAGGCTGGAGAGCTCCATCGTGTGGGTTGCGTTTTTTGAAAACCATTCATTGTCTGCCTTTGTGAGTCTGCTGGAAAACGCTTTGCCTTCCGTCAAAAGCAAAACCACTAGGAGGACCAGGTGTGGCGGCGTCGGAATGGACCCTGGTAACCCGCCACCGGTGACTCCCCTGTAGACAGGGGGAGAGACAGAGGCACCACGAAGCCCGCGCTGCCACCTGCCCAAGCGGCACCACGAGGTGGGGGGTGGTGGGTGTCTTTCGAGCTAGTCACCTTTCTGGATGTCACTTCCCTTCCCACCCCTGTGCTCTTGGCGTGGCTCTCCTTTTCTGTGTCCGTAGCTTTCCTTCCTCAGGACGTGAGCCGCACCGAGCCGTGCCATTGCACGGGCCTAAGCGCAGGAGACCACCGTCAGGCATGGAGTGGATTCCATCCCTCGCAGGTGAAGCTCGGATGGGTGGTGGAGGAAGGGTGCACGTGTTCACGCGAGATGCCGGGAGACAAAAGCAAGGGGTGGATTGACAGGAGCGGGGCTGGCCCTTTTCAGGTGAGAATCAGGAATGCTATTGGCATTGATCACTTTGGAGGAGGAGCTCAGACACCATGCCTGCGGTGACAGAGCCGTGAGAACTTTCTGGTGTGTGGGGTGTGTTTTTACTCAGTTGTGCTCTGTTAGCCTAATAAATGCTGTCGTCTTCGACAAGGAAGAATGAGCGCCTTCGTTTCCTTGAAGTGTGTGGCCTTCTTGGTCTGTCTTGCGTGATTTCCTGCGTTCACCATCGGGCATGGTTGTGGAGAAGAGATATTTCTTTGGGATGAGAACGATGTTGGCGCCTGGGTGGCGACTCTTGGCGGCTTGGTCGTGGCCTTGCCTGTTAACAGGGACACAGTAAGGAAGAGTGGTGGCTGTGGTGAAATGGAGAGCTCATCTCCATCTGAGCGGGTGGCTGCGATCCAGCTGTATCTGGTGGCACGAGGCCGGGTAGACCTGATCTGGTATATTTTTTTTTTTTAAGAGAAGCCCAAATCTAGATTGTTAGGTGAAGTTTCCCAATTTTTATATTTTGGCAACAAATTAAGATTTTTACAAAACTGTTACCTGGGACGCAGAAAGCCTGACCTCTGAGACAGACTTTGAGGAGGAGGTCGGGTAATTCTAGGAGGAGGAACACTGAAATGGCACCAGGAGTTTGGGGACAACGTGCACTGTGTCCCACGCTCCCCCTCCCGGTGGGCCCCGGCCTCCCTGACTGCTTTCAAATGAGTGGTTCTGTGTCTCTTTCAGATCCTGTCTCTACAGAGAGAACAGCCCAGAAAAGAAAGTTACCCAGCCCTCCACATTCTTCCAACGGCCACTCGCCACAGGAGGCGTCAGCAAGCCCCATTAAAAAGAAAAAGAAACCCGGCTTACTGAACAACAATAACAAGGAGCAGGTAAAGCAGCCGCTGGCAGCCTGTGTGTGTGTCCGGGCCGCGGCGGGTCTCTCTGGGTCTCTCTAAGAGCCAGTGTTCTCTGCACTTAGCAAGCCGCCTTGCACTGGCTGTCATTTGCGTAGGACAGAAAGGGCAGTTCGAAGTGGGGCTGTGCAGGACTTCCCAGTGGGTTTTCAGGTCTGTTTGGGGACAGAGCAGTGACACAGATGAGATGAGGGCATTGTTCTTGAAGGGTCAGGGCTTTTCTTTGGATTTAGTGTTTTCTGTGTGGCCTGAGGATTTTCCCCCTCCTGGGCCCAGCCAGTACGACTGATTCTAAGCTCCGCCTGGAGGTGGTTGCTCCCTTCTGGTCTCAGTTTTCTCATCTGTAAAATGGGGGGTTTGGGTCTATGGTAGGAGGCACTGCCTGAGGTAGACTTAGGGTGATGAGCACACACCTGGCAGCAGGACTCTTTCTCAGACCCCACCCTCCCCTGGCAGCCAGGACCAACCAACTAGATATGGAAAATCTATTCGCTGTTTGGATCTTGCCTAAGGAATCGTCTAGCTTTAAAATTCTTTGATGCAGGTTACATACTCTTCTGTGCATTATTGAGTCCTGGAGCAGGCCCCGGGGATTTAGGCTGAATTAAACAAGATTGTTTCCTTCACGGGAAGAGAACTTGCAATGGTTAAATGCCCAGGCCCGTGAGAGGTGTGTGTTTCTGAGCACAAATCTATTTTCAATCTCAAAATTACATAGCGAAATGCCAGCTCTGCTTTTGCCGTGTGGCTGTGGGCAAGTTAACCTCTTGTGTGCCTGGTTTTCTCATACCGAAATGGGGATATTGCTGCTACTACTAATTTCACACGGTTGTTGTGAATATTAATACTGCTAAATGACATCAATAATAATAAAAATTCAACCAGGTTCTAGACTAAGCTGTATGCCAGCCACAAGCCACATGTGCTCTTGAGCATTTGGAAGCGGGAAGTGTGATTGAGGAACTGAGTTTTTCATTTTATTTAAATTTAAGTGGCTACCAGTGGCTTGTAGCTACCGTGTTTGATTGTATTGCACAGGTTTAAGTGAGTTAAGAATTGTGTTATAGAAGGGACTGGTGGGTCCTAAATAAATTTTGAGGTGCATTGCAATACATAATAGTGTAGATGATGACAATACTAAAAGCACTGTTTGCTGCTGTGACAACCCCATGAGGAAGGGCTGTAATGTGTCCACTTTACGGATGAAACACGCAGGTTCAGAGAGGCTGAGCTACCTCTTCAAGGTATCAGAGCAAGTAAGCAGCTGCATTTGAGCTTATATCTGTCTGTCTGGCTTAAAGCCACTGACACCCCTGTGACCCCGGAGCCTTCTCCTAGCTGTCAGGACTGAAGGCTAAGAAAGAAACATGAAGGCCACAGATAATCCTCAGACTTTTACTTAGCCAGTAATTGAACTTCTGGGCCAACGCTTCCTTACTTATGCCCAGTAAGTCCTGAGAGCACATTGCTGTCCCTTCTGTGCAGAAATAGTCTCCTCATGCCCGCTCTGTGTGTGCGCACACATGCATGTGCACACGCTTTGTGAGTTTCTACCTGTCATTTGGGAATTGACTCGCGCCCATTTTTCTGGAAGCTTATTTACCTGGGCAGTTCAAGGCGCTCTCTCCTCTCCCTGCCCCATCTGTGTGTTAGCACCATTTCCATAACACTTAGGCCTTGTGACCACAAACATGTGTTTGTGAGTCTGGGTCCCCCTCTGGGCTGGCAGCCTCTGAAACGTGTCCAGCGTCTGGCACTGCTGGCTCCCCCAAGTTAGACACAGAGTGGGGGCTTGGGAATACAGAAAGCACTTGGGGTGTGGGACATGGCAGAGAACGAGTGAGGGGACGCAGGGCATGGGTGTGCCCCCGAGTTCCCAGTCGTCTTCGGTGTGGGTGGCAGAGGGAACGCGGTCCACCTGGACACCAGGCTGGTTCTGGCCCGCGGCGTCGGGGAGTCTTGCTGTGTGGCCTTGTTAGTTGCTTTCTCATCTTTGAGCCTCAGTTATGTTGTGAAATAGGGGTTTGAACTAAGAACATCGTAAGGCTGACTACAGGTTTGTGTTTTGAACTAAAACTCCCAGGCAGAAGGGCCAGGAGATTTTTGTTGGCAAAGAAGTTATAGCCTTAACTGTAAAGAGAAGAGATTCCTGACCTTCCACCCCATAATTCCTTCTAACATACAATGTTTGCATAGTTGGGACATTCTCTCTCATGTACAATCTGTTTCCTCAAGGGGAACTTAAATCCTTTAAAGGGAGTGCCTGGCATGATCATTGCTCACTGCAACCTCATATGCCAGGCCCGGGTGATCCTCCTGCCTCAGCCTCTCAAGCAGCTAGGAATACAGGTGCACCACCTGTGCCCAGCTAATTAAAAACATTTTTAATAAAGATAGGGGTAATGGGAGGGGGGTCTCACTATGTTGCCCAGGTTGGTCTTGAACTCTTTGGTTCAAGGGATCCTCCTGCCTTGGCCTCCAGAGTGCTGGGATTACAGGCGTGAGCCACTATGCCTGGCGGGGATCTCTTTTATAAGGGCACTAATCCCATTCATGAGGGCAGAGCCCTAATCACTTCCCAAGGGCTCTGAGTTTCTAACCTTGGGGTTAGGATTTCGACATAGGAATTTTGAGGGTGGAGGAGACAAACATTCCGACTTATAACAGTACAACACTTAGAAAGACCTAGCTGGAGCTGAGCAGAGCCTGCCCTTCAGACATAGGGCCTGTGCCCTCTCCCTGACCCCACCCCTCCCTGGGGTCCCACACTCCGCCTGTTCTGCTCGTTCCATCCGCTCTCGGGCTCTGTAAGCTGTCACTTTCTTTTGACTTCTGGCATATATCAAGACTCCATCTCTTCTCTTTTCTTTTTCTTCACTCTCGTTTCTCTTCTGTGTTATAGTGGTCTGGAAAGAAAGCCATTCTGACATTGGAAAAACAGATAAACCATATGTTTCCACTTTTGATGGAGACCTTTTATTGCCAAGCAGAGATAGGGGTTGGGTTTTAACTTTGGCCCCTGTTTTACCCATTTTTTACATATTTGGAATTTATTACTTTTAGGGGAGTTTTTTAAAAAAAAAAGTCCTTCGTTCCAATGGCTTCACCCCGTAGCAAAGGTTTGAAAATGCCCAGGACGCTCCTGGCATTTTGTGGAGGGAGGGTCAGGTTGCTAAGTGTCCTGTAGTAGATGGGACAAGAAATGTCTTACCCAAAATGTAATTGGGGCCTTTACTGATAAGTATCACTCTAATCGGCCGGGCGGGCGCGGTGGCTCACGCCTGTAATCCTAGCTCTCTGGGAGGCCGAGGCGGGCGGATTGCTCAAGGTCAGGAGTTCGAAACCACCCTGAGCAAGAGTGAGACCCGTCTCTACTATAAAGAAATTAATTGGCCAATTAATATATATAGAAAAAATTAGCCGGGCATGGTGGCGCATGCCTGTAGTCCCAGCTACTCAGGAGGCTGAGGCAGCAGGATTGCTTGAGCCCAGGAGTTTGAGGTTGCTGTGAGCTAGGCTGACGCCACGGCACTCACTCTAGCCTGGGCAACAAAGTGAGACTCTGTCTCAAAAAATAAAAATCTATCTATCTATCTATCTATCTCACTCTAATCTTTAGTTCTCAGGACATTTGAGTTCACAGTGTTTTTTGGGGAGGTTTTCTCCCCCATCCCCATTAAAGAATTCAGAAATAATCTGTTAGCAGATTTGTACAAAATGACCTTAGGAATACTTTTTTTTTTTTTTTTTGAGACAGAGTCTCACTTTGTTGTCCAGGCTAGAGTGAGTGCCGTGGCATCAGCCTAGCTCACAGCAACCTCAAACTCCTGGGCTCGAGTGATCCTTCTGCCTCAGCCTCCCGAGTAGCTGGGACTACAGGCATGTGCCACTATGCCCGGCTAATTTTTTATATATATATATCAGTTGGCCAATTAATTTCTTTCTTTTTATAGTAGAGACGGGGTCTCGCTCTTGCTCAGGCTGGTTTTGAACTCTTGACCTTGAGCAATCCGCCCGCCTCGGCCTCCCAAGAGCTAGGATTACAGGCGTGAGCCACAGCGCCCGGCCTAGGAATACTTTTGATCAAATGTGGCAAAGAAGTGATGGGGCCCCTCCTCACCTTCTCTGAGCACAGGGTGTATACGTGTCACAAATGGGTGGCCTAGAACTTACTTTCTTGGGCCCATGCATTATCTCAAAAACTGGAACGTTTTGCAGCAGTCCTTTGTTGGGCTGGGGCAGTGTATTAACAGTTGAGACAGTTGAGGGGACAGTAGGGATTGCTGGCTTCCCTCCGAGGTCAGGCAGCACTAGGCCAGTATGTGCACCTAACACCTAGATTGCTGGAGCTGAGTGGGGGCTGCCCCCTTAAGTTGGGCGAGAGCTCTGCCCCTCCCTGCTGTCTTTCCTACCTCGAGGCTGAATGCTAGTGCATCCTCACCCTCCAGGGCTGGGCCTTTTTTTTTTTTTCTTTCCATTTGAACATACTTTGCAGTACCTATGATTTCGATCAAATGTAGGAGAATGAATGCTGATGCTAGGGCCACTCGCACTCCATGTATGGTACCTATGTGGCCTCTGTAGGAATTTGAGTTTGTGGTCTCTCATCCCCTATACGTGTACCCTGTGTTCACACTTAGCCAGAGCACTCATGTGGGCCAGATGCTGTCTGGAGCCTGTTTTTGTAAATAAAGTTTTATTGCCACCCAGCAACATTCATTCATTCATCTTTGCTTTTCATCTGTGTTTGCTTTTGTGCTACAGGGGCCTAGTTGAGAAGTTATAACAGAGCCTGTACGGCCTGCAAAGCCTCAGCTGTTTACTGTCTTTATAGACCCCTTTATAGAAAGTTTGCCTGGCTCCTGATGTAAATGAAGGTATTCCGGGAGCAAATAGACAGGCCTTTCCTATTTTGTTGTTAAGCCAGCCTGTGGAAGGAGCAGGGAAATGAGAACATTTGCTTTCCTGCAGTGTCCCATAATAACCTGCAGTTATCCCATAACAACACAGGCTGCAACCTGTTTCCCTTGCTGTCAGGCTTGGTAGCACACCGTTTACTTGTGGGGGAGAAAAATCATAACTCATTTTGTCTGAAATGATGTGCCTTTTCCTTTTTAAATGTTCCATATTTGTTATCAGATTATTTTTACGGAGCAGGAAACACTTACAAGCAGCAGATAAGGAAAATATCTGATTGACGAGCAGACTAACCGGGCAGCTAGTTCTCAGCAACCGGGGCAGCTGCAGCAAAGGAGGCAGTCTCCTGAAAAGAGTGTGGAGCGGCCTGGCCGTGCTTGCGGTCCTCCTAGGGACACCCACACCCCGCCGGGTGGGGCTGGGGCGGGGATGGTGGCGCCAGGGGAGGCTTAATTCCGAAGGTCAATACCCTGGCTCCGGTGAGAGAGGACTTGAGTTGGTGGTTAGGGAGACCAGATGTCACATTTGATTCTCAGTTTTGATTAGATCCTCGCAACTCTCCTGTCCTATTATTAACTCTCTGAAAGGAAGTCGGACACTGAAAATGTGACTTACTGTTACCTTACAAAAACCACAGTAGCATCCTCGAAGAGCTCTCTCAGGTTAGAAATAGTTCTGCTTGCTCCATACAGTTTATCTTTCAATGGAAATTACTCCTCTTCTTCCCTTCTTCCCTCCTTCCTCCTCTTCCTCCTTTTACTTCCTCTGCAACCAACCCCCCTCCCCTAAGTCAAGCAACCATTTTCCTTGGTAGATAGACCCTCTACATTAATGCTTTTCAACTACAGATAGTTTTGCCCTCGCCCCTCGGACGTTTGGTGATGTCTGCAGACATTGTTGGCTGTCAGTTTTGTTGTTGTTGTTGTTGTTGTTTTTGAGGCAGGGTCTCGCTCTGTCACGCCGGATAAAATACAGTGGGATGATCATAGTTCACTGCAGCCTGACATTCCTGGGCTCAAGCAGTCCTCCTGCCTCAGCCTCCCGAGTAGCTGGGACTACAGGCGCATGCCACCACACCCAGCTGATTTTTCTTTTTGGTTGTCACAGTTTTCTGTGTGTGTGAGTGTTACTGGCACCTAGGCAGCGATGCTGCTACCCACCCTGCACTAGATGCTATTCATGGTCCCTTCTGTTAGGGTTTCGGTAGTCTTCTTACTGTTGAGATGTTTTTCCCCTCCAGCTTTGTGTGTTATGTAGAACTTATTTTGTATTACGGAGAATGTTCTCTGAGGGGGTCGCTAAGTTATTAGAATCTCTTCTGTGTCAGGCATTGCCTTGTGTGGGGTATAGGGAAAAGAGAGGGTCTGGGAGAGCTTGGTTTTGGTCTTTGCTCTGAGGTCAGATAAGTCTTTTTAGCTGAGTTTTATCATCTGTGAAGTAAAGCTAGTACAGGTTGAGTATCCCTTATCCGAAATGTTTGGGACCAGAAGTGTTTTGGATTTTGGATTTTTTTTAGATTTTTGGAATATTTGTGTATATATAATGAGACGTCTTGGGGAAGAGACCCAAGTCCAAACACAAAATTAATTTTCGTTCCATGTATACTTTACAGATATAGCTTTGAAGGTAACTTTATGCCATATGTTTAATATCTATGACCTGTCACATGAGGTCAGGTGTGTACTTTCCCACTTGTAAGTCATGTCAGTGCTCTTTGGAGCATTTCAGAGTTTTGGATTAGGGCTGTTCAACCTGTAGCGTCTGTCCTAAGTACCTGGGTACTTAGTATCTGGGCAGTTTTTAGTGTGACGTGAAGATGGTGTGTGCACAGCAGTATATTAAAAAAGTGAAACATGAAAAGAATATTGTTAAAATGATGCTATTCCCTGGAAACCAAGTAGATCGCTCTGTCTTAAAAGTTGATGTGAAACAGGGAAATAACTGGGTTAAAGAATTACACAATCACACTTGGCTCTTTGTAGAAATTAAAGTAGGGAGGCTTAGAGTGATTAACAAAGATCTGCTTGTGGGGAGGGAGGGCAAGGGCAATATATGTAACCTTAACATTTGTACCCCCATAATATGCTGAAATAATAAAAAAAAAATGGGGAAAAAACCCACAAAGGTCTGCTTAAATGAGCATCTATAAGACTTTTTATCAAGGATTGTAGAAATACCAGGCATTTTGAGAACATTAAAACCTTATAATAAAAGCCAGGAACAAGACAAGGAACAAGCCAGGAACAAGATTGGGTTCCTTCAATCTGGGTGACCCTTTCACATTATCATGGAGGTCCTAGCCATTAAAAGAAAGAAAAAAGAAAACTAATGCAAAAGTGTTAGACTTGAGCAGACACAACTCTGATGTTACTTAGAAAGATTAATAATATGATTTTCAGTCAATAAACGATTAGAATTACTTATTATAAGGTCAATATTAAAAAGCTAACAGCATTTCTATGTACCAACACTAACCATTTAGGAAATATAATGGAAAAAGGTTCCCATTCATAGGATCAACACAGAGTATGCAGTTATCTGACCAATATGAGATATCTGTGGAGGAAACTGTAGTGTTTGATTGAAGGACAGATAAGCTTATTGTACAGTGATGTTTCTTCAAAAGTAGGTAATATGGATGTGGCTAAACTATTATCCAGGGTTTTTTACTGCCAAGGAAATCGAGGCTCAAAGTGGGTTGAGTAGCTTTCTTAGTAGGGTCACACAGCTAGTTACCTGGTCTTTTTGAACTATTTTGCTGGACTTTCTCACACTTCCTAAGTAGGATTTCATATTGGTTTCTGATAGACATTCTCTTTATGAATTACTTCTGAGTGATTTTTTGTGTTTGGAGTGTGGCTTTGCACGATTTTATAATGTTTCTTTAGAGAAGCATTTCTCGGTGATGTTTTGGGACAGGAAGAGGTCTAGCTCCCGTGAATTGGCCACCCATCTCATCTTTCTGCCATAGTTTATTTCGGATAAGAGTTGTGGCTTCCCGGCAGATACAAGGACCTACCACGTTTAAAACTTTTCCATACCTTTTTAGGAAGGCTCTTATTGGCTCATAAATACGCTGTGTATTGGGGGTAGACATATAAACAATTTTTTGGTGACTCAAATCTAATTATCTGTTCTCCAGAGGCCTGCTGTTTAAAGAATCCCTGGAAAATTGCAATGTTTTTATTAGCTTTGTAAATTTAGACTTCCATAGGTTAGGCTTTTAACTGTACTAGCAATGTTAATATGGGGGCACTGTGTTAAATGCATACATTATATTATCCCATTTAATCCCAATACAATACTATGAAGTGTTAGGTAATACCATCTCCATTTTACAGATGAGAAAATTGAAGCTGGGAGATTAAGAGACTTGTTCAAGGTCGTGCAGCTGGTTAATGGTAGAGTTAAAATTTGAACTCGGGTATGCCTGGGTTGTAGTCGTGCTGTCCTGTTAGAGGTGCCTAGTAGTTCTTAGAATCAGCTTTCAATTCATTACCTCTTAAAATAGAAGAAAGAAAGAAAGAAAGAAAGAAAAAAAACCCCTTTCATAATAGCTAATGACCCACTAATGCTGTATTTAGTAGAGTAACTCAAGATAGCTTGGCTTTTTAATAAATTTGTGAAATGCTATAATTTTCTTTTATTGTTATTGTTGTACTTGTTCAAATTCCCTTTGCGAATGCACATTTGTTTTGAAACCAAACCTGTCTTTCTTGCCTACATTTCAGTCAGAACTAAGACATGGTCCGTTTTACTATATGAAGCAGCCACTCACCACAGACCCTGTTGATGTTGTACCGCAGGATGGACGGAATGATTTCTACTGCTGGGTTTGTCACCGGGAAGGCCAAGTCCTTTGCTGTGAGCTCTGTCCCCGGGTTTATCACGCTAAGTGTCTGAGACTGACATCGGAACCAGAGGGGGACTGGTTTTGTCCTGAATGTGAGGTTAGTTCCCGATGAACGAATGCAATTACCTGCCTCATTTCCTCTCCTTCCTCTTTCTTCCTTTTATTTTTTTAATTTTTCAAATAATCTAGGCGACCGGGGAAAGAGACATTTCTTGCCTTCTACCTGCTCTCTCCTGGTCACTTATTTTTTTGGACCAGCTGTTGGCCGTGGCCGCAGGACGGCAGCTCTCTCGGAAAGACAGTTGCACTGAATATTGTTTCTCCTCCTTCCTGGGTCTTTGGAGCGCTTCGAGATCTGCAGCTGTCTCTGATTCTTCTGGGATGAACGTTTTGAAAGTTAACTCATCCATCTTTAAAGAGTTCACACGTTTTGCAAAGACCTCGTGCCGTCGTTCCCCTTCTTGGATGATGTTTCCTGCCGCATTGATGAATCATCAACAGTAGCCAAGCTGGGAAGACCAATTGCGGGTGTATGTTCCACGTGGTGGCCATCTGATGCTTTCTTTTATGCAGCGAGTATTTCTTGAGTGCCTGTTAAGTGCTGGGGATTCAACACTGCACGAAAATAGGCACGGATCAACGTTCTTCTCAGCAGAAAAGGGAAAAAAAAAACCCAAAATAAATGAAGTCATATTTAATGAGTTAGAAGAAAAGTGCTCTAGAGAAGGCGACTAGAGAATGGGAGTAGGAAGCCTTAGAAGGGTGCAGAGTGTTTTCATTGTAAATTTCGGGGTCTGGGGGGCCTCACTAAGATTTGAGGAAGACCGAAAGAGGAGGGGAGGAGTGAGCTTTGCAGCCATTTGGGGGAGATTTTCCGAGCAGAAGGAGGTGCAGGTGCCGGGCTGGAGGCAGCAGCTTACCGGGCGTAGTGCAGTCGGTGCACGTGCTTCATTTGTAGCACAGCTTAAACCCTCCACGTTAAACCGATTATTAGGGTTTCTGCTGTTCTCAGGTGGCTTTTATTCTTGGTGACCCCCAACGATGATGTGTTTTTGAAACGCTGAAAATAAGAATGTCATCTCCAAATTAATTACACATTAATTGCACATTAATGTGTTAATTTAACACACCCTTTAAATGTGTCTCTTGGATTCCCAGGTACTGGAGTTAGATCTCAAATGGGAAGGCTTTCTATGTATGCTATGGAAAGGTCACCCAGATGTCTTTAGTGGGGGAAAAAGCAAGCTACAGGACAGTGTCTGTGGTATGCTTTTGTGTAGGGAAATGACATGGAAAGAAATGAGAGGTCAGATCCGTGTGATGATGACGTCGTTCTGCCTCTAACATAGTGGAAGACGGCTGCTGTTCTTTTGGGTTATGCAGGATGGAGACATGTATAAGATATGCTTTGCTCAGCAATGCCCTCCTCTGTGCTTGGAGCCTGACCTCATTCTACTAGGGTTAGTGTGGGAACTGGAGCCTTTACATACATATATATAATTTTTGCCTTGAGTAACTCTTCCCAATTGTTTGAGGATATTGCAAAAAAGGTAGTGGCTCAGATAGGATGCTTTCGCTGCAAGTCATAGTTCCTGATGAAGGCAGCTGAAACAGCAGGGCTTGTTATCCTGTGTGGGAAGAACCCAGAGGCGGGGCCAGTGTCTGTTCAGAGCCAGGCTCTTGGCATCTCATTGTGGAGGTGAGTGTCCCCATAGCCCTAAGATGGCTGCTGGGGGTTCAGGTGACATGTGTGGACAGACTAAAATCCCCCTGAGAGGAGGGTATCTCACCTTGCATCTCTTGTTATCAAGCGGATTCACCCATTATCTCCTAGCTGATTTTCCCTTGGGCTCATTGGCTCACCAGTCCTCAGACCCTCCCCTCCCAAAAAATAAGTTTGAAAAATGCTGATCTGACACTTTGTGTGTGGTAGGACCCAGGCACTGCCAGCCAGGAAGGAGATGGGGGTGTGGTTGTGGGAGGCAGCCCAGGTGTTAACCATGGATAGTTACTTGGAAACACACAAGAATCAAACTAGCAGGTGTTCTGTGTCTTAAGGTTTAGGGCCCCAAATTTCTTCCAGGGTAGAAACGGTAAGGCAGGCACTGGGAAAATGAGAAGTGTCAGGCCCTGGCAGCTAAGCAAGTGGACACGTGTGTGTGTGTGTGTGTGTGTGTGTGTGTGTGTGTCGTGCACTGTTCTCAGCTTCTGAGTGTCTCGTGTGTGTTGGCCTTTTTCTCGACAACCAACGAGACACATCTGAGAGCTCCTTTTGCAGGCCCCAGAAATGTGAAGAATGGGAACTGAATCCAAATTAATTGCAGAAAACTTTTCTCAGCTCTTCCTACGCAGATGGTTAAAGAGTGTTTCCTGACATCATCGGAATTTGCTATTTTTGTTGTCGCTGCTACATAAGGCTTCTGAAGCCTTAAGATATAGTATCAGATTTACATAGCCGAATTAGGTTTCAGACGTTTCTCTGGGTCTCTTCTTTGATGGGAATTTCCCGTATGGAATGACATTCATTGCCTGTGGAAGTAGACAGCTAGACTCTGCTGCTTGTGTGGTTTGCCGGAATGTCCTGAGTCAGTTCATGTCAGTGGAGTTGGGGAATGGAGTCTTGCTGTCAGTCTGCGACCATGCCTCCCAGTCTTTCTGCAGGGAAATCTCTCCCTTCCCCTCAGTGATGTCATTGAGTTAATGCTTTGCCGGTTTCCTGAAAGATTGCCCAGAACTTTAAGAGGATCAAGATAAGTGGCTGATAAGTATTCCTCCCAGGAGATCACCCTGAAACTATCAGTGGCCTTCGCTTTCTTCTCCTGTTCCTGAAACCCAGAGGTTATAATGATTCGATTTTTCAAGTCCCTGTCTACCCACACCTTTCTCAGATCTCATGTTGTCTTCATGAGCTAAAAGCCATTTCCTCATAAGGTAATAAATGAATCGTTGTGCTTTTTAATTTTTACCCACCGATCCAGCACACTTTGGTCTAGTAGATTGGAGTCTTTGCCAAGCGAAACAGTGCGTCTCATTTAGATGGGAGTTGCTTTTTTTATGTGTGAGTTGATTGAAAAAGCAGAAGGGAAATAAGTACGTGGATAGTGATTTCTTTTCTCTAACCGTGCGTCCGTATACGATTTTGACTCGTAGAAAATCACAGTAGCAGAGTGCATCGAGACGCAGAGTAAAGCCATGACGATGCTCAACATTGAACAGTTGTCTTACCTGCTCAAGTTCGCCATTCAGAAAATGAAACAGCCAGGGGTAAGAAGAAAATTCTTGGTATAAGCATACATGAATATAGTGACTTTTTTCCTGTTAAACAGCTTAGCTTTTCAGACGTCTCGTGTGCTCGTTGGGCCTTTGTGTGTGCCCACGTTCAGCGATCGGTGAATTAAACATAAGGTATGATGGCGTTCAGTTAAGTCTCTGTGGTGAGCACTGTGTCCCAAAGGAGTTTCCTGGGGAAATGACATGGAGTTAGAAAGTTGGTGAAGATTTAAAATTCTGATTGCTTGTGAAGTGAAACCTCATGCCCCACCGGGCAAGGGGGAGCTTTCTCTCCTTCCCGTGGGAGTCAGTAAAATCCCATTTCAGTGAGAGAGCTGAGTACAGCAGTCTTCATAAGGAAGGTCTGATGATGGAACCTTCGTGTAAAACTCGACCAGTAACATATTAGAGAGGGTGAGCATTGGGTTAGTTCAGTTTTGAAATGGGAGTTGAAGTAAGGCCTTTGCTCTGCTTCGAAAGCAGGGCTGGCCACCGTGTGGCTGTCACACTGCAGCCATCCTGGTTTGTGTATTTACTATGATAGCGTTCAGGAAAACGGCAGAAAAGTAACTTGTTTTCAAAACTGATAGTATGACAGTGTAATCAGCATATTATGACAGATGTCAGACGAATCTAAAGAAACTTGAGAGTGGGGTTTCCCCTTTCTGATTTGCACAAAGGCCCCGTAAGGGCCAGCTGGGATCCTTTGTGAAACTCTGAATCAGGGTTTGTTTTCTAAATCAAATGGGTATATGGAAATGTACAATCTCAGGCCTGGCTTTTAGTAATCACTGTGGTTTTATTTCTTCAAAAAAAAAAAAAAGAAACATGGCTCGGCGCGGTGGCTCACGCCTGTAATCCTAGCACTCTGGGAGGCCGAGGCAGGTGGATTGCTCAAGGTCAGGAGTTCAAAACGAGCCTGAGCAAGAGCGAGACCCCATCTCTACTATAAATAGAAAGAAATTAATTGGCCAACTAAAAAAATAAATAGAAAAAATTAGCTGGGCATGGTGGCGCATGCCTGTAGTCCCAGCTACTCGGGAGGCTGAGGCAGGAGGATCACTTGAGCCCAGGAGTTTGAGGTTGCTGTGAGCTAGGCTGATGCCATGGCACTGTAGCCGGGGCAACAGAGTGAGACTCTGTCTCAAAATAAAATGAAATAAAATAAAAAAACCCAACAACAACAAGCTTTTCCTTTGAGATTATATTCTGGAGCATGCCAATTGGATGTTGTTAAATTGGGAACCTGTTTTGCCCTTTAGTTAAAAACTTTTTTTTTTTTTTTTTTTTTTTGCTGTGGGATGATTTTTATGCTGAGTATGAAAAGGAATTACTTCCTATATTTCATAGGCTAAATTATATCTGCTGATGATTGGGTCATGTAGACTTGTCAACACTGTAGAATTGTATGTAAACCAACAAGAAAAATTGAAGACATTAGTTTCTCGCATAATTGTTGTAAAGTCAATCACGGCGGAAAATTGTCTGTTTTGTTGAAGCATCTTTTTAACTTACAGTGTGTTGTAAATCATTAATCTTAGAGTAAGAGTATGGGACCTGTTACTTGGGTGTATATTGAAAACAAAACAAAAACCGAAACTGAAACACAACTGGGCCTATGATTACCAATAGCCAGGCGTAGTTACAAGAGGGACCAATTTGTAGTGCCCCAAGGTCATCCTTTGTGGAAACCTTTACAACTGTATTGTCTGGGCCAGGCACGGTGGCTCACGCCTGTAATCCTAGCACTTAGGGAGGCTGAGGTGGGAGGATTGCATGAGCTCGGGAGTTTGAAACCAGAGTTCGAGTGAGAAGAACCAATGAACAAGAGTGAGACCTCATCTCTACAAAAAATAGAAAAATTAGCCGAGCGTGGTGGCATGCACCTGTAGTCCCAGCTACTTGGCTAGTTTGGAGGCTGAGGCAGGAGGTTGCAGTGAGCTATGATGATGCCGCTGCATTCCATCCCGGGAGACAAGGGCCAGACTCTGTCTGAAAAACAAACAAAAAAACCCAAAAAACCCCTGTATTGTCTGAAAACTTGTCTCCATTTCTCAAGTCGTTTGTTAGCGTTAATGCTTGGTCTTCCTCAGCAATGATGGGTTTGTTCTTGTGTGTGTATATTTTCTTTTATAGACAGACGCATTCCAGAAGCCCGTTCCATTGGAACAGCATCCTGACTACGCGGAATACATTTTCCATCCCATGGACCTTTGTACATTAGAAAAGGTCGGCCTCCACCAAAGACCCTCACCATGGTAGCTGGTGGTTGTAGAGATGACTGAGGACTCTCCCTCACTTCCCATGCGCTGTCTCAAATTAGATTATTTCTCCACATTTTCCTTGCTCCATTTTTATCTGGATGGAAGAACGTTTGATCTCTTAACTACTTTCCTCCTCTCTAAACATTCTTCCAACAGTGCAGTAGAGTGTCGAAATCCACTGATAATATTTCTGGGAGTGATTCTAGCTTTTTACCTGACAGTCATAGCTTCTAAGGGTTATTGATTTGAGCCTTACCTCTTTTCTTTCTTTTGGAGGTGCTAATGAGAGCAGCAGGAAGGAAGAAGAGAAAATTAAGTGTTTGGAAAACCTACAGATTAGCAATAAAGATGTGGCTTCTTAGAACTTGACCTATTCTCCTGATAAGGATATTTCTTTAATGCCTGAAGGTGTTTTTTAAAGTTCATGTTAAAATTCCATGGCGAAAATTACACTTGGAACAGTTTGGGTTGTGTACATCATCCTGGTGCTGATTTTCAAACTGTTTGGAGTAAAATATGGGAAATAAAATGCATCCATAAGGAGGAAGCATTACTTCATATTGTCTGCCCTGATAAGTTGGAAACAATAAATTCACTCTCTTTGGGGAAATTGCACATACCCTCTTGGTGTGGTGGATAAAAGAAGGTATTAAAAAAAAAGACAGGATTGGAGTCCTCACTTTATAAATTAATAGCTTGGGAACTTTACATACGTTCCTTAACATTACTGTGCCTCAGTTTTCCCGTCTGTGAAATGGGGATGATAAGTACTTTGCTGTGTTGTCCTGAGCTTTATATGAGACCATGAGTAATAAAAAATATTACATAGAATATCCTGTTCTTTGGGAGGACCTATACTTTGATAAATGACAGCTGCTGTGAGATGAGAAAATTCAGGTTACTGTGATGAATTCAATGAGTACATTTTTATAGGGTTATAGATCTCAAAAGTAATAGTATCTTGGGAAGTGAGTAAAAAAAGCTCTAATTAGTTTGGCAAATGACTGCTAAGAAAATTATGTGGGGATGCGGGTATTTCTGGCTGTGGCTTGTTTAGACTCATTGGTGATTATGCTCCATGGCTTTTCTTCCCAGAACGCTAAAAAGAAAATGTATGGCTGCACAGAAGCCTTCCTGGCTGATGCAAAGTGGATTTTGCACAACTGCATCATTTATAATGGGGGTGAGTGGCTTAGATGACACCTGAGAAAGAAAGTATGGTGTGTGTGTGTTGCACATTTGTCGACCATCATCAAAATCCATACCTGAGGGCTAATAACTTGAGAATAATTGTGTGTGGATTCATATGTATGAACAGGGGGCAGCAACTATGTGAATTTTAAGGTATGAGCTGACATCCACAGTGGCTTGAGGCTGTATGTTGCTGCTACCTCTCACTGTTGTTTCTAGCAACCTTATTTTAATGGAAGTTTAATGCATAAAATAAAATGCACAGCTTTTATGTGTACATTCAGTGCATATTTGACAAATGTGCAACCACTGACACAAATAAGATCTAGAACATTTCCATCAGCCTATTTCATTCACTTCTTGCCTTTTTCCAGTAAACGCTCCCCAGAAGAAGCTAGCAGTCTCTTTTCTGTCACTATCGATTAGTTTGGCACGTTATAGAATTTCGTATCGGCGGAGTCATTGAGATCATGTGCTCACTGTGATGCATAGATTCATCCGTGTTGCGTGTTATCCGTGGTTTGTCCTTTTTTGTTGCTCAGTGGTTTTCCAGTCTATTAATATGCCACAACTACTTTGTTGATATTCATGGATATTTGGGTTCTTTTCAGCTTCGGGCTGTTATGAATAAAGCTGCCGTGATCTTGTGCAAGTCTCTGTGTGGACGTATGTTTTCATTTTTCTTGGGTGAATACCTAGGACTCGTATTGCTGGATCATTGAGTAGATTTATAGTTCCATATTGCCAAACTGTTTTTGCAAAGTGGTTATGTCATTTTATACTCAACTAGCAGGGTATATGAAAATCCTTACTGCTACACATCCTTGTCAATACTTGACATCTTCTGCCTTTTTAATTTTAGTCTTTCTTGAAGGTGCGAAATAGTATGTCATGGTGGCTTTAATTTGCCTTTGCCTAATGACCAGTGGTATTGAGTATCATTTCATGTGCTTATTAGTCGTGTGTATGTGTGTTTTTGTAAAATATCTATTTAAATCTTTCATTTCAAAAATTGGATTGTTTGGGAGTTCTTTCTGCTGTGGACAAAGTTTTCTTAGTTGTGTTTTTGTGGATTTAGAGGATGGAGCCCTCTGGCCGCCGTGGGGGTTTCCATTCTGTCTTCCCTCTGGGTGCTTGCTCCTTGCTCCCCCTTACACTGCAACCTCCTCTGTCTGCTTTTTGGCCAGGTACACCTTCCAGCGTCCTGCCCCTCCCCCTCCTTGTCCCCAGGTCCTCTTGTGCTCAGCCCCCCAGCTGCAGCTTCTCCCCCTTGGTCTTGATAACTTCCCCGAAGAAGCTTTCCCGATGGCCCAGACGATGCCAGCTGTTCTCAGACGTTTTGCTTTCCGAATGGTGCTGTTTTTGTTTGTTTCAGTTGCTTATTAGGATGTAAGCTCTTTTAAGGGCGTGCCTTGTTCCCTGTATACCCCTCAGGCCCAGTGTAGACTTTTGGCTAGTGTTTAAGGAAACACACGGGAATGGATGGCTGCTTTTAAGCCCACATACTGCATTGTTAACTCAGTAGCAGGGCCGTGGGTGCAGGGAGGGGAGACAGAGAGGCACGAGGCACTGAGAAAATCTGTGTAAAGATTATAAATGCAAATATATGGAAAGGCCTGGCCCATCAAATCATGTGAACAAGTGAATGAGGTCAGGAAGAAATGCATCAGCAAAGCCAGGATGGCCATGGCCCCAGGAAGTGCTGGGGATCATGGAGAGCAGGGAACTCCTTTCTGGTCTGGAGAAGTCACTGTTGGCAGCTCCAGGGCTTTGTTGGTTACAGAGTTATGAGATCTTGTGAGTTTTCAGGGCAAGTAGGAAATCTAGGTATTGGGTTTTTTTTTTGTGTGTGTGTGTGTGTGAAATCTTCTTGTCAACAAATTTATAATTTCTGTAAATAGCGTAAGGTTAAAGAAAACATGACTTTTTGACCATCTTGTGCTCTGGGTTAGTGCAAAGGTGAAGGATTTCTAGACCTGGGGACAAGTGCTTATTTTATTACGGAAGTGTTCTCGTGAGAATGTAAGCGATGACTCCACTGAGCCATGGCCTCCTCGCTAATTAAATGGGCACATTTCAAACCTCCTCCTTCCTAATATGGCTTCTTGAGGAGTTAACAAGAAAATGCATTTCAAAGCACCAGGCAGACCAACCCTCCTTCTTTCCCTCATACCCTTCTTGGGTTGGCGTCTGCAGCAGTGGGTAGAATTAAGGTTCCTTTCCACTAATTCCCTTTAGGGTGTCAAAGCATTTTGAAAGCATAAATCCACACTCTCTAGGGAAACCCACATAAATTGCTCAGTTTCAGAGAAGACCACATCAAGGCATCAAAGATTGGTCAACTTTGATGGGACAAATTATTAATACATAATTTGAACCAGTATCAGAAGCCAGAAACTTCTGGTTTTTTAGCCTTTTAAAAGCTTAATCCTGGGGGAAAGCAAGTTAAAATGTTGGTGGTGGAAGTATAATCCCCAGGCTGGGTGTTGTAGTGTTTCCATTAGAATTAATCCTATTTTCTTATTCCCTTAGGAAATCACAAATTGACGCAAATAGCGAAAGTAGTCATCAAAATCTGTGAACATGAGGTATGTGTTTCCCACCGTCCCATTTCAGGTGTCCCCAGAGTGAGGGGTTGGGGTAGCTGCTGCTGTTTGCATTTGCAGAATCTCCCAGTGGGTAGCCAAGGTGATTCTGGAAGTTGTTGAGGCATAGACAGAGCCCCTACTCTGCAAGGAAAGCAGAGGCAACAAAGAGGGGTCCCCATATGTTACTAAACAGCCTAATGAATCTAAGGGAGATGGAAATCACTTTTTATTTTTCACCCTTAAGTCATGGGCAAGCACTGAGTATCCTGAGGTTTCTTGGTTGCCTAGATAGAATTAATAATTTCTGACCTTGGCCTCATGATCTGTGGTATTGAGTTAGGTCTTTTTCACTCCTCTTGCAGAAGAGGGTTTGGGTTTTGACATTTGGGGGAAAGGGCTCGACTGTTTTTCATAGAGTGGCCCAGGTGTCCTGAAGAGTGTGTCCCTCTTGCAAATACCCACACGTTTGATGGTGTGGCTAGAATAAACTTGTTGGACTTGTGAGCCCCGAGGCTGTGGTGGTTGTGGGATAGGCTGGCAGTTGAAATGATGTGTCTTTATTAGATCCCAATTGTAAGAATAAAAAACCGAGATATAATGTCCTTCATCCTGTCTGTGTGCTCCCATTCATTCGTTCACTCATTTGTAAAGAAAGTCTGCTTAGATATCATTGGGATCCATCTATGTTGGTGTATTTGTATACAGAGAGCTCTATAAACTGCCTTTGCACTAAGTTTGAGTATTTTCTGTTTTCCTAGGTAATTAAACACACAGGAAGAACAGAATATTTCCTGGCTGTATAATATTTCTATGTACAATTCACAGACATTTATAATATTTCATTGTTCCTTTTTTGTCATTTTAGTATCCAGTTTTATCAGCATTTTAACATAAAAAGATGATGAATATCATTGCACTTCTGGTGATTTCCTTAGTTTGATTTTTAGAAATGCAATTCTAGGTCAGTCAGAGGCTGTAAATGTGGCACAGGCTTTAAGTGGAGCCTTCTTGATTACCTTTTACTAATAGCAGAGCTGTAGCAAATTATACAGTAGCCTGGAGTGGATGAGTGTGGTCGTTTTTCTGTGTCCTTTCCAACACCGAGAGTTCTAATTTAAAAAATATATGTATACATGTCCCCTCAATGTGATCAGTAAAAATGGTAGCATCTGACTGTAATTTTAGTTTACATTTCTTTGATGGACTGTTTGAGATACATTCCTTTGGAGTAGCCCAGAAGCAGAGTAGGCTAGAAGGAGATGCATTCTACCATTTATTTATGCATTCATTCACTTACTTACTCATTGACCTGTTAAGTCAGTCGGTCACTCTTATGATACTGGGCACCTGCTGTGTATGTGGCACCTTGCATGATGACAGGAGGTAAAGAGAAAAACAAGGCTGATGGTGATAGGGAGACAATAGCAGATATCTGTGCAGGGGTGACATGCATGCGCTTTGGAGCCCGACTGCCTGGGTTCAAATCCAGACCCTGCTACTTTGCTGCTGCAAGACCGTGGGCCGGTTACTTGAGTTCTTTGGGCCTCATTTTCTCCCTTTGTGAAATGGGAGAAATGAGTGACAGCCTTACCTCACAGAGGGTGTGAGGAATAAATGAGTTAACATGTTTAGAACACTTAGAATGATACTAGCACACTCTAAATCTTCAGTAAGTGTAAACCTATGCCTTGGTTTCTGAATCACTTGAAGCGCTTTGCATTTATCTCATTTAGTTTGTATAACAACCCTACGTCGCGGGCACTGCTCTCATCCCTCTTCTGCAGATGAAGACACGGAGGGTCAGAGAAGATAAGCACCTTCCCCTAAAATCACAGAACTGTAAATAGTAGAGTCTGAATTTAGATTCAAAAAGGGAGCTTCTAGGGCCTTTGATTATAAGCCATGATACTATTCTGGGGGCAGGTACTTTCTTAAGAAAGAAAAGGACAATAAATAAGTAAACTGAATTTTCAGATTGTCGTCATTGGAAATAAAATAGGGCAACGTGGTACTAATGAACTGCTCTGGATGGTGTGGTTAGAGGTGCATAGGAATTGGGCATAGCAAGTAGAGGAGGCCAGGACGGCTGGAAGGGCTTGGGGAGCAGAGCTGGTATGAGATGAGCTCAGACAGGTGGGTGGAGGCTTGGAAGGAACTGATCTGGTGTTTAGATTTTATTGTTAGTTTCTCAACTTGGCACTATTGACGTTTGGGGCCAGAGAATTCTTTGTTGTGGAGTCGGTCCTGTGCACCATAGATTCCAGCAGTGCCCCCTGCCCAGTTGTGATGACCAGAAGCGTCTCCAGACATGTTCCCAGGGGTGGAGGGAAGGGCTGCCCTGCCCTGGCAGAGAAGTACTGGTATCGGGGCAAGTTGCTGGAAGCTTTTAAGCAGGGGCAGGACAAGATCAGATTTATGTCTGTAAATGGTGGCTCTGGCTGGTGCGTGGTGAAGGCCGGAGTGGGGCAAGAGTGGAAGCCAGAGGCCCTGGGGAGCCAGCTTTTGTGCTGGACCAGAGAGAAGGGGCGCGGCTTGGACGGGGGGACGCGTGGGGACTGGTGAGCAGTTTGGATTCATCTCCAAGGCGTTCCTGCTATGGGGCTTGGTTTAATCTTATCCTTCAGAATCATCAAGCATTTATTGAGGGCAGCCAGACGGAAGGCCTCTGGGGTGACACATTCTAATGTCTTTTTGCTTTACAGATGAACGAAATCGAAGTATGTCCAGAATGTTATCTAGCTGCTTGCCAAAAACGAGATAACTGGTTTTGTGAGCCTTGTGTAAGTTGGATTCACTTTGCTTGTTTCATTTACTGAACCCTGTGCTTATGGTGACTACCCCGAGACAGCTTTCTTCAGGTGGCTCGTTAGATGAAACTTTGGATGAAGTTTCAAAATAAATTTTTCTTTTTGAGACAGAGTCTCACTTGGTCAATCTGGTACAGTGCAGTGCTGTCAGCTTAGCTCACTGCAACCTCAAACTCCTGGGCTCAAGCAGTCCTCCTGCCTCAGCCTCCTGAGTAGCTGGGACTACAGGTGCACACCACCATGCCTGGCTACTTTTTCTATATTTTTTTTGCAGAGATGGGGGTCTCACTCTTTCTCAGGCTTGTCTCAAATTCTTGGCCTCAAGCGATCCCCTCACCTCAGCCTCCCAAAGTGCTAGGATTACAGGCGTGAGCCACCGGACTTAGCCTAAAATAATTTTTTATTGATAAAGTTACAGCAGAGTGAAAATTACCTAGATAGGATAAAGTTCTTAGGCTGAAAGTTCATGTGGTAGGACAGCAGCATCATTTGCTGGGTTTGTTTGCCTGGGCACACTGTAGGATGCAGGGTGAAAGCTTATCAAGGGGGTTGTGGGTTGGGGCAGAGCACTGCAGGTGGTCAGATGAGTGTTAAATCAGTGTGTCATTTGCAAATCGTCTTGGGCCTCTCTTAAGAGGTTTGGAAATACTTCCCTGGATTAAGTCCACTGTCTCTCCAAATAATGGTTCTTGGGGGGAAGAAAAGCACCCTGGTTTCCTACATGGATCTGCATTTTCCAAATTGGAGGAGTGCATTGTTGGGGTGGGCTGGTGTGTGTGTTGGAAAGATGGAGGGTTAAAGGGTTCAAGGAGAATAGAGTGGGCAAGTAAAGTTGGGAAAACATACTTTACATCTCTTCCTGCCTTTGGAGATTAGCACTTGTGTAGCTTTTGATGAAGAATAAAGGTAGCTAATATGGCCCCTTATTATATGGTAGGCTTGATGCACATTTAATCCATACTTAGCAGAGGGTGTGGGTATTATTGTCTCTGTGTATGTTGCAAAGAAATGTGAGATCACTTGCTCATGGCCACCAGGTAATAGCACAGCCAGGATTCAAGCCTGCTTTTACCGTCATTCAGTTCTTCTCAATTTCACCATTTGATCCCATTCCAGTTCTGTCCGGGCATCATGGCCACACACTTTCTAGGGAATACCTCGTGGGCAGACCCTGCTTGAAATTCTTCTCTTTCCATTTGGGACCCGTGTCCCTCAACCCTGCTCATCCTCACATACCAAGCTTTAATGCGTACCTTGCTGTCAAATATGTATAAACTCTGGATTTTGTTTCTTTTCCTAGAGCAATCCACATCCTTTGGTCTGGGCAAAACTGAAAGGGTTTCCATTCTGGCCTGCAAAAGCTCTGAGGGATAAAGATGGGCAGGTTGATGCCCGTTTCTTTGGACAACACGACAGGTGGGTATTAAAAGCAGGCTTTGAATGTGCAGCTTTTACTGAACCTTTGATACTGTCATTGGAGAGAAAAAGAAGTGGAGGGTGGACTATTTTTTGTTGTCATGGTACCACCTGTTGATCTTGTCATTGAAAAATGTTTTCCTGTGCTATGTTTAGCTTGATGATGCGTGGGCTTCGGTTTTCTCAGGTATGTTAGAAAATAATCTTACTTTACTGGTTCTGTTGATGAGACCAGCATTGGAATTGGTCCCGTGCTGCTGTTTTCTTTTTCTTTAATTTTTTTTCTGGAGTAAATTAAGCCTCTGAGTAAATTGCTTTTCAAAATAATGCTTTCAGGGATCAGAAGTATTTCCCCAGATTGCCAGTAAATGAATCTCTTATCATAGTGCTGAGCAGTTCCCTCCCTGTTCCTTTTTTCTGAAGCCGCAATGGGAAATTACAAGGGGTTGCTGTTTTGACAGGTGTGAGCCCTCCTCCCAGCCTTCCTGCCCTCCCCTTTCCCTGTGCACCAGGCAGAGCGAATTATTCCAGCTAATAGCAGTTCCCTTTAGCATGGAGCCCCCTGCATGTGTGAGAACGACAGGTAGGCTGAGATGAGCAGCAGTTAATATCTTAGTTCTTTTTTAGCAAGTTATGTTATGATTAAACGAGGCAAAGACTCTCTCAAAGTCCCACCAGGCAGTTTGAGAAAGTGTGTAGAGCAGACTATTCAAAATACATGTCCTAAAAATTAAATATACACGCAAAATATACAGAAGATACAGTTTATATTTTTATTTTATTATTATTTTTTATTTATTTTTATTTTTTGAGACAGAGTCTCGCTTTGTTGCCCAGACTAGAGTGAGTGCCGTGGCGTCAGCCTAGCTCACAGCAACCTCAAACTCCTGGGCTCAAGCGATCCTGCTGCCTCAGCCTCCCGAGTAGCTGGGACTGCAGGCATGCGCCACCATGCCCGGCTAATTTTTTCTATATATTTTTAGTTGGCCAATTAATTTCTTTCTATTAGAGATGGGGTCTTGCTCTTGCTCAGGCTGGTTTTGAACTCCTGACCTTGAGCAATCTGCCGGCCTCAGCCTCCCAGAGTGCTAGGATTACAGGTGTGAGCCACCGCACCTGGCCCAGTTTACATTTTTAAACATCAGAATCTGAAAGAATGCTCTCAAGTTTTGCTCATCATCTTGCAGATCAAAGAAAAAGCGTGAATTCGAAAGTGATCTGCAAAATCATTTGCTAGGAATCCCAACAGTCCATTGTCAGGAGATAAAATGGAAAGTACTCGAGATGGTGCTGGGTTCAGTAGGAAGTATTATACTTTGATTTTCACCACTCTTGTTGGAATTCTTTCTGAAATTCATTTATACAACTTCATTCAAAGAAATACGTCTCTGGTGCCTGCTGTTCGCCAGGCTGTGCACTAGATGCTGGGGACATAGGAGTGAGCCAGGCAGGTCCTGCCTCTGCCTGTCTGAAGGCCGACATCCTAGCGGGGAAGGTGGATGATGCCCAGGTGAACAGATAGGCTGGGTGATCTCAGGTCGGGAGGTGGTGCCCCAGCAAGAGCCGAGGCTCAGGGGCACCGAAGGGCTGAGGTCCAGAGCGTTCGGGAAAAGCCAGGAGGACGGTGTGGTTTAAATAGGGTGGGGGGAGGAGGGAGAGGATGGTGGGAGATGAATCGGGGTGGGGTAGGGGGCAGGAATTTGTTTATTTGAAAAGCAGGAGGAATTGATGGCGGGCTGTACCTCCCACTTCTTCATCAGAGCATGGCAAGTGTGAACTGTCTTGATGACCTGGGATTCTTACTCTATGGGGCAACACAGAATGGATACACACACTTAGGATATAGGCGGGTGGCGGGAAAGCAGGGCTTACTGCCATGGACCATTTTATTCCCAGACCCTTAGAGTCGATGATTCTGGTCTCAGCTGTGACCACTCTGCGGGGGTCTCTTACGCCCTAAAGCCAGCCATGGAGGTGGCTTAGAGGGCACCAGGAGGGATGCATGAGCTTTGCACAAGCTTTTCCCCCAAAACTTGCAGGTCGAGGGCTTGAATTCCATATGGAAGTTGTCATGGAAGCCAGGCACCTTCCGTTCCTTTGTGAAAAAGAAAGCCTGAGTCCCGTGGTCACGAGTTTCCTGCCCCCTCTTCCTGCCTGTCCTGTCTTCCGTCCCTACTGAGGGAGTGTGACGTGCTGTCTATTTGGGGTGGCGGGGAGCCCCCGAGGGAGCTGCTGAGGGCGTTCCACGGTGGTCGGGCAGTACAGCTGTGGGGGTCCAGGGGGCTTTGGCCTTGGGGGGGTTCTCACAGCTTCCTGGGGGCGTCCTCGTTCTGAGATACCTGGGTGAGACCCAGGAGCGAGGGAGGAGAGGGAGGCCTCGTGCCCAGGGTTGTGGAGTCAGACGTAAGCCTGGACCTGCCTGAGGGAACTAGGTCAGGACGGCAGGGTGAGGAGTCACTGAAATACCACACGTTCATCGTCAAGTTCGTAAGTGCCAGAGCGAGCCTGTGAGGGCTCTCGGGCAGACCCGGGCATGTTCTGAAGTGTCTCCCTGCATGCTTTCTGTCCCTTAAAAGAATTGCTTTTTTGGGGAGGGGTATTTCATAGAGACAAACACACAATTATGTAAAAGCATAGGAAATATTTTACTTAGTGCCTACAAAGGCTGACATGCGTTGAATGCCCACCATGCACCAGGCACTGTTTTAAGTGCTTTTTTTTTTTTGTAGAAGCTCCTTTTATCTCCATCTTACCAATAAGAAAACTGAGGCCCAGAGAAGGTAATACCTAGCCCAGGATCACACAGCTAGGAAGAAGCCAGGCTGCTGAGAACTGAGGCAGGGTGACTCTAGCCTTTGTCCCTCCCAAAGGCTTTATATTGTAGAGCAACTCTAGTTGCCATTTAAATATTTCCTGGGCTTGCTTTAAGGAAAAGAAACACTTTTACTTTCCAGTGGAGCAATTCATGGTCGGCACTTGTGTGGCCTGGATACCAGACAAGGGTAGGGGTGGGACGGGGCGGGACAGGGAAGGGAAAGGTCACAGGACCTACTGGCTGATAAGCCCCGGGTGGGGCTGCTTGACTCTTGAGGATCCCAGACCTGTCCTGTCCAGTCCTGGTCTTCACCCGTCCAGTCGGAACTGGGCCTCCCCTGGGGGCGAGCTCTTACCTTGAGAGCACGGCCCCTGCCCAGCTGATTTCCCTCTGGCTGGAGGTGTGGCTCTCCGGTCTCAGCAGAGAGACAGCAGTCGGAATGTATGAGACGCTGGTAATTTCCAGCACTGTGAGGGAGCAGTTAGATGTTTTTAGGATATTTAGTTTTAGATTATGTTGCCATCTAGTATCACCAAGAGCTGCAAACAATCTGCCCCAGGGACATGCTTTATTTCCCCTGGGTGGTTTTCTCTTAAAAATAAAAATTAGGCCGGGCGCTGTGGCTCACGCCTGTAATCCTAGCTCTTGGGAGGCCGAGGCGGGCGGATTGCTCAAGGTCAGGAGTTCAAAACCAGCCTGAGCAAGAGCGAGACCCCGTCTCTACTATAAATAGAAAGAAATTAATTGGCCAACTGATATATATATAAAAAATTAGCCGGGCATGGTGGCGCATGCCTGTAGTCCCAGCTTCCCGGGAGGCTGAGGCAGAAGGATTGCTTGAGCCCAGGAGTTTGAGATTGCTGTGAGCTAGGCTGACGCCACGGCACTCACTCTAGCCTGGGCAACAAAGCGAGACTCTGTCTCAAAAAAAAAAAAAAAAAAAAAAAAATTAGATGCTTCCTGTTTGAAATGGGGTAAAAATGTAACATTAAAAAGTGCAATTTTTTTTCTGCTTCTCTTTAAAACACTGGAAGGCTAGGCAGTTTGGGTCCAGACTCCTACAGTGGTCCCCTTGGATAGCAACTGGGTAGATGCTGCTTTCTCCCGTTGAGCCAGACGTGAGTTTTCTACTTCTCTGAAGTCCACTTTGCTCCCCGTTGCTTATGCCTGGCTGGAGTTTGTGGTCTGTGAAATCCAAAAGGCCTCCTTGGAAAAACTCACTCTTGCCAGTTTCCCAGCTGCAAACCGGGCTGAGGCTGGGCAGTCGTCTGTGTGGTAGCCTCGTGTCCTGGATGTCCCTGCATTGGCTCTGCTGTCACCCACAGTGGCGGTTGCAGTGTTCCCAACTCCTGCCGTGGGTCGCTGGTTCCAGAAAAGCCGCTGCTGTCATTTTTGCTCTACTGGGACCCTGCAGAGCACATGGGGCAGGTGGGGTGTGGACGGTAGGAAGACGGAACTGGCCCAGGATGGAAGGTGGAAGGTGTATACCTGAAGGCTGATGGGCTGTCTTGCGGGGATTTTCTGTGTGGATTATCTCACGTTCAAAAACACGTACCTCCGTTAGCGACGTGGGTTTCCAAAGTTTCCTTCTAGTCCCATTGAGAATGGCACGGAGAAAAGGAAGCTCTTTATGTCTGCGTGAAGCTCGGTGAGATCTGGGGAATGAGTCTCCTTTCGGAGGTGTCCGGGGTGCAATGACTGATAGCTTACTCTCCACCGACTGGAAACCAAGGGGAGTTATTTTTTAGGGATGAAAAGGACTGAGTCTATTGAGCCTTTTAACATTGTAGCGGAGCCTCGTCCATGTTCTGTTCTTAGGGTGGAACCTGTCTGTTAAGTGGATCATTAACCCTTCAAACCAAGTACTTTTAAAAAAAACAGAATAAGGGTTTAATAATCCTGGCAAATGTGCCAGGCTATTTTGGGTCACATTAAGAAAACAAAACAAAACAAAAAAACCAGCCTCAGATATTACTAACGTTGACTTAAAAAAGCCTCTTTCTCCTTTGCCCTCCTAGGGCCTGGGTTCCAATAAATAATTGCTACCTCATGTCTAAAGAAATTCCTTTTTCTGTGAAAAAGACGAAAAGCATCTTCAACAGCGCCATGCAGGAGATGGAGGTCTACGTGGAGAACATCCGCAGGAAGTTTGGGGTTTTTAATTACTCTCCGTTCAGGACGCCCTACACGCCCAATAGCCAGTACCAAATGCTGCTCGACCCCAGCAACCCCAGCGCCGGCACCGCCAAGATAGACAAGCAGGAGAAGATCAAGCTCAACTTCGACATGACGGCGTCCCCCAAGATCCTGATGGGCAAGCCCATGCTGAGCGGGGGCACGGGGCGCCGGATTTCGCTGTCGGACATGCCGCGCTCCCCCATGAGTACCAACTCTTCCGTGCACACGGGCTCCGACGTGGAGCAGGACACCGAGAAGAAGCCCACGTCGAGCCACTTCAGCGCCAGCGAGGAGTCCATGGACTTCCTGGATAAGAGCACAGGTCAGCCCCGGCGGGAGGGGGTGCCAGGTCTGTTGGGCCCAAGCGTGTGAGCGTCACCGCGGTCAAAGGGGGGACCCCGGTGGAGCACATTTTAAATAAGTAGCCAGCTGGGATTCTTGCTGTTAGGGACCCCAAAGTGAGAAGTATTCCCAAGAGAGGCCGCCTGGAGGTCATTCCTAGAAGTGGGTGGATGGAGGTGGCCAGAAATCTGTCCAAACTCAGTTCAGATGTCGCAGCCGTTTGGATTAATCACAACTTTTCATAAATGTTTTTTTTTTTTTCTTTCCCAAGAATTTTGCTTTAATGGAAAGTTTCCTTTTCTATCAAAACAATGCACTCACACTAAATGCTCAGATGTTAGTGAAACATGAAAGGTGCAGATAATATTCTCTCTCCCCAGAGGCATCCCACTCCCTCAGAGGGCGCCTTGGTTAGCAGTCATGTTGTGTTTTTGGGTCATGCTGGGGTAGAGTGGTTAAGAAGGCAGAGGCTCGTCTCAAAGCCCAGCCCTGCCACTCACTAGCTATTTGGCTTCTGGTAAGGTACTTAACTCTACGTGCCTTAGTTTCCCCATCTGTTAACATGACGGTCATAATACTGCCCACCAGTAAAGGACTTAGAACAGCACCTAAAATAGTAAGTACTGCACGAAAGGTTAGCTGCTGTATTACTGTTATCACGGTGATTGCTGTGAGGATCCAGGTGGCTACGTGGGTCAGAGAAGTGGCGCAGCTGAGGGATGCTGGCTGAGAGTAAGAAGAGTGATGGGGACTTAGTGGAATTCTTTCTGCCCAAACATAATTTGGTCACATGTTAAATACTTAATGACTTTTATCGCCTTCACAAGGAAGTGGTTTTGCTCTCATTTTTCTTGAAAATTGCCTTCATAATTGGTTCTTTGTTGTTCCACCGTGGAGAGGTGTGGCACAGAGACACGGAGTGTGATGGGGATGGGGAATGGCAGCTGGCCCCCAGGACCCGGCTGGGGGGGCCAGAGAGAGGGGTGGGGATGGGGGACTGCGTGGGCCCCAGCCCATGGTGGCCATGCGGGAACACGGACTCGGGGTTTTCAGATCCTCTTCTGGAGGAATGGGAAGTCTGGGTTTTTAAGTAAAATCCCTAGTTCATTAAATGTCAGGTCAGAGTATCTTAGAATGTTTTGTAGAATGAATGAAGCATATCAACTGGGTTGGATCACTAGACTTCTGAAAAGTCTTTCAGAAGACCCCCCACCCCCACCCCTCCCTCTCTCACCTTCTCCTCCCCACCCCCTCTCTCCCTCCCTCTCCCCTCCCCTCTCTCCCTCCCCTCCCCTCCCCTCCCCTCCTCCCTCCTTCACATAGGAACTGTTTAAGGAGCAAGTTGGTTCTCTAAGAGACCCAGAAGGTAAAATGAAGGGGACTTAGTCAATTGTGAACTCAAAAGAATTCCACCCATTTCGGTTGTGTTGTTTCTTGCTTATTTTCAAGTACTGCTTCCCAAGTGGCTGTAGGAAGGGTGGAGGGAGTTAGAGACCTGTGGTTGTTGATTCTTCTAAACAAAGGCTATAGTCTTGTCTCCAGTTTTTTTTTTTTTTTTTTGAGACAGAGTCTCGCTTTGTTGCCCAGGCTAGAGTGAGTGCCGTGGCGTCAGCCTAGCTCACAGCAACCTCAAACTCCTGGGCTCAAGTGATCCTTCTGCCTCAGCCTCCCGGGTAGCTGGGACTACAGGCATGCGCCACCATGCCCGGCTAATTTTTTATATATATATCAGCTGGCCAATTAATTTCTTTCTATTTATAGTAGAGACGGGGTCTCACTCTTGCTCAGGCTGGTTTCGAACTCCTGACCTTGAGCAATCCGCCCGCCTCGGCCTCCCAAGAGCTAGGATTACAGGCGTGAGCCACAGCGCCCGGCCTCCAGTTTTGATTCATACATAGACCGTTGAGTTATAGAGTTTTGTTCTGGGGTTAACATAATTTGTGTTGACATCATTTCAGAAAAATTTTCCCCTTTGCCCCCTTGCTTCTGCCCAGAGTCCTTTAAAAGCTCACTTTTATTCCATGACATGATTCCATTTAAGCCAGGTACACAAAATACGATACAAACCTGTTGGCCCTTTAGTTCCCACAGAGAGCATGCTTTGGCCGGAAGGGTTTTAAATTTTAACCTTGGCAGCAACTTTGTGAATCACTGTTGCCTGCACTTTCACTGCCATGATTTTTTGCCATATATTATTACATACTTAAATATTAAATCTGTGACTTAGCTTTGTCTCAAGCCAAAGAAAAATACATAGGCTCACGTGTTTAAGTTGCGTGTTGTGTTTTCCCCAATATATATGAAATTTATACATAACAAAACATGTTGGTGTGTGCACCAGTATTGGTTTCCTATACCACATTTCAAAAAATAAAGTTTTAGTGGAATATGAGGACAGGTGTAATGTGTTTAACTTAGCTTTTCTCTTCCCTCAAGAGGTACAAAAGGAGAGGGATAAGTGGCATGACACTTCTGACAAATCCCTTACCATTTGATCGGCTTTTTAGGTGAGAAGTTAGAAGATCCCTTATTTCAGTAGACTTTAAAGTCCCTTTACCAGTATGTGCTTGGGTCATTTTACAAATCATGAGTTAGCCAAATCATGAGTGGTGTAGGAAGGGGGGGTGATACTCAAAATCATTTTAATCTTACAAATTGCTCCCTTTTCTGTAAGGGGCCCAGATAGTCAATATTTTAGGCTTTTTGGGTCTTTGTCAAAACGATGCTACTATCGCACACGCTTGTTGCAGCACTAAAGCAGCCGTGGACATTGTGTGGCTGAGTTCCAATAGTGCTTTGGTGATGGGCACTGGAATTTGAATTTCCTATAAGTTGCTTGTTCAGGAACTATTAATTCTTCCCTCCTACCATTAAAAAATGTTAAATATTTTTCTTAGCTTGCAGGCCTTACAGGAACAGGTGGTATGCCAGATTTGGCCTGTGGGCCATAACTTGCTAACCACAATCATAGACTAAGAGAGTTAGAGGAAACTAAGTCAGTCTCCCCATTTTACAGAAGGCAAATTGAGGGTCCGGCAGAGCACGTAAGGGAAGTGCCTAAGTCCCCACAGCTAGATCCTCAATCTCAGCTGGTTTTCTTTTCACTTTACCCTCCTGCCCTCTGCTGTTAGCAGCAATAATAGCGTTTAGTGGAGGGAAAAGTTAAAATGCCTCCACAGTTGGGAATAATATATTGAGATAAGACTGTGGTTTATCAAAAAAAAAAAAAAGATTGTCAACCAAGTGTGGTGGCACATGCTTGTAACACTAGCTACCAGGGAGGCTGAGGTGGGAGGATTGCTTGAGCCCAGGAGTTTGAGGTCGCAGTGAGCTACAGTGACCCCACTGCTCTCTATCTAGCCTGGCAACAGAGCGAGACTTTGTCTCAGAAAAAAAGAAAAAAATTGTCATGTCACAGGATAGAAGACTGTGTAAGTAGCTTCAGCAGTGAAAATTTTGTGACCAGCAGCATAAGACTACAAGTTGAAATGTTAATTACATAAAACTTTTATGAGTTTAGAAATCTTCCTTTTGCTGGGGAGATTGAAGAACCCAGAGCCAATGTGTCTATAATTCTTAGAAGTGGATTTGGCTTTCTAGGAAGCACTGGCTCAGCCAGAAAGCCTTTAACTCCCAATGGCTTGGAATCCTGCTGTTGAGATGGCCACAGTGGTGGATGTTCGCAGTGATTTTCCCGGTACTACTTTTATGTAGGCCTCCTGGCCAGAATCCATGCCTTCACCAGTGTTTGCTTGCAGGAGCTGCTCTAAGTCATTAACATTGTTAGGGTCAGAGTCCTGGGGTCTGGCTTTTACTACCCTCTGTGCTAATGGTCCTTTGGTTTTGTAGCTCCACTGTGGGTTACCATTATAGGGGAGAAAGGAGGGTGATTTCGTGTACCCTCCCTTTTTATATAATTAATTATGAAACCAAACCAATAAAAACCACAACCCCACTATTTTGTTGTAGAATGATTGTTTATTACAAAAACTAACGTCACTGGATAACCCCACCGCCCATAGTCAGCCCTTAGATACTGTTTCCAGGGCTTTTCCTATGTTGGTTTTATATAAGTCATACTGTTAAGTTGAAAACTCAAGTACTTCAGGGGGATCAGGCAGATACAGAAATGAGCGAGGTTGGAAAGTGGCAGGGTCTGGGGTGAACGAAAGCAAAAGTGTGCTCATCATGACTTGTCATACACATACATGAGCTTGTGTGTGCACACGGGTGTGTAACACTTACCTGAGCAGCACTTAACCTTTTGAGACATGCTGCACGCTGGCAGTTCTACCCTTTCGTATAAAAGAGCTGCTATCACCCGCTAACAGGTCTCAAAATGCTGGGGTAGACAGGTCTGCCTTTATGAAAAGATTTTGAGGACCTTTTCTTCCTGCTGGTTCTTGTCAAGTGGGAACATGGGCTCAGTGTTGCCAGATTTCTGATTTTTCAAGGGAACCTTTAAATATTCTTTTTTGTTTCTTTTTTTGAGACAGAGTCTCTCTTTGTTGCCCAGGCTAGAGTGAGTGCCCGGCAACCTCAAACTCCTGGGCTCAAGCGATCCTTCTGCCTCAGCCTCCCGAGTAGCTGGGACTACAGGCATGCACCACCATGCCTGGCTAATTTTTTTTTCTATATATATTAGTTGGCCAATTAACTTCTTTCTTTTTATAGTAGAGACAGGGTCTCGCTCTTGCTCAGGCTGGTTTTGAACTCCTGACCTCGAGCAATCCGCCCGCCTCTGCCTCCCAGAGTGCTAGGATTATAGGCGTGAGCCAACGTGCCTGGCCTTCTTTTAAATGGGAACTATCCCAAGTCTTTTTTTTTTTTTTTTTTTTTCTTTTTTTTAAGAGACAGAGTCTTGCTGTGTTGCCCAGGCTGTGCTGGAACCCCTGAGCTCAAGTGATCCTCCCACCTGAGCCTCCTGAGTAGCTGGGACTAGGGGCAGGTGCCACCATGCCTGGCTGCTAACTTTTATATACTGGCTCAGATTTAAAAACAAAACAAAAAAAAGCTGTACCACATGAAACGTATCTGTGAACCGCTTGGTTCATGGATCACCTGTTTGCAATGTCTGTTGTAGACTCTGGGATTTTTTTTTTCTTAAGCTTTGTATTCTGAATACGTTTCCATGGTAGTGAATATCTCTTCAAAACTGCATTTCTACCGACACCCTCTAACCCATCCCACACCGTCTGGTGGTGCAGTGCTCATCTGTGAATGGTACCATCAGGGGTTGTGCAACATGCAGCCCCTTGAAGATGTAGATTGGTTCCTAGGTTTTTTAAGTTGAGGAAATTTAGCATGAATCATTAACTCCTCCTCCATAGGAGGAGTGCTGGGGTGTATGGGAGGGAAAGGGCATTTTTTTTTTTTTTCTAATTTAATTCCAAGACTCATGTTTCATGTAGTCAGAATAGCACTTAGCATAGGGTAGATTTTTGTAAATGCAGATAGTAAATGATGTGTTTTAGCCCACACTTGTGAATTGAACATCAAAGTATAAAATCTGATTAAATTATTTGTGACTTCAAAGGCAATTAGTTATTCCTTTGGGCAAGATTTATGGCTTTATAAAAGGATTGGCATCTGTTTCAAAGTTTAATTGAAATGAACATTTCCAAATGTCTTGCTTTTGAAAATGTCTAGAGCAATTTAAAGCAGGGTTTCTCAACCTCAGCACTCATGACATTTGGGGCCAGACCATCAATTGTGTGGAGCTGTCCTGTGCACTGTAGGATGTTTAGCAGCGTCCCTGGCCTCTACCCACGGGATGCCAATAGCACCCCCACCCACAATTATGATGGACAGAAATGTCTTCAGACACTGCCAAGTGTCCCCGGGGGGGCAAAGTCATCTCCCCTTGTCCTCGCTGAGAACCAAGTACTATACTTTTGAATGTTAGCTTTTGAAGTTAGTGATAAGAATTCTGATTGCTTTATATTCAGTCATCTTTGAAGCTCTTCAATATTTGTATTGAATTTTATATCATTTTTTTTCTTTTTTTAGTAGAGATGGGGTCTCGCTCTTGCTCAGGCTGGTCTCGAACTTGAGCGATCTGCCTGCCTTGGCCTCCCAGAGTGCTAGGATTACAGGCGTGAGCCACCGCACCCGGCCATGGTCATTTCTTTATGGCTTATCTTGACCATAGTCATGAGAAGAGAAATGGAGACCTCGTTCTTCAGTTAATTATGTCACATACTTGCTCGGTCAGTAACTGTGTTAGGCACTGGGGATGTGTCGGGCAGCGTCCTGGATGCCTGGTGGCCAGCAGGGATCCTACTGTCCTGGAGCTGAGTTTCTCATGGCACGAGGAAGATGGTGGATGACAGGCACCTTGGCCACGTTAGCTGGGCCGACAGGGGAGGGGTTCTGGGGAGCTGACGTTGGAGCTGGCACCTGGACATGGAGGAGTACCAGCCAGTGTGGTCTGGGGTGGGGGCGAGGGGAGCCTTCTCTGGGAACCTCGGGTACAGCCTCAGGCTTGGGGTGGGAAGAGGCTTGACCTTCCAGGGTAGCATGAAGGTCAGCATTGCTGGAGATTCCAGGAGGCAAAGAAAGGTTGGATGTGAACTTGGAGAGGAGGTTGGATTTTATTCTGGGGACTAGGACGTGTATGGATAGTCTGGTGGCGGAGTGATGTGTTTCAGTGTTTGAGGGTTCTGCTCTGGAAACAGGGTGCTGTGGCATGTGAATAGTGCCATTGCGAACATTTGTGTCAAAAGATTTGTTTGAGTACCTGTTTTCAGTTCTTTTGGGTCCCTAAGGGGACTCCATGACATTCAAAAGTATTGTGTATCTGTTCATGTACTGCATATGTGTATGTAGTTTATACATAACAAGGGTAGTAAGATTTTTTTCACCCCTAAGAGCCACTTTTTGCCCTCTTGGGGGTTGTATTGTAGTAAGAGCACAGGGACTAGGGTGACAGCAGTGGAGAATGGAGTTCAATGGAGAGATCTGGGCTGTGTTTAGGAAGTAGAGTGCAGAGAGAGGCCTTGCTGAAGAGCTGGGTAAGTTGAGGCAAGAGAGCACTGGGGGATCCAGGTGTGCTTGTTTGGCTTTGAACCACCAGGTTAGGAGAGTTAACTGATACTTGGGAGGACGGGGCAGGTACAGAGGTTTCCACGGATTGGGGAGGTGGGACAGGTGGTATTTGGAGTGGGCATAGGAGGTCTGTTTCTCGGGGAGACACAGAGAAGAGTTTGCAGTGTGGGACTCATGGGTTGCTAGGTGACCCTGAACTGTGTCTTTTTCCCTGATTACATGAAGCTTTGCCGCCGCAGATGCCTGGGAGGGTGGGCCCTCCCCTCGCCTGGTGGCGTGGAGAGTGAGCCAGACCAATCTCCAGGGGAAACCAGTTGTTTCTTCGGGTGACGAGCACTTGGGTTCTGCTTGTTCCAGAACCAGTGGCAGTAACAGTACTGATCATAGCCCGCAGCTGAAGGCGTGTTGCCTGCCACGTGCTGTGCTAGGCAGTCTGTGAGTGCTTGTAGTCAGACTGGTTTAATGTATTTTCCTAAATTTAATTCTTAAAATAATTTCTTGTGTTTATTGAGCACTTGCTAGGCACCAAACGACATAGATTACTTTGCCTGATCCTTACCCGCTTCTCATTTCCAGATGGGGAACAGGCCTCCCACATGCACCCCTGCTTCATTCCTGTGTGGGTTTCTCAATTTCAGCACTATTGACATTTGGGGCCAGATGGGTCTGTCTGTCTTCTTCATTTTCCTTTTCCTTTTTTTTTTTTTTGAGACAGAGTCTCACTCTGTTGCCCGGGCTAGAGTGCCATGGCGTCAGCCTAGTTCACAGCAACCTCAATCTCCTGGGCTCAAGTGATCCTCCTGCCTCAGCCTCCCAAGTAGCTGGGACTACAGGCATGTGCCACCATGCCTGGCTAATATTTTCTATATATTTTTAGTTGACCAATTAATTTCTTTCTATTTATAGTAGAGATGGGGGGCCTCATTCTTGCTCAGGCTGATCTCGAACTCCTGACCTTGAGCCATCCTCCCGCCTCGGCCTCCCAGAGTGCTGGGATTACAGGCGTGAGCCACCGCCCCTGGCCCCAGATGGGTCTTTCTTGTGGGGGCTGTTCTGTACATTGTGGAAGGTTTCACAGCGTTCCTGGTCTCTACCTACAAGGTGCCAGTAGCAACCCCACTCTCCTAGTTGTGCCAACCCCAAGCCGTGTGCACACATTGCCCGAGTGCCTTGGGTAGCAGAGCGGCTGTGCCGGAGCGGCGGAGGTTCAAGAGATGAAACCAAGGTCCTCAAGGTTACCGGGGAAATAGAAAATAATGCTGTGATCATAGCGTGCAATTAACAGAGCACTCGCTAGATGCCAGGCTCCCTCCAGGTGACTCACGACAGCCTGATGAGGTATAGGTACTTCCATCATCCCTTCACATTGCGTAATCAGCATCTCTGCCGCTGCCAGGACAAAGATGCAGAGGTGACGGTAACTTGCCCAAGGTCACGCAGCTCGGCGGCAGCTGAGCCAGGACTGGAATCCGCAGTGTCTGGCTCCCAATCCACGCCTGAACCCAGCCTCTTTGTCCCTGGAGGCTTTCCTACTATATCGCGTTAGGAATGAGGTTGGCAGGCCTGGCCTGGGGGCTAAGACCAGCTCACGTCTATTGACTGGCTGAGTTGGCGCGCAAGTGTTAACCCATCGAACCCTCGTTCTGAGTGTTCCCATTTGGCAGGTGAGAAAACAGGCAAGTGCCCACCCATGGGTCCTGTTGCTTTTGAAGCCTTTAGGGACATCTTGATTCCTAACCCTAATTTGCCATCAGTGTATTTCTCTCAAGGACCAGATGACCTTGGAATGTCTGTTGCACATCATAGGAGAGCTGGCCATTTTGTTGTCGTGTATTTAGTCCCAGTTGTTTTTAAATGGGCCTAAGAAGTGTAAACAGGACGGTGCCAATGATGTGGGTCGCCGAGGGCAAAGCAGCAGGCAGGATGGGAAAGGTCTTTAGGAAGGCTCTTTTGGCCCCCCCCAAAAGCTCGTTTTGTTAAAATATAAATGGTTTGGTTTCCTGTCCTCCTTCCTCTCATCCAATGCAGTGATGCTGAGAAAGGAGCAGGTTGTGGGCAGTTTTAAGGCATTTTTAAAAGCCCCAGGCATAGGTGCAATTCTCTGTCCTCTTATAAAAAAGTTCGGAACACAATAAAGAGGGAGATAATTTTCCAACGTCTCCTTCACTCCATCTGGTGCTGAGTTTGGCTTCATGCAGCCTCGAGGACCTTTGAAATGGGAGCTGGAGATTTCCCAGGGGCCGTGGCGGTCACTGGCAGGTGCAGAGGCCGCGTGGGAGCCGGGGCGGCGTCTCCTCCCAGACGGACGACACGCCTCTGCGAGCCTGGCTCTGGGTCTCCGCATCTGGACTGGGGGGGGGCTGCTTTAATCGCTGTTTATTTTGAGATTTATACCCGTGAATGGGCCAAACCAATTTCAGTGGCAGCTTAGCCGATTTGTCTTAGAGCTTTGTGCTAAATAGACTAAGTAGTGAGGCCTTCTTCCTTTGTGGCTTTAATGGTTTAACGTTGAGTTAAAGCCCTTTGCTTAAAATAAACGGCCAGCCCTCCCCATCCCGCGCCATGTGCGAGGCTGCGGTGGCCTTATTGAAATCAAATACTATTTCATAATTCGTCTGTTTCCTCCCTCCCCCACACCTACAAGTTTTACTTGTTTGTTTATTTGTAAAACCTGTCTTTTAACAATGACATACTTTTCCAGCTTCGCCAACCTCTACAAAGACGGGACAAGCGGGGAGTCTCTCTGACAGCCCGAAACCTTTCTCTCCTCAACCATCAACTCCGATCACAATGAAAACAGACAAAACGTCCACCACTGGAAGCATCCTGAATCTTAACCTGGGTCAGTTGGAATTTTTGGAAGGATCTTTCTCTGACAACTGTGAATGTTTTTGCAAGTTGTGATGTTCTCTTTTGTATGTGGTTCTTGGACCTTGAACTCTGTGTGAAAAAATGTAAACGATACAGACAACTAAGGGATTTCGTGGGGCTTGTGGACATGAAAAGTGGTTTGATCTTGGTGTATGTTAGGCAGTGTCTACAGCCTTCCCTGCCCTTGAACCCCGAAATAACCCTGTTCTCCTGTATGTAAATGCAGACTCTGAACAGAAATGCGTTTCATGCATCAGTGTTTAACCCTCTATCACTATGTGCAGTGATATTCCTCTATTCTCTCATAATTTTTTTAAAATGCTAGTTTTTAGCTCATGAATACTAATAATAACTTATTATTTTTTAACCCATTGGGTTGTTGGTTGTTTTAAAAACTCGACCTTAGGCCAAAGCCTTTAGCAAAATTTGGTACCAGAAATGCTAAACAACCAAGTGTGAAGTTGTTATTGATTGATACATCCCATCATGACTCCTGATTTTCATCGAGCCTGTGTTATGTGCTGTGTGCTGTTGTAAGCTTGGAGAGCAAGTCGGCTAAGGACCCTGCTCTTGTGCAGCTTGGGTTATAGAGAGGGAGTGACAGTAATCAAGCTAAATAAGCAAGATGGGTCCCCACTGTGATGGATGCCTGGAAGGTGAAGCGTGTGGACGTGATCAGGAGAGGGGTGGGCAGGTTGGGGCAGAGGTAGAGGTTCACTTAGGGGGAGGGTTGGGGGGGGTTCTTCTTTGAGGAGGTGATATTTGAGCTGTGATTTGCATGATAAGAAAACCCAGCAGTGCCACTCTCTGGAGGAAGAACATTCTAGAAGGAATAAGAGATTTTAAAGGCCCCAGGATAAAGATTAACTGGGTGTATTAAGGGAGTAGCAAGGAGGCCTCATCTCAGTGAGTAGGGGAGGGAGTCAGGGAGAGAACAGGGGCCTTCTGTACCCGGGGTGTGGAGGGGGTGGCAGGGGAGGATGTGAGGCAGGAATTAGGGTTCCCTGAGGCCAGGGCAGGTAATTCCGGGACTCTTGATTTGTTCCTTGGATAGGGTAGCCCTCCTCCCTTTGGAGGGGGGAGAGGCGGTTGCATGCTGCTGGCATCTAGAGGTTGGAGGCCGGGGTTGCTGCTGAACATCCGGTAGCGCACAGGACAGCCCCACACAGCCCCAGGATCCAGCCCCATGGCGTGCTGAGGTTGCGAGTCAGCGCCAGACCCTCAGGAAGGGCCCTGGATGCTGAGCACTGGAGGTCAGGCAGAGCAGGACAGTGAGGGAGGAGGCCGCACCAGGGAAGTGTGCCGCCCTGGAGGCTCCAGCACTGGGGGTTTCAGGAAGGGAGGTGGCCACCTGAGCCCAGGGGGCTTGGGTGTCAATTCCACAGCCTTTGGTGGCGGGCGCCCTCCAGGCCCAGCTTGTCCTGCAGTGGCATTTTTGGTTGGAGAAACTGACGTCTGGAGAGGAGGCGTGAGGTGCCCAGGATCCCAGAGCCAGGGGCAGCAGCAGGGCTGCAGCTCGGCCTGTGTCTCCGTCCTGGGTCACGTGTTCGTGCAGCCCAGGTGTGATAGGACAGGCAGGGTGGTTGCTTTTGGGGTCCAATTCAGATTGGTTGGTTGGTTCCTCAAACGAAAGGGGACCCATTTGCTGCCTTGGGAACATTCACTGTTCCCAAAAAAGTGGCTTGCTTTCTCACGCCCTCCTCCCACCTCCACGCCCCAAAAAGAAACGCCGTGCGGAGGTGTTGTCACAGTGACGTCTCCTCTCTGCCGGTCATGCATGGCGAGAATAGCTCTCCCTAAACCAGGTGGTCACTGGGCATCCTCGTGACACCACGGGTCTTTCGATTTCGCTTGAGCCGTAGTGGGAGTGAAAGGTTTCTTCCCGCTGCGTGTCCTGGTGGGTGGGCGGGTGCACTGGTGGGTGGGCACGGGAGGCCGAGGCTGTCTTGTCCTGTCTCCCGGTAGCTCTTCCAGTCCTGGGACATAGTCCTCATCTTCATCAGTGGGACCGAAGCATTGGGAATGTAGGTGTTTCACGGGCTGGGATTTCGGTTACCTAATGGGAAGAGGATCAGCTAGGGACTGATGGAAGGACTGTGTGGGGAGGGGGCAGAAAAGTCAGAATGTGGAGGGAAATGCCAAAGGATTCTCCAGCGGTTTCCCGAGGACTGGACACATGCGTTATGGGGCTTGATTATGTCTGTCGTCTGTGCAACTTACTACCGTCAGCAGATGGAATAGATAGGGAGTGCCAGGCATAAATGGTGAGATGATTGTATCTAGCAAAACAGGACTTCATTAAACAAACAAAACATTGGAAAAGGCCAATTTCTAGAGATGGAACAGGTCAGTGATTGCCAGGGATTGGAGTAGGGGAGAATTTGTCTACAAACGAGGAGGGTATTCTTTGGGAGGTGGGACAGTTCTGCATTCTGTTTGTGGCGGTGGTTACATGAATCTCTGCAGGTGTTACAACTCACAGAACTGTATTTCCTCTCAAAATGAATTTTACTTTCTGTAAATTAAAACTATTAAAAATAATTACAACAATCTTTGAAGGAGGTAATAGCCCCATTTCACAGAAGTGTAAACAGAGGCACAGAGAAGCAAAGTCACCTACCCAACATCACACGTGGTTCCTGGTGGAGTTTGGCCGTTAGGGTCACGTTTGTCTGCTGCAGAGCTTGAGCTCTTAGCGGAGGTACCCGAATGCAGTGTGCTACCAAACAGGGCCGTGGTTTGACTTTCATGGCCCTGGGCAGCGTTTCCCGTGCCTGTTGGATAAGGCAGCCTGGCCGTGGGGGTCGAAGGTAAGTGACGAACACCGAGGACAAAGTGCCTTTCTAAAGGAAGTGGCTCTTGCCACTTGAACTTGTCAGACTCTGAATTGTAAAGAAAAAACAGAAATCCAGATTTTTATGTGAATTCTCCTGGTGTGTTTGTTTCTTAAAAGTCGGCAATCCGTTTCATTAAAAACGCAAACCCAAAACTCTACTTCGGCCAAACAGTGCAACCGAAAACCAGTCCGTGGGTCCTCTGACCGCCTCACCGTCCATGCATGGGGGGAGACTGTGCAGGGCCCTGGCTCTTGCCCTGCTGCTAGCGCACGCACTGCTCCCCTCATTGCCGTCTCGTCCCTAAGATGAGGGGCTGAGCCCCCGTGGGCTGTCACAGACCGCTTCTGGGACTCAGCGGCGGCGATTATAAATAAGTCATAAACAGAAATGTGTTTCTGAGGTGGGAAGAGAAGAGGAGGGCCTGATTCTTTGCTTCTAGACTCCTGTTTGCTTTTTCCTCTTATCTCGAAGAAGGTGTTTACGTTGGGCCGAACACACCAGGAATCCTGTCAGTGACAAAAATGTGCCTTGATGCCCTGGCGAAGATGCCAGCAGAGCAGTGGAAAGTTGTCAGACCCAGAGCACTTCTGCTTGTATGCTTCTCCTCTTTACTGACACAGGCCTCTTGCTTTCTGTGCGTGAAGCAGTGCCTTGGGAGCCGGGCCTTCTTGGGTAGCGCGAGTGCAGCGCCGGGCCCGGCTTGTCGTCTTGCTTTTGTTCACAGTGAACGAGGCAGCAAGATCTCTGCCTGGCTTCGATTGATAGATGGCTTCTGCCGGCGTCTCTTGTCTAAATGACATTCGCTGAAGGAACTGCCGTTTTGTGGCTCCTGGCAGTCCCTGAAGTGCCTGTCCTTTTAGAACAAAGGAGATCGCTCTCTGTACTTTCTAACTGAAAAAGAAGTGTTTATGTTTTTCTTTTAAAAGTTTATTTTGTTTTTAGAAGGAATGCACATGGTAGGAGAAATTTCTTTCTTTCTTTCTTCTTTTTTTTTTTTTTGTCTGTCAGCTGGTCTACAGTGCCGTGGCATCAGCCTAGCTCACAGCAACCTCAAACTCCTGGGCTCAAGCGATCCTCCTGCCTCAGCCTCCCGAGTAGCTGGGACTACAGGCACGTGCTACCATGCTTAGCTAATTTTTCTGTTTTTGGTAGAGATGGGTCTCGCTCTTGTTTAGGCTGGTCTCAAACTCCTGAGCTCAAATGATCTGCCCGTCTTGGCCTCCCAGAGTGCTGGGACTAAAGGCATGAGCCACCGTGCTGGCTAATTTTTTTCTGTTTTTAGTAGAGAACAGGGTCTTGCTTTTGCTCAGGCTGATCTTGAACTCCTGAGCTCAAGCAATCCTCCTCCTGCCTTGGCTTCCCAGAGTGCTAGGATTACATGTGTGAGCCACCACACCCAGCTAATTTTTTTCTATTTTTAGTAGAGAACAGGGTCTTGCTTCTGATCTTAAACTCCTGAGCTCAAGCGATCCTCCTCCTGCCTTGGCCTCCCAGAGTGCTAGGATTACAGGTGTGAGCCACCGCGCCCGGCCATGTAGGAGAAATTTCAAAGCATAGAAGGACGTTTTATGAAAAGCCAGCCTGTCTGTAGCTCTCATCACTTGCCTCCATGCCCATCCCCACAGGTGACCTTGGTTTCGTTTCCTGTTTTGGTTGCCCCAGAGACCTCTTCTAGCTATGTACCGTTGGTTCTCAGCCTGAGTGATTTTTGTCCCCCAGGTGATATTTGGCAATGTCTGGTGACAATTTTTTTGTCGTACCTGGGACGTGGGTGCTTCTGGCATCTAGTGGGTAGAGGGTAGGGATGCTGCTGAACAACCTATGACATGGGGGGCGGCTCCCCCACTCCACCCACAACAAAGACTCCTCCAGGCCCTAAATGTTAACAGTGACAATGTTGAGAAACGGTGAGAATACGTAATATCTATGTTCCATTTGCTGCTTTTCTCCCCTGCACCAGTGCTGAAGTGCTCTACTGATTGTTGCTGTTTCATCTGATAGGTTGGCTTTTCATATCAACACGTAGAAATCTGCCTTACTCTTATTTTAGCAGCCTTATTAATTCCATTTAAAGGTAAGCTGGGACATTTATTCAGGCACCTTATTTATTGACTCTAGCTTATTTTTTGTTTTTGCTGTTGAAAACAGCTGCAAGGAGGGCACTTTGGCCCGCGTGGGAGGGTGTCCGTCGGATGGCTTCCTGGAACCGGCGCGAGGGTCAGAGGCCACGTGCGGCTGACATTTTGAGAGGTGTTGCCAAATTACCCTTGAAAGAGGTGGCTCTGATTCATGTTGCCTCCAGAAATGTAAGACCGTGCCTCTTTCTGTGGCGTGGGTATTTCTTATCCCTTGTTTCCATTTATAGCCTAAGCTGTCTTCCTATCAGCTGAAAAGTTCAAAATGTTGGCAGCAAGGGTGGATTCTGAAGATATTCCCGATATAGAAGGGCAGGGGTGGAAGAAGTCCTGATAAGCTACTAGGAGCTAAATGAGAAAGTGAAACTCTTCTTTTTCTCCCTGCGGAGGAGAGGAAAGTCAAAATGCACTGGAAGTTTTGAGAAAGATAATTACATTTGACTGAACTCCTGAAGGTCTGGTCCCGGCCTCTGGGCATTTGGTGGTTTATTCTAACAAAAGTGAAACATAGTCCACTGAGCAGAGATACCTTATTTTGTGAAACGAGAGGCTTTACCACCTTTGCATTCTTCTTGGTTATGAATATTCCAGAGTTCAGTCTTGTTAGGCTAAAGTTTAAGGGGCTGCATTTACTTTAGGTGTGTACACACACACACACACACACACACACACACAGCTTAATTATTGTAGTGAGGTCTGTCTCTTTTTATACACCCTATGGTTCGTAAGGGTGGTACTATGAACACAGACCCCCAACTCACCTAGAAGATTGGTCTGATTACGGGAGTTCTCAGCCTTACCTGCCAATTAGAATCGCCTGGGAGTTTGTAAAAGGCAGATACCCAGGTTGTCCCCCAGGCTAATTAAGTCAGAATTTCTAATGGTGGGGCCCAGGCATCAGGATTTTCTAAAGCACCATGGGCAAATTCACTGTGCAGCCAGGGTTAGCTGTCACTGGACTAGTAGTACAGGAGATGGCAAATTTTACAGCTTTCTGGCCACATCTGGCCCCCTACCTGTGTTTGCAAATAAAGTTTTACTGGCACACAGCCATACCTATTTATATGTTGTTCGTGGGTGCTTTTGCAGCAAAGCCTATATGGCCTGCAGAGCATGAAGTATTTGCAGAAAAAGCTTGTTGCCCTTTGTCTAGATTTTTTTGGTAACTGTGGAATGCAGTGAGCCTACAGGAATGTTCTTGAAGACACTGATAGGCTGGGCTAGGCTGGGCGTGGTGGCCACGCCTGTAATCCTAGCACTCCGGGAGGCTGAGGTGGGAGGATTGCTCAAGGTCAGGAGTTAAAGACCAGCAAGAGCGAGACCCTGTCTCTACTAAAAATAGAAAGAAATGAATTGGCCAACTAAAAATATATAGAAAAAAAAAATCAAGCCGGATGTGGTGGCTCACGCCTGTAATCCTAGCACTCTGGGAGGCTGAGGTGGGCGGATTGCTCGAGGTCAGGAGTTCGAAACCACCCTGAGTGAGACCCCGTCTCTACTAAAAACAGAAAGAAATTAATTGACCAACTAAAAATATATATACAAAAAATTAGCCGGGCATGGTGGCGCATGCCTGTATTCCCAGCTACTTGGGAGGCAGAGGCAGGAGGATCGCTTGAGCCCAGGAGATTGAGGTTGCTGTGAGCTAGGCTGACGCCACGGCACTCACTCTAGCCTGGACAACAAAGTGAGACTCTGTCTCAAAAAAAAAAAAAAAAAAAATCAGCCGGGCGTGGTGGCGCATGCCTGTAGTCCCAGCTAGTCGGGAGGCTGAGGCAGGAGGATTGCTTGAGCCCAGGAGTTGGAGGTTGCTGTGAGCTAGGCTGACGCCACGGCACTCTAGCCTGACAATGCAGTGAGATTCTGTCTGAAACAACAACAAAGAAAAGATACTGATAAACACGTCCCTCAGCTGGCCCTCCTCTCCTCTCACCTCCTTGCATGGGAGGTGTTTTGTGTGACCCTTCTTTTCCAGCTTTGTGAAGGGGCTGCCCTCTCCCCCAGATCCAGCGTGCTGCCCCGCTTCTGAAAGCGGCACGCTGAAACGGGCCGCAGACCTTCCCCTTCGCCGGCACGTTTGCGGCTCAGCTGTGACGGCCTTCAGCCCTGCTCACTCCACCTGCTCTTCAGTCTGGCTTTTCTCTTTCCTTTCTCTGGTCCGTATTCTTTTTCCCTTGCTGTTTTACCCTATCAATTCTCTTTGTGAGCTGCTTCAGATTCCTTGCAGACTGAGAATAGATAGAAATCATTTTCTAGCTTTCTCCAGTAAATTTGACTGAATGTTCTTTCCCGTCTCAGAGGTGGCTGTGGATTCACACTGCCCTCCCTGTGAGTGTCTGCTGTCCTGTCTCAGCCTCTCTGAAGAGCCCCTGGTCAGCATGCACGTACACTCGTGCGTGTGCGTGCACACACACGCTTACACATGCATGTGCACAGATATGTTTTTTTGGCGTTTTTCTTGAATTGCAGGGATGGTGTCTCTGCTTGCTTTGAGCATTCATTTCGGGAGCAACCCTCAAGTGTGTTTTAGGAAAAGAGAGAGAATCCTTCCTGGTTGGGTACCATGGCCCATGCCTATCATCCCAGCACTTTTGAGAGGCCAAGGTGGGAGGATCACTTGAGGCCAGGAGTTCAAGGCCAGTGTGGCCAACAGAGGGAGACACCCTGTCTCTACAAAAAATTAAACGATCGGTTGAGTGTGGCGGTGCACCTGTTGTCCTGGGTATTCAGGAGGCTGAGGCAGGAGGATCGCTGGGCCCAGGAGCTCAAGGTTGCATTGAGCTATGATCACACCACTGCACTCTAGCCTGCGTGGCAGAGTGAGGCCCTGTCTCAAAAAGAAAAGAATCTTCATAATCTTACTGGGGATATCATTATGGTGATAAAATTAAGTTGGACCAACTCGTTTCTGGTCACCTATGAGTGGGTTGGGCGGGGCTTTTGGGACACTGCTTCTGGTCACTTTGGGGGAACTGATTTCTGGGTCTTCTGTGTTAGCGAATGCCCCCTTACTGGGTGACTGGGAAGGTGTTTGGGTCGTGCCAAAACAAAAAGAGAGGAGAGAGTGAAGGCTTCGAGTAGTCCTTCCGGTCCAGCTCTCAGGCTAGATCCCGGCACGTCTTCTACAGCCCAGTGACAGCAGTGGGCTTTGGCGTGGAGTGACATTGGTGGCCTTTGGCATGGAGGGAGCAGGATGGTGAAGGGAAGTCCAGGGAGCGAGTTCATAGCTGGTGGGCACAGGCTTGGAGGTGGCTTCTCTTTGGGTGCCACCTGCTTTCTGACCTGTGTCCTGGGATCAGCTGGCATAGGACAGGTGCCCACGTTCTTTGCTTTGGGTGGGCTGGAGGGGAGGCCAGAGGCCGGCGGGCGAAGTGAAAGACAGTCTGCCCCACTTGTGGAGTCCCTCGTTGCTTTCTAGACCTTCCTTTGCAGCCACCTTGATCGCCCTGCCTTCTTGCATTTGGGGGATAGCAGAGGAGTGAGAAAGGGATTTGAGAAATGCAAGCTCACCGACCCTTGGGAATCTGGTCCCCAGTCCTATAAAGAGCTCTTGGCAGAAGTGAGGGGACAGGCCTGAGTTACCCTCAGAGGCCTTTGCCTGGGAATTGGGCTGAGGAACTTGGACTCGTACCTGAGCGAGAAGGCCTGTTGGACACAAGTTTAGTATCTAGGGCTAATCTGTTCACCACCTTGCCTCCCGTAGATGATGCTGTGAGCCGCAGGGAGGTATAGCACGCTGGTCGGGGGTGCCTGGCCTATATTTTTCTCCCTTTCTAGTTTGAGCCCCAGACCTGGTTGGCTGAGAATGAAAAACGAGGCCTCCAGGGGAAGCAGGCAGCCGGGGTGCTTTCTGAGTGGCTCTGTGTCTTTCTTGGAGACAAGTCCGCTCTAATCTGGACCTCAGATCAAGTTCAGAGCACACTCTGGCCACACTCGGTGTTGCTTTATCTGCTGATGCTGGGACGGAACATGCTACTGTCACCTTTGGCTTGGGAGGGTCCCTAAGGATGCTGAGTTCCGCAGACCGAACCGTGTGGCTGGGATGGTCCATTTTAAATACTGAAGGCAACCCAGAAGGTTGTTCTACAGGCAGAGTCAACCTGCCAGGCGTGTTCGCTCGGGCCATTATCTTTATGTCACCCCATGTTGTGGGGCATGTGATATTGTCGGGACGAGTTGCAAAACATTGTATGCCCCCGATGCCTCCACCCCCACCCCCATGTTCTAGAACGTGTGTTTTGCTCTGACTCTGCACGGAGGGAGCCCGAGAGGAGCACTGTGTGCTCGCCCCGCGCGTGCCTGGCTCACGGGGGCGCGATGGTGTCTTGCAGACCGCAGCAAGGCGGAGATGGACCTGAAGGAGCTGAGCGAGGCCGTGCAGCAGTCGGCGCCCGTCCCGCTCATCTCGCCCAAGCGCCAGATCCGCAGCCGGTTCCAGCTGAACCTCGACAAGACCATAGAGAGTTGCAAAGCACAACTAGGTATGTCTTGGGGTTTCTTTTTGGGCACCATTATTATACAAGACTTGTAGGGGATACCACCTGCATGGAGTAAAGGCTGAATCCTGGCTGCTTTTAGCAGCTGCTTTAACCTTGAACTTGTTTGTTCCACTAACATACATTTCCACTCATGGCAGAATGTTTCAGACTTGTAGTTAATTATTCAGAAGGGCTCTTTGACCTGTTCCGAGTTTATTCTTTGGTGAAGGCAACCCACAAACTCGAGATGCTGGTTTGAGGCATAAAGGCTTAAAGCACAGAAAAGGTCCCCTGAGTTTGCCTCTGCTCTCTTCCCCGGTGCTCACGCCTCGTGAGTGTCTCCACATTGCGACTGAGATGTCCCACAGGTGTCCGACACAGATCCTTTCCCCGTCTGACTGGGCTGCTCCCTGCCTGGCACACCCTTCCTGCCTCTGTACCTGTCACCTCCTTCCCTCCTTCCTGTGCCGCCTGCGTTCACACTGCCCATTGAATCCTGCCTTTCCCTCGGGCTGAGCTCAGATCTCACCTCCTCCAGGAAGTCTCCCCTGACTGCTCTCCCCATCTGCCTACCTTCTTTGGTTCCTTATGCTTAGAAGCATTAGTGGTGCCTTTGTATGGGGGTACCCCTCCCACTCTAGATTGGAAGCTCCTTGAGGGCAGGGAGGTGGTTTTGTAAGGATGTGCCTTCTCCATGGTACTTGGTCTTGTGCACATAGTAGATGCTCTGGAGTGTGTGTTGAATAAGTAAATAAAGCCAGAAGGGTGTTTATAGAGAAGTGGGGGATGGGTAGGCTTCAGGGGAGAGAGTTACTGAGAGGTGAGGCTTATGGTGTCAGTGGAGGTCTGGATCTTTAGGTGAGGAGGGAGTTGTAGTTAGGGGTCATCTGGCTCTGTCCAGGAGACAGCAGTCCTTGTTGGTGTGCCTGTTTGGTGAGGACATTGAGTGGCATGGATGGAATCTGGCATGCCATTTAATCGTTCCTCTTGGGCCCATCCACACAGCTGGTCTAACCTTGATCTGTTACTGTTGCTAGTAAGAATTTTAATATTTCTATCTACATCCCGTACTGTGCTAAGCACTGTGTTTGTGGATTGTCCTGAGAGGTTGATACTATTACCTGTCCATTTTGCAGATGAAAAAACTGAGGCTCAGAGAGAGAGATTACTCATCCAGAGTCCCAGCTAACAAAAGCATAGAAGCAGGATTTGGATTCATACCCATTGGACTTTTAATACGCAAGCTTTTCCTTCCACGTGTGTGGTCAGACTTTTCCTCCTTATTTCCAGCTGTTAGCTACCAGTAGCACGAGCCTAGGATCCCAAAATTATACCAGATCTGGGTTTTTGCAGTTTGACTTGTGTTTTTGATTGAGCCTGAGGCAGATGTCATTCCCCAGTGATTCTGCCGATCTCCCTGCCCTGGGCTGTTTGTGGCTGTTGTCCTTTTGCAGGTTTCTCTTTGGCGTGTCTGGGTCTGTTCAGTGATGCCTCTCGTGGTGGCATTGCTCTAGAATGAAGACCCCGTACAGAGAGCTGATTGGGTTTTTCTTCCTCGTCAGAATTTTAGGTTATAGTATGCCTAAACCACAGCCTGATGACTGACACTTGGTGCGTTATTGGGAGCAGGAAGCATAAATGGGTTCGATGGGACTATTGTTAGAAATATGCTTTTGTATATTTTTGTTTGTCTGAAACACCTGGTCGCTTTTGATAGGGACAGAGAAGCGTGTGACTTTCCTCTTGACTCCTTTGTAAGTGGAAGATCAGTGCTAACAACACAGTGGCAGTTGACTGTCCACATCAGTGCAGGGAGCGAGGGAGAGGGCTGGGCACCGAGGTGCCTGCAGGCGTGTGCTCCCCGCCGGAAGGAGCCAGTGGCTTCTCTGCCCCTGCCGGCTGTTGCCTGGCAGGCTGGTGACCCAGAGTGGCCACATCGTCTGCTATTTCAGCAGAAGTGTGCCACCTTGATTTCTATATGCAATTTCCCGATTTGTGAATTGGGCAACAAACAATACTAAATTAAAAAACAAAAAGCAAACAACAGAGTACCCTGCGGGCCAAACCATTGCTTCTTAACTAAGAGCAATGTTTGCTAGCTAGATGAGGCTTGTGGGGTGAGAGTGTGCAACTGCTGCCTTCAGACTTCGGTTATTTGTTTGAGCACCCTAGACACAAAGGGTAAAGGACTCTTAATCCTTTGTCAACACAGGAGCAGAGTGCTGGTGGTGAGTCAGGAGCCTCCAGGTTCTGGTCTGGCCTGTCTTGGTTTTCTTTGTGTCCTGGGGCGAATGATCTCTCTGGGCTTCTATTTTCAAGTGTGTAAATTGGATCAGGTTGAACAGCTCATCCCTGCTGTTCCCTTCTAGCCCTCCCTTTCTCTGTATCCCAGTTAGCTATCAGTGTTGCAGAGATTCAGCTTTGCATAAATTTAAAATTTGTGTTTTTAGGTCCCATGTGGTCTGTGAATGTTAATAACCCAAACTCTCCAAATGCAAGTTCCACTTGTCAGCTGCAGTCAGTTGCCACTTGAGTTCATTGCTCAAGTTAGTGATCCTGCCAGGCCCGGGGTGATGCGATTTGAAATGTGTTCTCTTATTCCAGCATTTGGCGTGGAGAATGTTTGCATTTTTGGTCCTGCTCTTTATTTTGTGACTACGCCACATGCTGGGTTTTCTTTTTGAATTTAGGCATCAATGAAATCTCGGAAGACGTTTACACAGCCGTAGAGCACAGCGATTCCGAGGATTCCGAGAAGTCGGACAGTAGCGACAGTGAGTATATCAGTGACGACGAGCAGAAGCCCAAGAATGAGCCAGAAGACCCAGAAGACAAAGAGGGAAGTTGCGGGGACAAAGAGCCATCTGCTGTCAAAAAAAAGCCCAAACCGGCAAACCCGGTGGAGATTAAAGAGGAGGTGAAAAGCATGTCGCCCACCAGCGAGCAAGTCGATCCCGGAGCAGCCAAGGACAAGGCCAGCCCTGAGCCGGAGAAGGATTTTCCAGAAAAAGCAAAACCGTCACCTCATCCCACGAAGGATAAACTGAAGGGAAAAGATGAGACAGATTCCCCAACCGTACATTTGGGCCTGGACTCCGATTCAGAGAGCGAACTTGTCATAGATTTAGGAGAAGAACATTCTGGGCGGGAGGGTCGAAAAGCTAAGAAGGAACCCAAAGAACCATCTCCCAAGCAGGATGGTAAGTGATCCCACCGGTTTCCCGTTTCTTCATTGGGTTTAGAATTCCCCCGTGTATGTGTGTCACCAAAAGTCACGTGACCCTCTGACACCACCAAGAGAGGCACAGCAAAGCCGTGATCGGCTTAAGGTCACCTAGATAGTTGCCAAACAGGACCAGGATGTACATGTAAGGCCCACCTGCTCAGCACCCAGCATGGCTGGTTTTGAGTACAGAAAAATAAGTCCCTTGGAAAATGGTAGTTGCCTCTAGTGGCCAAGTCATTTCCCGCCTAAGCAGTATGCTTATGTATTTCCCTAAGGTGTTTGTTAACGTTTAGCCATCTGACTAGGCTCAAATGGTGTTAGAAGCATTCAGTGCAGAGGTCTTGACAAGTTCTGCATCCCTTCCCTCCCCTCGTGTTGCCCGGGCATTTGCAAGTGTATTCTCTTACTAGAATAGGGCGCTGTGGGCATGGGTGGTGCCAGAAGGCCAAGTGCTTCTTGGGGCACCAGAAAATGAAGGGGCGTTTACAGTGGATGCCTGTATTGGCATTTTGTCCTGCTTGCATTTAAATGACCTGAGCCCAGGGTTTCCCAGCTTTGCACCAGTGACAGTTTACTCTGGATAATTCTTTGTCCGGTGCATTGGAGGATGGTTTCTAGCATCCCTAACCTCTACCCACTGGATGGCAGCAGTACCTGCCCAGTCGTGGCAGTCCGGCATTCCCAAATATCTCCTGGGGGGCACAGTCTCCCCTGTTGAGAGCCACTGCCTGAATCTTAGAGGCCTCCTGTTGCTACTGGTAGATTCTGAACCAGCAGTGATTGCCCCGAAGCCTGGGGCAGCAGGAACATTTGGCAAACCCTCCAGGCGCGTGTGAATGAATCGAAGGGCGCCCTTCCCACTGACACAGTCAGTATTCAGTGCGTTTTTCAGTTGGCTTGAAAACTGGGCGGTGAGAGAATTCCAACACGCCCAAGAAGGAAACTGAAGAAGGACGAATTAGAGGTTGTAGCTATCAAACCTTATATACTTTGTGAGTGACTTTGAAGGGATAGCCAGGTTTCATTTTTGACTATGCCTAACTTCGGACATCAAGTTCTCAGCCAAACCCTTGAGTAAGATGTCATTCTATGTCCTTTGGGGCTTCTGTAGCCCGGCAGCTTAAAGCATGTCAGAGATGGGCTTTGAGAATCTTTCCATTGTGGTTATGTCCACCTGGGTCACTCTGGAATCTGTTTTCTGGGGGGAGAGAAGATCCCTGCAGTTCAGCTAAAGATAACGAGATGTGTCTGAATGGTGCAATGGAGGAAGAGAGAGATGGGAGGGAAGACCCCCAGACCATCCCTGAGCCACCTCTTAGATTTATGGATGGCTTCTGAAAAATACAACAGTGTCGTGGTTTGGGGTTCGAGAGATTGCCTTTGTTGTTGCAGAGAACAATAGGAGTAGCATTTTATTCTATGAGGATTGTGGGAATGCTTGGGTGCAGGTGGCAGCGGTCTTATGAATGACATACTTATACTGTTCCTTTCTCCCTGGAACAGATCTTTTGATGATTGGTTTTATGCTCCTTCCTCTTCCAGAAAGAATTTGCAACAGATTGACCAGGATATGTAACCACGAACTGAGAGGAAAATAAAGAAATCAGTGTAGGGGGGGAGGAAGGGGGGGGCAAGGGCAATATTTGTAACCCTAACAATATTTGTACCTCCATAATATGATGAAATAAAAGGAAAAAAAAAGAAATCAGTGTAAAAGGAAAATGAAGGTAGAATAGCGAGTGGCCTGGGGAAAGGTTTCACGTAGACATATGTACCATTCCAACCTTCTCAGTTAGCGAAGTTGGGTTTCTGTGTTGGCTCTGAGCTTCCTAGTAGTGAAAGCAAAATAGGAAACATGCACAGTTCCTTAAAAGATTTAAAAAAAAATAAAAAACATTCCAGTTGGTTAAAAGAAGCCGAGCTTATGCTTGCACTGACTGAAAGAAATTTCTCCAGGAGGCCCCGAGTAGATAGTGGACTATTAAGCTGAAGATGATACGAAAACACAGTTCAGTTAGAGCAGCATCCCAGGGCTTGGGGCAAAACTGACTAATCTTAAATCTAGAGCCCCTGTTGATGGTTCAGTTCTTGAAAAATCATATTTGTGTTCGATTCCACAGTAGAGCATCTTTTCAATGATGTGCTTTCACTTATATTAAGTAAAGGGCATCTTGAAGTGTGCTGTGGTGACCTCCAGTTTACCATGAGCTAGGAATGCGGCTTATGTAGAATAGGAATCCTCAGTAAAACAGCTTTTGTAGTTAGTGATCTCAGAACAGAGGCACAGGGAGTTCACTTAGAGACTGCTTACTATGTTTACCCTGGCACATCAATAATTTCTACCCTCTTCCAAAGGGGATGCTAATTCTTCTCTTAAAAAGTCCTGCATTTATGTGCAAAACAGTGGCAAGTGACAAATTCTGAAATAAGTAGATTAATTTGGTGGTGCAGCTTCTGGGTTACTAGGCCCTTTAAGTAATTCACCCCCTTTTGGGGGCTATAGATGATTGATTATATACTGTGAAATTTCCTGTAGCCCCCCCCCCTTTTTTTTTTTGCTCCATATGCCATCAGAATCCCTAGAAATGAAAATATCTGGGGTATCTGCATGATAACCCCAAATAGTTCTTTGAGCCTAGAATCTTTTCAGATTGTGCAGTTCAGTTTTTTATTTGGAAAACAGAGCCAGTTACAGTGGTGCATGCCTGTGATCCCAGCTGCTCAGGAAGTTGAAGCAGGTGGGTCGCTTGAGACCAGCACTGACCACTGCAGAGCAGTCGGCCCCCTCTGCAAAGGTAGCTGGTTGCCTTTGCCCAATGGGGACTGGTCTAGCTAATGAACAGCAGTAACACTATATTCCTTGGTCACGTGGTAGAGAGGAAGGTATTGAGGGCACTTTTGCAGGTTAGAAACCCTGCTCTGAGGCTCTTAGAAGGGCCCAGTTCAGTGCCGCATCTGCACCTGCAGGGGACAGGGAATGTGTCCGGTGCCTGGCAGGTCACTGTGGAAGGATCAGGCCTTCTTGTTGCAGGACGCTCCACCTCCAGTCCCACCCCGGGCTCTCGCCCACCAGCTTGGCTGCATTCTCCCCTGCAGAGGAGCAGGTGGGCCGGCCGCACGTGGTAACCGCCGAGAAAGCCCCCGAGTCAGAGGAGTCAGCTTGTCTCTTCCCCTTATTCTGCTCAGCTTTTTAAGACCCACAGCTTACTGAAAATCTCCCTGGAATAATCAAGCTCACGACCTTCTGGGTGATATAAATCTACAAAGATAGGCGTAATCCTTATTAATAGGGGTTTAATGTCAAGGAGCATTGTCTGAGATCAAGGGTGCTGGCTCGTAGCCATGGTTGGTGCGTGTTGTCCGGGCTTCCTCTCTGGGGGGGTCAGCTCACCTAAGCTGGGCCTCTGCTTCCATACCCCACCCACCTGTACACACCAGCACCCACACGGTCACCCTTTCCTGGCTGCTACTCTGTGCTTCTGGCTCTAACCTGCCTTCCAGCCACTCCACCTCCTATCTGCCCTCACTCACTCACCAGAGTGTTGTCTGCTCCTAGGCACGTCTTGGCTGATGCTGTTCCCTCCAGATTCTCACTTCTGCCTGTTGAAATCCTACCCTCATCTCTGCTAGCCCAGCTCCTCCAAGAAGGTGCACTCTATATGGCAGCGTTTTCCAAACTTGAGTCATTCACATTCATTGTTTTTGCCATTCTCAAGTCCTGCTTGTATAATTTTTGACTTAATATTTTTATTTAAAGCCACTTGGGTCTTTAAAAAAATAAACTCATTTTAAGCTGGGTGTGGTGGTACGTGCCTCTGTGGTCCCAGCTACTCAGGAGGCTGAGGTGTGAGGATTGCTGGAGCCCAGGAGTTCGAGGCCAGCCTGGGCAACATGGTGAGAGACTCTGTCTCTTTCTAGAAAGAAAACTTCATTTTAGACATTAACTTGACTAGTGCACAACAGGAAAACCAGAATTGTACACTATACATAAAAGGTGGTGATAGGAATAAGTACAATAAAAAGAGAAGCAATGCTGTTAAGTTCTAGACAAATATCATTGTGTTGGGGGAAGATTCTGTTCCTGAGGCAGAATTTATTTTCAAGGCTATCTGCACCACCATGAGATGAGACTTTGTCCTGGAGGGAATCAGAAGAGATGTTTTCTTTCTGGGTAATTAAGTGTTAATTCAGTGCTCTGGCCATTGGGAAGCCATCTGGTTCTTTGGGGCTACATGCTTTATAGCTGGGGTCCCCACCCCCAGGGCCACGGACCTATGCCGGCCTTGGCAGGAGGGCAGACGCCTTGGGAGGAGGGCAGACGCCTTGGGAGGAGGGCAGACGCCTTGGGAGGAGGGCAGACGCCTTGGGAGGAGGGCAGACGCCTTGGCAGGAGGGCAGACGCCTTGGCAGGAGGGCAGACGCCTTGGCAGGAGGGCAGACGCCTTGGCAGGAGGGCAGACGCCTTGGCAGGAGGGCAGACGGGCGAAGCTTCCTCTGTATTTACAGCCGCTCCCCATCACTCGCATCCCCGCCGGAGCTCCGCCCCCCGTCAGACCAGCGGGCGCGTTAGATTCTCAGAGGACCGTGAGCCCTACTGTGAATTGTGCATGCGAGGGATTGAGGTTGCACACTCCGTGTGAGAATCTAAAGCCAGTGGAGCTAGGGCGGTGATGCTGGGGAGCGGCTGCAAGTACAGATCATCCTCAGCAGAGCGGTTTGACTGCACAATAGATGTAACGCGCTTCCGTCATCCTGAGACCATCTCTTATCCCCCTCACTGTGGTCCATGGGAAAATTGTCTTCCATGAAACCGGTCCCTGGTGCCAAAAAGATTGGGGACCGCTGCTTTATAGGTTGCCTGGCCAAAGGGTTTCTCTTCATTGCTCGGTGGCCTTCGGTTGGGTCTCTCTCGAGGTGCTTGCCAAGCTCTGACCTTGGGAGACAGGCACTAACAGTGATTCTGTCGGCCCACTGCTCCGTCCACCTGTTGGCGGGCGACTCGAGGGCGGGTGGGCTCTGGGCCTCGTGGGCCTCGTTTCCTCCCAGAGGCCTTGACTTGAGTCTCCAGCAGGAGCAATGCTCAGTAAAGGGGGCCAGTCCTCGGGGAGATGGAAGGCGCTGCAGAGGCGTCCCAAGCCTGTGGGCGAGGCTGTGCCCCACCGTCAGATGTACTTGGCATGCCGGGCTCATTTGGCATTTTTATGTGGGTCTTACCCCAAGCTTGCTGGTGTAAAGAACCCTGCAGGCCAACCTGAGTCCAATCCAGTTTTTCCCCCTCCCACACATTGGCTTTAGTTGCAGGTAAAGCTCCACCATCCACGACGGCGGGCAGCCAGTCTCCCCCCGAAACGCCGGTGCTCACCCGCTCCTCCTCCCAAACTCCCGCCGCTGGTGTCACAGCCACCACCAGCTCGACACCCACCGTCACCGTCACGGCCCCCGCCCAGGCCCCGGCCCCCCCTGCCGCCACAGGAAGCCCAGTGAAAAAGCAGAGGCCGCTTTTACCGAAGGAGACCGCGCCGGCCGTGCAGCGGGTCGTGTGGAACTCATCAAGTAAGTTTCAAACGTCCTCCCAAAAGTGGCACATGCAGAAGATGCAGCGCCAGCAGCAGCAGCAGCAGCAGCAAAACCAGCAGCAGCAGCCTCAGTCTTCCCAGGGGACGAGATATCAGACCAGACAGGCTGTGAAAGGTACCGAGCCTCCCCTTCTGTGCTCCGTGGCACACGCTCCCTTTTTGCCACATCGACAGGAGAAAAATCATTGCTGTTTTATTTTTTAGTTCCCGTTTGTTTCCTGGCCATTGCATCCTGAAGGCCTTACGCATTTCATTTGGCATTGTTTTTAAAAATCGTTTTGCTACTTGCTTTTGTACTTTAATTTTTTTTTTATTTTATAATTGATGCATGCATATATTCTCCTTAGAAAAGGGGCAAAATATTTGCACAATTATTGTCCTGTTCACCTTCCATCTCATTCTCCTTCCTTCCACAGTGGCCTATCAACCATTGTAAACCCCTTTCTTTGCATGTATACATATATGCATACATATGTACGTATATATGTATGCATGTTATATGTGTATATATATATATAGAGAGAGAGCATGCTATAAAAATACTACTTTTTTCCCTTTTTTCTTTTTTAAAACATAAAAATGGTACCATACTTGGTTTTTTTTCACCCATCAGCATGTTTTGGAGGTCTGTCCATGTCAGTACATACAGCTCTGCCTTATTCTTTTGGACTGCTGCGTAGTATTCCCCATTTTTATTTAAAGCATCTCCCTGCCGTGGGCATGTAGGTTGCCTTTAGTTTTTGCCTGCTGTAAGCAGTGCTGCGGTGACTGTCTCTGTATGAGTTTCCTGGTGGGCGTGAGGGAACCTCCTGGAACTATTTTGGAAAAAGTGCAGTGTGAGAAGCTGGTAGCAAATATGACCTTAATGCCTAGAGGTTGTCCACATGAAAGATGAGCCTGCATCGAGAACCACTTGACGCAGTTGCAGAATCAGAACTCGCCGGAGAGGCCGGGCGCGGTGGCTCACGCCTGTAATCCTAGCTCTTGGGAGGCCGAGGCGGGCGGATTGCTCAAGGTCAGGAGTTCAAAACCAGCCTGAGCAAGAGCGAGACCCTGTCTCTACTATAAATAGAAAGAAATTAATTGGCCAACGGATATATATATAAAAAAATTAGCCAGGCATGGTGGCGCATGCCTATAGTCCCAGCTACTCGGGAGGCTGAGGCAGGAGGATCGCTTAAGCCTGGGAGTTTGAGGTTGCTGTGAGCGAGGCTGACACCACCGCACTCCAGCCTGGGCAACAAGAGTGAGACTGTCTCAAAAGAAAAAAGAGGTGGTGTTGCCACGCTGAATCTAGGATCTGTGAGATTGGGGTTATCACCTCTGTCGTTCGGTGTGCATACTGCATAAGCACGAGAGCCTTCCCAGGTACTCCAGGACGGGATTGTCTGATGTCAAAGTGTAAAGCCCAGTTAAAGTAGTGAGGACAGGCTGGGCGCGGTGGCTCACGTCTGTAATCCTAGCACTCTGGGAGGCCGAGGCGGGCGAATCGCTCGAGGTCAGGAGTTCAAAACCAGCCTGAGCAAGAGCGAGACCCCGTCTCTACTATAAATACAAAGAAATTAATTGGCCAACTAATATAAATAGAAAAAATCAGCCGAGCATGGTGGCGCATGCCTGTAGTTCCAGCTACTCGGGAGGCTGAGGCAGGAGGATTGCTTGAGCCCAGGAGTTTGAGGTCACCGTGAGCTAGGCTGATGCCAGGACACTCACTCTAGCCTGGGCAACAAAGCGAGACTCTGTCTCAAAAAAAAAAAAAACCAAAAAAAAAACAGTGGTGAGGACAGGCTTTAATCAGTAGTACACTATTGTGCCACTAGTTAAAGTAGTAAGGGCAGATATTATCCAGTAGTATACTATCGCAATAGGGGAAGAGTCTGGCATGCCCTGCGAAAGCAACCTTGATCTGTACGGAGGCCACCGGGCTTTAAAGGGAGAACGATGGAGGGGGGGTGGTGAGTGGGTGGGTCAGTAGCATGCGGAAGTTGAACATCGCAAACAGCTAGAAGAAGGGTTGGTCCCTGTGAAACCCATCTGGGTTTGCTAATGGGTGCTTAACGAAGTTAGGTTCCTACCGTCCCTAGAGACTGGGAGATGGGGTCCCTATCTTCAGGGATTGGCAGGAATGAACTGAATTCTTTTGGCAGTCCTGAGTTTTAAGGGGGCGAGGTACATCCTGCAAGCGACTTTGGGACTCTTAGAAAGTGTTAGTGTTAGTTCAAGTCTTTATAGGTCAAGGCTAGGGCCTGGTAGGGCTGTGAGGAGCCTGGCTGGAGCTTGGTTGATGAGAGAGTCTTTGTCACTTACGAGCAGAAGAGCTCACAGGGCGTATATCGGGGGCTTCGCTTCCTCGCTCCAGCATCGTGCTGGGGCAGGTCCCTCCCGTGACGGTGGGGTAACCAGGGTCCTTTGCTTTCGCAGCGGTCCAGCAGAAGGAGATCACGCAGAGCCCCTCCACGTCCACCATCACCCTGGTGACCAGCACACAGTCCTCGCCCCTGGTCACCAGCTCGGGGTCCACGAGCACCCTGGCGTCTTCGATCAGCGCGGACCTGCCCATCGCCACTGCCTCTGCCGACGTTGCCGCCGACATCGCCAAGTACACTAGCAAAGTGAGTGGGTGGAGCTGCCGTGGAGACGGGCAGGTGCCTGGCAGGGTGCAGAGGAGCGGCTTGGGAGGGGTGGAGTGCGGCCGTGGAGATGGGCACCCGGCAGGGTGCAGAGGAGTGGCTTGGGGTGGAGTGGAGCGATTTGGGCCATAGCCTCACAGGTTTTGGGGAGCATTTAGGAGGGACCCTTTTTGTTGCTGAGTGTCTCCAAGACCAGATTGTTTTACTTGGGTTTAAAGCTGTGTCTTAACAGATAAATGTAGAATGAGCAGCGTCTCTCTCCAAAAGGGTTTAAATTCTGAAGTCAGTACATAAAATGTAAATGGACATGTCATCCAAAGTTCGCCTTCAGAGTTCAAGTCACTCATTAAGGACAGATTTTCCTTAAGTGCAAGAACAAATTGCTGATCCTTCATCCGACAGCTGACCCCAAGGGTTTGGTTTGCATTTAGAAGCCAGTGCGATGGAATGGGAGTGGTAGAGACTTCAGTGTGAAACTGGCAAGGCGGGATGCCTACACTTGGATTTTTGCAGGAAGAAAGCTGACTGGGGGACTGGTGGATGCCACCCCCTGCCCCCACGCCCCCAGCACCCACATTCTAGGCGGCGGCATGTCAGGCAGGATTGCCTGCTGCACGTCAGTTCACGGGCACCCTGTCCACACAGGATCTTTTTTTCCTCTCTTAATTTGCCAAGTGCTTTTTATGCTCATGATCGAATCCATGTAAACAAAGCCTGCGTTTCTCCTGAGTGTCATGTGGGGTGCTCTGCAGGGATGTCCTGCGTGGCATGGCAGTGGACCACGCGGTAGTTATGACAACCACTGGCGTGGCGGCTCCACGAGGGCAGGGACTTTGTTTTTGCTCACTGCCAAGGCCTAGACCAGTGCCTGGCATACAGTGAGCGCTTAATACGTACTTGGGCTCTCTCTTTATTGGGATTGTTATTAGCAGTGACTTTATAATAGCAAATGAGTAACAATCTACTTAAGAGTATTTAGTAAATTACTAAGTAGGTAATAACTAATTCTTTACTAGTGAGCAGATTACTGATGACTTACTGATGAGTAAAGTATTCAAGTTTATGGAGAGAACGGATGAAAAGAGTTGGGAATAGTTATTTCTAGAATTCTTAAACTCTCAGGATAAAAGAGTTGCTTTAGACTACATAGAATCTTTTAAAATTCTGGATGGTGGAAGAAATATTTATGTTTTTTACTTTTAACCAGTGACTTTGGTCATTTTCCTTTTTATTCCTTCTACCTAGGTAGAATTGGTATCTATTGCTGTGGGACAAATTACCACAAAATGTAGCAACTCAGCACAGACATTGTTGGGGTACAGTCTTGTGGGTCAGGAGTCTTGACCCGGCTGGGCTGGGCTGTCAGCTTCAGAAGCTCTGCAGGCTGCAACCACAGTGTCTGCGAGGCTAGGGGTCCCCTCGGGGGCTTGACTGGGAAAGGATCCACTTCCGGGGTTACGTGGGTGGCCTTGGGACCGTTGGCCGGAGTCCTCAGGTCCTTGCCATGTGGGCCTCTCCAAGGTGGCGGCTTGCTTCACAAGAGCTCATGGCAAGAAGGAAGTCACGCTTTTGACGTTGCTTAACCACAAAAGTGACGTCCCATTACCTTTGCCGTGTTTCGTGGGTAGGAGCAAATCCCTAGGGAAGGAATTCCTTGAAGGCACGAGTACCAGGGGTTGGGATCGTGGGGTGCCGCTTTGGGGTGAGTCTGGCCAAGAGGTTAAGAGGGCAGTGTGTCTGAGTAGTGCTTACTGTGGGCTAGACACTGTTCTGAGCACTTCTTCTGTGTTGTTTAATCTTCATGACAAGTTGATAAAGTAGGTAACTGCTATCATCCCAATTTTATAGATGAGAAAACAGAAGCCAGTGAGGTTATACAACTTGTCTACAGTCACACAGCCAGTGATGGCCAAGCCAGAATTTATTTTTTAATATATAAAGAGTCTTGCTCTGTTGCCTGGGCTAGAGTGTAGTGGCATGATCATAGTTCGCTGCAACCTCAAACTCCTGGGCTCAAGTGATCCTCCTGCCTCAGCCTCCTGAGTGGCTGGGACCACAGGCATGCGCCACCATGCCTGGTAATTTTTCTGTTTTCTTGTAGCAATGAAGTCTCTTTATGCTGCTCAGGCTGGTCTTTGACTCTTGGCCTCAAGTGATCCTCCTACCTCGGCCTCCCAAAGTGCTAGAATTATAGGCCTGAGCCACTGTGCCCGGCCCGAGCTGGAATTTAAATGGTGGCAGCCAGGGCCTGAGTGTGCTCTTCGCCTGGCTCTGGCTGGTGTGTGAATTCAGAATAAGCCTATGACCACAGATGTTCAGTGCCCACAGGCTGTTTCCACGTGGCTTTATAAAGCAATTCAACCTAAGATTCAGTGTGGCTGAAGAGATAAGAACCTACGTCTTGGGGATAGCTTTGTTTTCATTTAGCATATCTGTCCGCCTTTGGAAGAAAAGGCATGAACCAGGTTTCAGAACAGGAAGGATTTAGACGTCAGTTACTTGCCACTCTCGTGATTTTTGCTTTACCTGTTCATCACCTGACCTAGCATTCATGTAGTATTTTTGTTTAAATTTAAATTTATTTTATTTAAATTAGTTAAAAAAAAAAACCCTAAAGAAAATTAAGTTTAACCTTACCAGACACTGTTGTTGTTCCCTGTCAGGGTTTGAAGCCTACGTCTATTTTTCTTTTGCTGAAAAGGGGAGGTTGTTAAAGACGTAACAGCAGGGCTAAACTGAGACTCTCTTGCTAAAGGGATCTGTGGGATTATTAGAGAATTAAAAGGTGGGAGCGTTTCCCTTACCGATTTAAGAAGGCGTCTGGGCTGGGCATGGTGGCTCACGCCTATTATCCCAGCACTTTGGGAGGCTGAAGTGGGAGGATGGATTGAGACTAGCTTGAGCAGCATAGCGAGACCTTGTCTTTGGAAAAAATACAAAAATTAGCTGGGCTTGGTGGTACATGTCTGTAGTCCCAGCTACTTGGAATCTATGCCAGGAGGATGCTTGGCTCTAGGAGTTTGAGGTCGCAGTGAGCTATGATGACAGCACTCCGCTGTAGCCCGGGCAACAGAGCGAGACCCTGTCTCAAAAGAAATAAAGAAATAATTAATTTTATTTAAAGTTGCTTATAAAAAAAGATGTCTGGTATTGTCTAAATGATCTCTTGTTCTACTTTCAACTGTCCCTTGTTTCACCCTATTGATTTGGTCCAGGCTGTTTGTTTATAAATGGGAAAATTGAAGCCCGCCAGGGAGATCTGGCTAGTTTTCTCAGCTCCTGCAGCCATTTCGATTTTAATACCTTCTGCAGCCCCTTTACTCCTTTTGTAAAAAAGTTTTTATTGTTGTTATCATTTTTTATTTCAAAACTTTTTTTTTTTTTTAGAGACAAGGCCTCACTGTGTTGTCCAGGCTGGTCCTAACTACTGGCCTTAAGTGATCCTCCTGCCTCGGCCTCCCGAGTAGCTGGCACGACAGGCGTGAGCCACACGCCCAGCTCCCCTTTATACTGTTACAGCAAAATTGAGGGATGACCTTTCTGTTAGATGTTTTCTTTGCAATTAAAAAAAAAATGAACGTGGTGACATTTTTTGGGAACTGATGAACTTTCCTGTCTCCGGGGTGACCTGGAGCTGGAGACCCAGATTTGTGTGTTTTGGCAGAAGGGTACTCTTTTTAGTAACATTGAGTTCTTGGCTATATTTGGAAGTTAAGAGTAAAAGTCAGTCCACAAATACATGATATCTTTAAAATGGAATGTAAGCATTGCATTAGTAGTGTATTGAATTTCATCCACTTTCTAAGGTTTTCTTGTAAAAGCAGTTTCTTTTCGTTTTTTTTTTTTTTTTTTTTAATAGACTGGTCGGTGCAGGAGAGCGAGGAGGCCCGTGCAGAATGCCCAACTGCAGAGCTGCAGAAAACACGGGCTGTTTTCGCTGGCAGTGGCCTGGGGAGGGCCCCATAGTAAGCTGGGAGCAGAAATCTCAGCAGATATTTTGTTCATTTACTCCCATTTTGGGGTGAATTGGGGGTTACTGTTTTGGGAGTTGGCAGCAGTTACGCAATTGCGTGCTTGTATTAGTTTGTTTTTCTGTAAAAATAAGGTGAATAGGTATTTTTTTTTTTTTTGAGACAGTCTCGCTCTGTTGCCCTGGCTAGAGTGTGGTGGTATCAGCCTAGCTCATAGCAACCTCAAACTCCTGGGCTCAAGCGATCCTCCTGCCTCAGCCTCCCAAGTAGCTTGGGACTACAGGCATGCACCACCATGCCTGGCTAATTTTTTCTATATATATTAGTTGGCCAGTTAATTTTTTTCTATTTTTAGTAGAGATGGGATCTCACTCTTGTTCAGGCTGGTTTCAAACTCCTGACCTTGAGCGATCCTCCTTGCCTGGGCTTCCCAGAGTGCTAGGGTTTCAGGTGTGAGCCACCGCGCCCGGCCGGAATAGGTATTTCTTTATGAAGCCCGTCTCTATGGTGGGCACTGAATCATGGTCTTCATGCAGTTTTCTCAATCCTGTGCGTGCCCTGCCAGGGCGCGCTGTTGTCATCTCTTGTTTTTACATGGGGAAACTGAGGCCTGGAGCAGAAGATCAGTGTGCTCTATGTCCCACCTTCTCAGTAAGTGGAGCATCTGGAATGCAGAGGAGAGACTCAGCTGCAGTCAGGCCAGGACTGAAATGTCACTGGTCTCTTGTCCCCTCCCCTTTCTCCTGATGAGGGTGGGATCAGTGGGCAGGTGGGAGGTAGAAGAGAAATTCGCCCCCCACTCACACTGGGTCGGCAGGTGCCTGGGTGCCTGCTGCACGGGCCTTGGCTGATTTCACAAACTTGCTGAAGCCTTTGGGGTCAGAGGGTGAACGAAAAAGAAGATGGGAAATGAACGGCAAAGGCCGTGCCCCGACTGAGGGCACTAAAATGACAAACCACCCGTATCCACACAATGGACTGTGAAAGGGGTGACCCTCAGACTCACGCTACGACACAGACACACCTTGAAGCCAGACACAAAGGACCTCCTACTCTGAGTTCTTTTGTAGGAATGTCCAGATGAAGCGCATCCTATAAAGATGGAAGGCAGATAGATGGTTGTCAGGGGCTGGGGGGAATGGGGCTATTTGGGGGTGGGGGGACTAAGAGGGAGTAGGGTTTTCTTTTGGGGGGGTAATGAAAATGTTCTGGAATTTGTTGATTTCAGAAAATATTTTGATTGTGGTGATGGATACACAACTCTGAATGTATTAAAAGCCATTGAACTGTACACTCTGTGTGAGTTGTGTAGTATGTACAATAAAGCAGTGGCTTTTTAAAGGGGAAACAATTAAAAAAACAGCAACAAAACAATAATCTCCATAAACCTAGGTGCTGCCCATCCAAAACACATCTGGGGGCCGAATTTGGCTCCTCTGGCTGCAGCCTGTGGGTTTGGAGACTGGCTTTCTGTTGTGAACCCCTCCCGCAATGTGAGACAGGAATCTGTGGGTGATCCCGCCCTGGTTTATACCAGGGTTTCTCAGCCCGGCACGAGTGACCTGCTGGGCTGGTGGGTGGTCCTTCGCCCCGGGGGCTGTCCTGGGCACTGTGGGGTCTGCTAGACGCCAGTGCAGCCCCTCCTCCCCTCCCCCGCACACGTCATGACAGCCAGAAATACCCGGCGTCTCGTGAGGGACCGGGCGGCCCTGGGTGGGGAGCCACTGCTTTATACACACAGAGCTCAGATAACTGTCACCCAGAGAAGCCTCCCGGCAGTGATCGCCTGAATTGTTTCTGTTTTTGTCTTGCAGATGATGGACGCAATAAAAGGAACGATGACAGAGATATACAACGATCTCTCTAAAAACACTACTGGAAGCACAATAGCTGAGGTCAGAGATGACAACACAAATTCCTTATTTGCTAAGAGTGTTTTACGGGCTGCTATAAACGTGGCACCGTGAGGAAACTTCTCTGGAAATCCCTCTTGGGTCCTGACTCCCCTCACCAAGCTGGCTGCACTGCTTGTGGTTGTTGATGGGGGTGTTTCTTCACTTAGCTGGACGGTGGGACTGTGGGGACGTGCCCTGCTTCATGTGACTAATTCCCTTCCGATAAAACAGCCCAAACCAGAGCTGAGTGAAACTGGAAACCAGTTCTTTCTGCTTCATGGAAAATTGGCTCCTTAATCTTTTCCCTAAGTTTGGACTTTTTCTTTTTTCTAGTTGAGACGGTCTTGCTCTGTTGCCCGGGCTAGAGTGCTGGGGCGTCAGCTTAGCTCACAGCAACCTCAAACTCCTGGGATCAGGCGATCCTCCTGCCTCAGCCTCCTGAGTAGCTGGGACTACAGGTGCATGCCACCACTCCCAGCTAATTTTTTCTATTTTTAGTAGAGATGGGTTCTTATTCTTGCTCAGGCTGGTCTTGAACTCCTGAGCTCAAAGGATCCTCCTGCCTTGGCCTCCCAGAGTGCTAGGATTACAGGTGTGAGCCACCATACCCAGTCTGGACTTTTTAATAGAGTGATCCTGTTGTCCAAGCATTTGTGTCTTGGAGTCTCCATAATTAGGTGATTGCCTAGAGAAGAAAGTGGTTAAAGCATTGAACTGTCCACTTGTGAAGTGACCCCTTGTAGAAACGTCCCTCCCTGAAATTTCCCCTTAGGCTCATCACTGCCAAGGTGTGGAGGGCAGGCTGCCCAGCCTACAGCAAAAGCAGTGTAGGCCGGATGCAAACGGTCCCCAGTCAGATGACAAGGGGCAGGGTTTTGTGGGGTCCTTGAAGGTGATGTTGGAGAATTGGGACTCCCATGCAAAGCCATTGACGTTTGAGGATGAGGCAGCGTTGAGGGTTAAGGGGTGGCAGAGTTAAGCTGGCTCTCAAGAGAAAATTTTTTTTTTTTTGGAGACAAAGTCTCACTCTGTTGCCCAGGCTAGAGTGAGTGCCGTGGCGTCAGCCTAGCTCACAGCAACCTCAAACTCCTGGGCTCAAGCAATCCTCCTGCCTTAGCCTCCCAAGTAGCTGGGACTACAGGCATGTGCCACCATGCCTGGCTAATTTTCTCTCTGTCTCTCTCTCTCTCTGTCTCTCTCTCTCTCTCTCTCTGTCTGTCTCTCTCTCTCTCTCTCTCTTATATATATATATATAAATATGTTGGGCAATTAATTTCTTTCTATTTATAGTAGAGACAGGCTCTTGCTCTTGCTCAGGCTGGTTTCAAACTCCTGACCTCGAGCAATCTGCCCGCCTCGGCCTCCCAGAGTGCTAGGATTACAGGCGTGAGCCACTGCGCCTGGCTCAAGAGAAAATCTTAAGGAAGCCTTCCTTCAATAGAGAAACAGTGTGACTATAAAGATTTAAGAGAGGCCCCAAGAGAAGTCAGTGAATCCCCTTAAATAGTTTTGCAAATGCAACTCTCCATGAATGTGCTGGGGACATCAAAGAAGAAGTGAACAATAATGCTTTAGAGGAACCTGCATTCTCTTATATTCATTTTAAGAATTGGTGTGTGAAAGTTGGGGTGTGGTGGCTCACTCCTACAATCCTAGCACTCTGGGAGGCAGAGGGAGGAGGATTGCTTGAGGTCAGGAGTTTAAGACCAGCCTGGACAACATAGCAAGATCCTGTCCCTACAAAAAATAAATTAGCCTGGCCCCCTGAGAGTAGCCTTTGCTTTAGAGATGTCAGACTCTGGACTTCAGGTGACTGATGATGGACCCCACCACCTAACTGTTGTTAAGATACAGGGTAAAATACAACTATCTTTATTTGCTTTAGTTTCATCCAAAGTCCTAGTCAAAACTTTTTACATGTTGTTTCTTTGGAAGTCTGGTCCTTGTCATCATTTTCAGTGGTTTTTGCTGGTGCCAGTATTTCTTAGAAAAGATGCTTATACTTGGCTTCCTGAGCCAGTTTTTCTTGTGAATTGGGTTAACTCACCAGGGCCACCTCTCTGGCCTGTGGCTGTGGACAGGTCAGCCACAGTCAGGCCACTTGTGTCCTCAGTTAACCACATGATGCTCTGACCCTGACAGCCAGCCAGTGGGAATGGCACAAGGACAGCCCTTTTTTTTCTTTTCTTTTTTTTGAGAGAGTCTCACTCTGTTGCCGGTGCTAGAGTGCCGTGGCGTTAGCCTCGCTCACAGCAACCTCAAACTCCTGGGCTCAAGCAATCCTTCTGCCTCAGCCTCCCGAGTAGCTGGGATTACAGGCATACGCCACCATGCACGGCTAATTTTTTCTATATATATTTTTAGTTGGTCAATTAATTTCTTTCTGTTTTTAGTAGAGACGGGGTCTCGCTCTTGCTCAGGCTGGTCTCAAACTCCTGCCCTTGAGCCATCCTCCTGCCTCGGCCTCCCAGAGTGCTAGGATTACAGGCGCGAGCCACTGCGCCCGGCTGGGGACAGCCTTTGAAGACTGTTCCTCTCCCCCGTTGCAGATTCGCAGGCTGAGGATCGAGATCGAGAAGCTGCAGTGGCTGCACCAGCAGGAGCTCTCTGAGATGAAGCACAACTTGGGTAAGGCCCGGCCACCTGGTTTGGGATGAGGAAGGGTCAACTTCTTTGCCCCTCTGGCTTCCATCCCAGATGTGAACGGAGCTAAAGCCAGGCTAGTGGCCGTAGGCCTGTGGGCAGAGCACAGAATGCTCGAGACGCCAGCTACAAAAGCGGTGTCGGTGGAGACCCCCTCGCCTGTCTCCCAGCCACCAGCAGCGGGGACTCCGTAGGGAGCATGCCAGGAGCAGCGCCCACTCACTGAGCTGGGACTCCGCCAGGAATGGCAGGCACAGAGTTTTCCTGTGTTACGTTACGTACTTTTCCATACGTTTCCATACAACGGTTACGTATTTTCCACACATTAACTAATTCTTACACAATCCTTATGGCGAAGGGATGTGTCATATCTCCAGTTTTCGAGTGAAGAACCCGAGGCACAGGCATGTTAAGGAATCGGTTCAGAGTCACACAGCCACGGTTCCAGTCCGGGCCACTCTGGCTGCAGGTCTCCCTGTTAAGCACTGAATGGCGGGCGCTGTCACAGTGTCTGGATGCTTCCTGCGTGCTGCACACTGGGGACAAAGATACGTGTGGGTCCCTGGCTCAGGCTGACTGGTGTTTGGGCCTGCCGTGCTGTGTAGATACTCCTTAAAGCTTTTTCCCCAAAGGCAGAAGCAGTTGCTTCAGACCACAGGTCCTCAGACTGTTTAAACAGGCCAGTTCACTGTCCCCCGGACCGTTGGAGAGTGCGCACTGTGGGCCCGGGACGAGTCAGCTGCTGAGCAGGACAGACAGTGGAAGCAAAAACACCCGGCGGGCCGGATAAATGTCCTAGGCGGGCCGCATGTGGCCCGCGGGCCGTAGTTTGAGGACGCCTGCTTCAGACCCTCACGTAGCAGCAGGCAGGATGCTGGAAGCCAGCGGAACTCTGGGTTGGGGGGGGTGCCCAGGCATCACTACCCTCTCCCCAGTGGTCTGTTTAAATCCCATGAACCCTTCAGATGTGAATCCTTAGGGGGCCACCCAGAGAGGAGCAGTTTGTTCCGTACCTTGCTGCCATGCCATGGGCGTTGTTCCTGTTGCTTGTTTTTCTAATAAAGGCAGAGAATCTTATTTTTTGTTAGAACTTTCCCTTTTTAATTGTGGGCTGCATGTGCATTTGAAAAGATTACATGTGGGCTGGCCAGAATTTGGCTGTGGTTTGTTGGCTTCTAGTTCAAGGTCATTAGATTGACTGAAAGATTCTGTTTGGCCACAGGTGCTTTCTTGTCTTCTTTTCGAGGGGTTAATTTTCTTTACTGTTTCTCTCTTTTTAAAAATGTATCACAAAGAATATTTGACGGGAGTAAGATACCACTTATTTTTGTTTTATTTTAGTATGCAGGTCACTCCCAAATGAATTGCAAATGGATTTACTGTTTGAAATAAAATGAGAGAAATCGTGGTAGACTGAGTCGTTTGATAGTTGTCCTGTTACTATGATCATCAGCCACAATGCCCTATTATATAGTAGTTTGAGCCAAAGCCACAAGACCTAAGCACTTCTGAGTCTTAGGCCCAGTTCTTCACTTACTAGCCTTGTGCCTTAGTTTCCTTATATGTGAAAGGGGTAGAACAGTAGTACTTACCCCAAAGGATCATTCCCAGGATTGCACGACTTAGTATCTATAAAGTATATAGAACAGCACTTACATGTAGTAGATGCCATGTAAGTATTAGATTGATAGGAAAAAAATGCTTATGCTTTTTAAAATATATTTTTTCAGTGATAAAACTGAAAGTGAGTTTTGGTGGCAGTTGTTTCAAGGGTTTATTTGAGGAATTTCCAGAATGCGGTCTTGGATTTGGAATCCCCGTGGGGCTGTGTCCGCACTGGGCCCCTCACGTACGTTATCACCGGCAGCGCCATCTGGTCGCTGTGAGTGGCGGTGCCCCGTTCACAGATGAAGACATGGGCTCGGGCACTTGCCCAGGGTCACACGGCCGGGCTTCTCGAGGCTGGAGCTCACTCGCGTCTGCCTGAATCTGGGGCGTGAAGCGCCCTGCGGCCTGGCCTGCGTCAGGTGATGCAGCAGTGTCCCCTCCCGCAGAGCTGACCATGGCGGAGATGCGGCAGAGCCTGGAGCAGGAGCGGGACCGGCTCATCGCCGAGGTGAAGAAGCAGCTGGAGCTGGAGAAGCAGCAGGCGGTGGACGAGACCAAGAAGAAGCAGTGGTGCGCCAACTGCAAGAAGGAGGCCATCTTTTACTGCTGCTGGAACACCAGCTACTGCGACTACCCCTGCCAGCAGGCCCACTGGCCTGAGCACATGAAGTCCTGCACCCAGTCAGGTAACACCCCGAGTGCTGTCCTCAGGGCTGATGCAGCAAGGGTGGCTTGCCTGGCCCCTGGCCACTCTTGCAAACAACTGTGTTGTCTCTTATGCACAAGCGAGCAGGGTGCAGACACACGGCTGTGCAGACATGTAGCTGAGACACAAGGCATGGGTTAAGTTTGAGCCTCTGATCTTCTTTGCATAACCTTTGATCTCTTAGGCCAGGGATGCTCTTAAACATCCCACAACACACAGGAAAATCTCCCCTGTCCTCCTTCATCCCCCCCCCTCCCAAAAGAAAACAAAGAATGATAGACTCATGGCTTTAAATAGTACAGATTACCAATCTTTTTGTTAGGGAAAAAGTATTACTGACATTGCCAGAATATTTATAATCTCCCTCTATAACAGAGTGGGCAGACCCCAGCGGGAAGCACTATCTAGTTAGTATTTATCAATAATACGTTAGAAGTTAATCTTCACAGTCAGCTTTTGTTTGTGGCATATGATACTTCCTTTATATGATTAGAATTAAGTCTCCAGTTTAAAGAATTTTAAAGTGTTAGATAATACGACAAGGTAGTATGTCTGTGGATTGGCAAAACTTTCGAAGGTGATGTATGAACGACGCAAGTATGAGAAGCTTTAGACCAGGGGTTGGCAAACCTTTTCTGTGAAAGGCCGGAATAAATATTTCAGGCTTTGTGGACCATGTGGTCTTTGTCACAACTACTCAGCTCTGCTGTTATAGTGCAGAAACAGTCATAGATAATATGTAAATGGGTGGACATGGCTGTGTGCCAATAAAACTTTATTTACAAAGACAGCGGGCACTAGCTTGCCCATTCCTGCTCTAGACAAATCTTGTTATCTTGCTATTTTTTTTAAAAAAAGGTGATATTGAAGCATACGTTGCCATGTTCTTTAACTTTCTTTAGGGGGAGATGTCTTCTTTATAGAGACTTTAAATCTCTTACTGTGGAGTTAAATTCCGCTTGTGTTTTGCCTGAGTTCTGGAATGTGTCTGATCAGCCTTTTGCTGTTCCTGGCCAAAGTGTCCTTCAGCTCTTCTTTCTTCGTGGCATAATTACATTCTTTGTTCTGAAATTCTTCACGAACACCCTGTTTTTCTGTTTGTCCAAGTTTCTGTCATCTCCAGGGGCTCGGTGGCTCCCACAGCACGTTGGATTTCCCCGCCCTGCCTCAGAGGAGGAAGTCCCTGGGGCTGAAATAGGTTCACATCTAGAAATTATGAGATAGAGTGATTTTAAATCGGCCATTCCAGATTGCTTTTGTTGATGGACTTCATTTGTTTGGAGAACGTACTCTCATCTCCAGAAATGATTTAATAGAACTTGAATTGCTAACCTTTAGAGAAACCAACATTTTCACATAAAATTTGGAATTCCAGCTTCTGGAACACTCTGGGGATCTGGCCACTTTGGGCCTGGGTGGGGCTGAGCCACCGCCGCCTCCTCAACGGATCCTGGCTGGGTCAGAGTTGCTGCTGAGCCGTGGGCGCCTTGGGGTGTGGGACGGGTCCCCCCGCAGGTCCTGAAACCTCCACACTGGGCTGACGTGGGGCTCCTTCCCCTTCGTCTCCAGCGACCGCCCCTCAGCAGGAAGCGGATACCGAGGTGAACACGGAAACGGCGAACAAGTCTTCCCAGGGCAGCTCCTCTGGCACCCAGTCTGCGCCTTCGGAAACGGCCAGCGCCTCGAAAGAGAAGGAGACGTCGGCTGAGAAAAGCAAGGACAGTGGCTCGGTGAGGATCCCCCACACCTTTGGCCGGTGACGCCAACCCTTTGTGCCAAGCAGAGACTGAGGACCCTTCCCCATGACTGCCACCCTGGGGGCTCCATGTCGTGGGAGGTTTGTCTGCTAGGGACGACAGCTTCTCACTGGGGCACTTTCCCCCACGTTTACCAGAATCTGCAGTGGGCATGCGGGAACATGGAGCTGGAGTTGGCAGTGGGGGACATGGCGTCTACACCACAGTCCCTCCAAGTTTAGACCGGTGTTGCCTAGTAGAACTTTCTGCGATGATGGAAAGGTTCTGTGTCTCCTCTGTCCAATGTGGTAGCCGCTACCCACATGTAGCTTTTGAGCACTTGAAATGTGGCTAGTGTGACCAAGGACTGATTTTTAACTCTTACTTACTTTTAATTAGACTTAAGTAGCCACACGTGGCCACTGGCAGCCATATTGGACCATGAAGCTTTGCACCCCCTTTGTTTCCCAGTGTGGTATATGTGGCATTAATCGCTTACAAAGATTATTTTAGGGGGCACATGGATAGTCTCTCATTTTTAGTCATTGTGCATTGATTTAAGTGTGTATCAGGAAAAAATAAATCATTAGACTATCCGTTAAAAAGCTTTAATTTCACTGATAGCATTGCCTAGTCAGAGGCTGACGTGAAACAAGGTTGAATTGACACAATTTAGAGGTAATATACTTCCTTCTTGGATACGGCAGAAATCTGGGGGATGGGGTAGGTTAGCGAGTGGGGTTTGGAAGATGAACGTTCTACGGTTGGGTAAGGGCCCACCCCGGTTCTAGCCTGTTCCGTCTGGGAGACAGCAGTGGCAACTCGCTGCGCACCGAGCTGCCTTGGGAGCAGCCGCGAGCACAGCACGGCTGCCGGGGTTTCCCTGAGTCCCCGTCTTTCCTTTTTGTTTCTAGACGCTTGACCTTTCTGGCTCCAGAGAGACGCCCTCCTCCATGCTCTCGGGCTCCAGCCAAGGCTCTGGTATGTGGCCCCCTGCTGGGCAAGCGCGTTCCCAGGCCACACGGGCAGAAGGGGAGCGGTTTGGGCAGGGACACCTGGAGGGGTTTGAGGCAGTGGTTTTCGAACTGCGCGGATCCTGGGTCCCTTGGGTGGGCCAGTGGGGTGAGGGTGTCTCGGGGCAAGTCACCTCTGAAGCACGCTTCGCCCTGATGGGTGTTTACGCGTATCTGTCGTGTTTGTTGGGGATCCGCACACCCCTTCACTCGGACAGAGGGCTCTGTCGCCGCCCGGGGCTGGGGGAACACGCGTGTTGGCGCCGGGCAGCCCTTGGCTCCAGGAGAAGTGAGCACGGAAAACGCAGCCGTGTGGAGCTGTTCTGAGGCCCCCACGCCTGTACTTGCGGATGCGCGCCCGAGCCTTCGGGAAACGAGAATGTTTAGTGCACAGTCTCTTTTTGCAGTCCTGTCCTTTTGGGGAGGAACTTGTCAGGCTGATTGGGGGAATTTCCTGAGACTTCTAGAGTTGCTCTTCTGTGGGTTTTGAGCTGTCTTCCTTTCCTGGATCCCCTGCAGGGATCTTCTTCCTGCACGCTCCTAAACCAGTTTTGGATCATTCCAGAAGGGTTCAGAGGGTGCCTTCCATGTGGAGGACAGTTCTGCTTTGTTTAAGGTCCTTGCCTGGCACTGCCGCACCAGGGTCTCTGCCACGTGATCCTCTTAAGCTGAACATCAAAAGTTTGACTTCATCTCTGTATGTTGAGTGTGGGGAGGAAGTGATGTCCATGGCCGGGCGGCTGGGGAAGGTTCCCGAGGGGTGGGGGTAGGCCTTGGAGGTGGTGGATTTGGAGTAGGCGGCGTTGACTAGAGGGAGACAGGAACTTGGCTTTATATACGATTGAGCCACCTATTGGAAAAGCAACCTGTTTTTCACTTTCCCTTCAGTCCTCAGATTAAGTCTCTGAGAACAGGCTCAGCTTAGTGCTGAGATGTCTTCAGCATCTCTCGTATTTTCCACTTCTCCTTTTAACAGAGACAGAGCAGACCTTAGATTTTAGCCGCCTGCTGCCGCCCTAGATGTAATGGTACGATTGGGTTTTCATTAATGTCCGTCTGTCTAGTTTGCCTGCAACTTACAGCAGGTTTTGTTGATTTTTCCTATTTAGTACTTCTTGGTGGTGATAATGAAAAGTTCTTTATTTACTTGAGTGAAGCAAATAAAATTAAAAATACGAACTAAGCAGTGTGTAGGAGGACTGTGGATGTGTCAGACTTGCAACGGCGGCATGAGGAAGGCCGCCGTTCTAGACAACGGGGTGTTGATGCTTTGCAGCCACAAAGTGGTTTGACTGACGTGGCATTTGGGATGATTTATAATGCCACGGTGTTAGTGATCTAAGAGGAGCCTGTTGGAACAAGGAGTGTTGCGTGCAGGAAGGCAGTTGGGAGATGCGTCCTGTTCCATTTCTGTTTTTTTTTTTTTTTTTTTTTTTTGAGACAGAGTCTCGCTTTGTTGCCCAGGCTAGAGTGAGTGCCGTGGCATCAGCCTAGCTCACAGCAACCTCAAACTCCTGGGCTCAAGTGATCCTTCTGCCTCAGCCTCCTGAGTAGCTGGGACTACAGGCATGCGCCACCATGCCCGGCTAATTTTTTATATATATATCAGTTGGCCAATTAATTTCTTTCTATTTATAGTAGAGACGGGGTCTCGCTCTTGCTCAGGCTGGTTTTGAACTCCTGACCTTGAGCAATCCGCCCGCCTCGGCCTCCCAAGAGCTAGGATTACAAGCGTGAGCCACAGCGCCCGGCCTGTTTTTTTTTTTTTTATTTCAGCATATTATGGGGGCACAAATTTTAAGGTTGCGTATAATGCCCTTCATCTTGTTCCATTTCTGAGGTGGGTAAGGTATTACCTAGTCCAGGGGTTGGCAAACTTCTTATTTTTTTTAATTAAAAAAATTTTTTTGAGACAGGGTCTTGCTCTGTCACCCGGGCTACAGTGCACTGACATCAGCCTAGCTCACAGCAACCTCAAACTCCCTGGGCTCAAGTGATCCTCCTGCCTCAGCCTCCCTAGTAGCTGGGACTATAGGCGGCTCCTTGCCTGGCTCATTTTCCTGTTTTCTGTAGAGACAAGGTTTTACTCTTGCTCAGGCTGGTCTTCAACTCCTGGCCTCAGGAGATCCTCCCGCCTCGGCCTCCCCAAGTGCTAGGATTTCAGGCCTGAGTCACTGTGCCCGGGTGTCAAGCTTGCTTTGTAGAGGCGCTGACTGCAAATGTTTCGGGCTTTGCAGGCCGCGTGGTCTCTGCCACAGACGCTCACTCTGCCGTTGTGGCACGACAGCAGACACGGATGACACGTAAATAAGCGTGTGCCAGTGACCCTGGAGTTGCAGAAGCAGGCACTGGGGTGGCCGTAACGTGCCCGCTGTTGACCTAAAGCCCGCTGGGGTCTGGGGGAGTGGAAAGGAGGGATCAGACGGAGAGGAGGCAGGAAACCTCAGGAGTGCTGGTGACGTGCAGGTGGGGTGGGCGAGGGAGGAGGAGCCGCAGGAGGAGGATGAGGGGTTTTGGTGAGCTCCTGTCTTCACGGAGCCTCGAAGGGAGTCAGGAGCGCGCTTTCTGGAGAGCGGGAAGCTCCGACTCACATAGATAGTCATGTCTATCCGTTTCCACTGTGCTATGAGGAAGTCGGGGCCCAGAGAAGTTGACTCCGACGCCCCGGTAACTGAGTGGGTGATTGTCGGAGCCAAGAATTAAGTGGGTGGGGCCCATCCACAGGGCTTGTGTGGCGTGCACTCTTAGGGCTTCGTGGTTTTCCGTTTTTTTTTTTTCCCAAAGCAGCGTGCGCTGATGGCTGTGTCAAAGCAGGAAGGCCCACTGATGTTCAGTCCCCCTCTGATTATCTGGCTTCACGCTGCCAGCACTTGCTTGCTTTTTTTTATTTGAGACAGGGTCTCACTTTGTTGCCCAGGCTAGAGTGAGTGCTGTAGCGTCAGCCTAGCTCACAGCAACCTCAAACTCCTGGGCTCAAGCCATCCTCCTGCCTCAGCCTCCCGAGTAGCTGGGACTACAGGCATGTGCCACCTTGTCCAGCTAATATTTTCTATATATATTAGTTGGCCAATTAATTTCTTTCTATTTATAGTAGAGACAGGGCTCTCACTCTTGCTCAGGCTGGTTTCAAACTCCTGACCTTGAGCGATCCGCTTGCCTCGGCCCTCCAGAGTGCTAGGATTACAGGCATGAGCCACTGCGCCCGGCCAGCACTTGCTTTCTGTGACGGTGCTGCTGGCACATGGCGGAGGGAAGTGGCCTGTGAACCCATGGAGCTTTCCGAGCTGCTGACGCGCATCTGGTAGAGTGGTCAGCCGGGAGTGAGCTGGAGGGAGAAAGTTGCAGTGGGGCGCGCCTCCTCGGCGCGGGCACAGCCCCGCCTGTGTGTCTGTTCGTGTTAAGATTTTCACTAAAGCAATGAATGCACCCATGTAGTTACAGAAGATAACGCAGAGGAAACCTCTTCCAAGTCCCGTTTCTACTGCTGTTTCTGGTCCTTCTGGTCTTACCTCCTGGTTTATAAATAATATGCCTTTTTTGTTCCTCTATTTCTTGACTTTAGACATTACTTGTTGACTTCCACCTTTAAAAGATGAGAGGGGAGGCCACACGGAACTTCTCTTTTCCTCCTCCCAGACTGCTCAGGCTGCTGTTTTATGTGCTGTGTGGGTCACCTTAGTCAAATGAAACACTCACCTCATTCTTAGTTCTTGTTCTGTCTGCTGCAGACGGTGTCTCTTGACCCCTCTCGTGGCAGCCGATCTCCTCCTTCCCCTCTCCTACCCCTGCCATGTCCAGGCTTTCCACCTGCTGTGACGTTCCCATTATTAAAGTTGAAAGCACGTGCATCCTGTTCTGTGACCAGTTAAGCCTCACTCTTGTCTGTCAGCCGAGCTTAAAAACTCAAAAGGCAACAGCCCTCATTTACGCTGTGACGACCACAGCATTCGTGGCGGAGTCACATAGTGTACTGCGATGACATTTCCATTCTTGGACAGCCTTGCTTTCTTCCTGGAGTTTCTCTTTTCCTTTATCTTATTTTTGATTTTTTTTCCTATCAAACTTCTCACCATATCAATTATTTTATGGAAACTCCTTTTGTGACACTGTTTTTTTATGGTTCGATTTTGGGTGTGGTTTGTTGGTATTCTACCATTGTCACTGAGGATTTAGGCTGCTGTTTACTTGCTGCCCTGTTTAGCCCTTTCCTTAGTCCTCCTCACCAGAAGTATCTCTTCCACCCTCTCCTCCCTATTCTGTTGCCACCCTTGGCAGTAGATGATGTGTCATTCCTCACCCTGAACCCTCTGGAAACCTTGTGCTCCCAGTGTCTGCCTCTGTTTTTCCGGGTCAAATCTGGCAATTGGCAGAGCTAGTGGTTCTGAGAAGTTTGCTTTCAAAATCCTGAGAATCTGTGGCTTACAAAGTGCTGAGTTGCTTTTATGTCACTGTATACCTTATTTCCTGCCTGTAACGCTGTGCCGTGTCCAGTGACCCTGTCCGTGGTTTGATACGCCTTTATAAAGAGTCCTAGTCTCCCGCGAGTGCGTTGAGCTGGAGAATGGTGACGTGAAGGAAGGAGCCGCCGGTTCTAATCAGAGCAGCCTGTTGAGGATGCACCAGAGTAGTGAGCGCTTGGGGTTGTGCGGAATCCGAGCCCTCTGACAGACTCTGAGGCTGCCTGTGCTATTTCTTCAGTTAGCAAAAGGTGTGACAAGCAACCTGCCTATGCCCCAACCACCACAGACCACCAGCCGCACCCCAACTACCCAGCCCAGAAGTGTAAGTATGACCCTGTCTCCCGGAAGCTGCCAGGGAGCGATTCCTGGCATGCAGAGGCTTGTTCTGTGTGTGTCTGTGTGTGTGTTTCTTTGTGGGTGTGTCCTCGACTGTTCTTTTGAGTGATGGGTCTTACTTTGCTTTGCAGCGTTCTTCTTAGCTGTGCCTCTGGTGTCCATCGCAAACCGCACTAGGAAATGAGAGAAAGCACATGGTTTGGCTTCCTGAGGGGGATCTTCCTCTCTCTTTCTGTAAAGGGTCCTAGATTAACACCAGTCCCCTCCTGCTGTGACTGCCCCATCAGCCAGTGCCCTGTGTCCTGTCTGTGTGCGGAGCTTGGCCCTGCAGACCCCTCACGGGCCAGCCTGGCTCTGTGGTAGAGACACGGTCCTGGGCTGCACCCTGCTCCCCTTTTCTTCTGGTACCCCCAGCTCGTCTCTGCCCTCACCCGAGCTGCAAGGATTTGATGTGGTTTGACGACATCACCGTAGGATTCTCTCATGTATGGTGATGACCAACCTCATCTCTTCCCAAACACTTTCCGAAAGAACTAGAAGCGTAGGCACGGCAGGTCAGGGAAGAAGGCCCAAGGAGAGGTGGATTCGGTACTGTCGAGAGGACTCAGCCCTTGTCCCCAGCTCTCCCCGCCATTATAGTGCCCCCTTTGGGTCACGGATGCAAGGGACTAAAACGAGTTCTCTCCCGAGTAAACACGTGCCTCTGGAGATCTTTGTCGTTCTCTTCCTCACGTACCTTCCAGAAATAGAAGTCATGATGAAACCCGCAGGTGCCATTTTTAGCAGGCAGTGAGCAGGGCAGCCCCCCCCCCAGGCAAGAGTACGCTCCCCTCCTCGCCCACCCCAGTTCCGTCTCTGAGCTTGGCACTCGGCTTCTTACAAGCAAACAGTATGGCACCACCTCAAGAAATTAAAACCAGAAATTCTGTCCCAATCTGTCTGAACTTGGTAAACGATCCGAGACAGGATGGGATCTTGGTGGTTGGCTGACGGGTTTCTCATGTCAGCCGTTGGCGGAGCCTGCAGACCTGGACTGTTGGATAAAGTGCTCTTAACAGACACCTCGCTGGGCTCTTCCTTCTCCTTTCTCGTTTCTTACTCAGTCGCTGCTAAGCTCCTTGTACGTATGTCCTCGAAGCCATCCTAGGTCTTACTCTGGTTCCGCATCCTTCAGTGACCCTTAAGCTTGTCCTTACTGGGAGCCAGCAGCGGGGCCCTGTTCCCAGGGAGACTTAACTGTTCTTCTCTTTCATGATCCTCTCCCGTGGGTGGACACGTGTGGTTTGGTTATAAGTCCGTTTTTCAAGTTGCCTACCAATCGATAAAAGAAATCCCGTTAACGTAGATAGATTGCATGCCAAATTTTGGTGCCTCTCTCTAGTGGCCGAGGTTGGACGCAGGGTGCATGGGGTGCTTGGTGTCATTCAGTCGTGTGACAAGGGTACACGGTTCCAGGTGTGGCACAAGAAATGCCTTCCTTGGCAATTTAGTACCTTTCCCACTAATCTTCATTCTCTGTGAGCATGACGCCCTACTGTTTTTCCAACCAGCTGTTGTTGACTCCTAAAAAATAAGTTCTGCCTGTGTATTCTCCACACCCACAGGTTTAGGGCAGTCAGTGGTGGCAGCATTTTAGCTGTTAGCGCTGTGTGCAGGGCGGGGAGGGGAGGGTGGCTTCCCAGGTGGCAGGTGCGGATCACATTGCAGGGTGGTGTTGTAGGCGCAGGCGGGGGGGCTGCTAACCGTGTTGGCTTTCTTCCCCAGACCATTCCCGGAGTAGCAAATCCAGCTGGAGCAGCGGCGAGGAGAAGCGAGGATCGGCACGTTCCGAGCACAGCACCAGCAGTACCAAGAGTCTCATGCCGAAAGAGTCTCGGCTGGACACCTTCTGGGACTAGGGGCAAAGTGTGACCCACACTACCTACCCTACGGGGAGGACACTCAGACACCAGGAAAATAAGCGACAGCAAAGCCAGGAGAACAGCCGCCTTCAGACTCGAGACTTCTGAGCGTTCAGACTTGGCCCGCGCCCGGCACGAGGGCAGCCCACACTACAGGACGCCCGCATTCGCCCCACCCGGGACTGTCCGCCACGCACAAGCTCTGTGCTTGCGATGTAAATAGTGTACAATTTGTGGATGTCACTAAACCTAGAGGACCTTCCCCCTTTTATATTTGTATTGACTTTAACTTATAAAAAAAAAAAAAAAACAACCCACCCCAACAACAAAAAGAATGTTTTGATGTTGGAGGGAAGGGACGGTCACTTAGCCTGTCTACCACACAGCAGAATGGAGACTGGGCCTGGGGGCTGCCGTCTCCCACGTGTCCTGCTCCTCGGATTGCGAGCTGTTTCCAGGCATGTGTCTGTGTGCAGCTCGCTGGGATCGCGAGTTTGGGCACAGACTCCGTGCGCTGTGGCACGGCCCATCAAGCCATTGGCTCCTTTCAAATACTACGTTGTTGCGTTCTAAGACACAAGCTCTCCGGACTGGAAGGACACATGGAGAAGCTCATTTATTTTGTGTCATTTAAATGATGACTACTCCTAAAAGGGAAAAAACCAACGTCCTTGTTTACAGAAGAGAAGCAGAAAGAAGCCCTGCTCGGCTCAATTTGCAGCAGAAGAACGTAGAGAAGGTTAGGGTCATAAACTCTGAAACAAAGAGCAGTCTTTCCTTTGCTTTTGTGATTCCTTTAAACACACTCACACGCTTGGCAAGAGATGCCGTGCTTCTCGGGAGCAAGAACTCCAAGGCAAGGTGCACGCAGAGGACACTCGAGTCTGGGATGAAGCATGTATGTATTATTTATATGATGGAATTTTACATTTTTATGTAAGCATGAATCAAAGGCAGTATGAGAGAAAGCAAGACCAGCCATGCTGTCCGACACTACGTATATGCTGTAGTACCATTTTGTATGTTGTGTAAAACAAAAAGCATTGATCAAAAAGCAAAAGGTGATGTATGTATATGAGAAAATTAATTGTACGATATCATTCCAGTACATTCTGTTGTACATTTTAGTCTCGTTTACTTTCTCTTCATTGTTGATAAGAGGATGCGAACTGTACAGTTTCCAGCTAGTTACCCATATTAGAGAAGAAATAAGAAGAGAGTATTAGAAGAAAAAAGGAGAGAACATTTGTGAATTGCAGTTGTCAAAAAAAAAAAAAATAGCCTAGCTGGCCTTACTTGTGAAGCATAATTGCTTTTAGCATATGGAAGTATTTTTTCACATTTTCTTTGTATAAAATTTGTATTAAACTTAAATATCTTTTTTGATGACCGTGTTTCTTTGTGACTGAGCCAGTGGACTCGCACGGAATGCTCTTTTGGGTTTCCCCTCCCCCCACCCCCGATTTTTTCAGACCCTTCACCTTTTTTTAATTAAACTGTTTTGGAAAAATGCCTTGGTCGTCCTCGAATTTGCAGTTTTCCATTTGGTCCGGATGGCTTTGTCAGGTTCCAGAACCAAACACAGCAGCCGGGACGGGAGAGGCCCAGGACGCCCTCGGGTGGTGGGCAGGTCAGTGGTGACGGCCCCGGGCTGGCGCGTCCTGGGCTGGTGGCAGGACAGCCGTGGGAGGGGAGGAGGGGGTTGCCTTTCTGATGCCAGGACGGGCCGAGCTAACAGGACGAGCAGGGGCAGCAGTGGTCCTGGCGCCAGCCCAGTGCCGGATCCAGGGGTCTGGGCCTGGGGGAAGGTGCCCTGGGCACCAGGAGAAGGAACAGTCTTGAAAGTCCGAGCTTTGGTTTCTTAGGCCGCAGCGTCCCTTTTCTCTGAAATCCAGCGGTTCCCTAGACTGCCCCACCGGCACCTTCCTGACGCGGGCCGAGACCGGGCCCGCGAGGGAGTTGGGAGCACGAGCGGAAATCCTCCCAGACGGTCAGACGGCACACGTTGTGTCGGGCACTGTCCGGGCACTGAGGAGACCCGGTGACGTCGAGGGACCGGGCCCTGCCTTGTTGAGCTCGCATCTACTGGGGTTGACATCCAGTATTTACAGGGGACCTGGCATGTACCAAGCGTGATGTCAGCCACTGGGGAAGGGCGGTGAGCAAAGGGCCAGGGAGCCCCGCCACTTGGGGCCTTTTGGTCCTCACAGAGGATAGCCCATCTGCGGACTTAAAGACAGCACTAACAAGATGAGCAAACGGATCGGTGTCCTGAAGGCGGAGCCTGCAAACTCCATTGAGGGCCAGCGGAAACCCACGGCTTTGTCACGGCTGTCACAACTGCCCGGTCCTGCCGCAGAGCGAACCGGCCGTGGAGGGCACGTAAGTGGGCGTGGGCGCGTTCAGTAAGGTTTTACGGCCCCTGCAATTTGAATTTTAGTTCTTGTGTCACGAAATGATTCTTTTTTTTTTTTCCAGTCATCTGAAAATGTAAACAGTCTTCTCCGCTCAAGGGCCTTACAAAAGCCGGGGATGGGCCAGACTCAGGCCACTAGCTGAGCAGTGCTGACAAAGGGACAAAGTGGAAATGCTTTAGAGCAGACCGAGAGGTGAAGGTGACCACTCTAGCTGGGACCACACAGAGGCCTGTTTGGGGGGGGGGCGTTTGGGCTGAAACCTGAATGAGTAGCTTTCCGTGGGAAAATAAAAAGTTAGGTGAGTGTCTCAGAGGGACCAGCAAGTGCAAAGGCCCTGGGGTATGTGGGAGCTTGGCATGCTTGATGAACAAGAGGAAGGCCAGCGTGGCTGCAGGGAGTGAGTGAGTTGGAGAGGGTCCTGCTGGTTCCAGAGTCCGTGGTCCGTGACACTTGCAGGGCGGGCTGTGATTGCCCCTTGATCTTTGGGTGTGAACCAAGCCAGAAAGGGCTGCTGGCCCACCTGAGACTGGGCTAGTTGTGATCCCCCACCCCAGGCTGCTGTAGAGATGGGACCATAGAAGTGACTAGCTCAAGAGCACAGAGCTAGTGGACTCCTACTTAAGTGCTCTTTCCAGTAGATAAGGCATTATCTGTCACTTTTTAAGTGAAAAAAAGTGTTAGTGTCCCTTTCTTGGGCATGTCTGTGCACCTGCCCTCTGGTTGCATTTTACCCTGGAGACCAGCCTGGGGAGAGACGGGGTCACCCCAGAGTCTCCTTTCTGCTCCAGCGTCCTCTCTGCGCTGCTGTGCTCTCTGCTCCCTCAGCCTGACACCCCCTTCCGTGGCGGGCACCTTATTCTTCAGGCTGTCTTTCGGATGTCACCTCTGAAGTAGCCGCTCACCCACCTGCCCCTCCTGTGCTCTGTGTCTTGTCAGTTCTCTTCATAGCCCCGAGCAAGGTCTGTAGGCGACTTTATTTCCTGTGTGTGTGCGTGCCCCACTCGACCGTGAGCTGTGTGCGGGAGGACTTCCAGGACTTGGAAGGGCTGATGGAGGTCACGGCCCCACCGGGTGGGCAGCGCTGTGCAGGTCAGCCCGGAGCCTGCCTCACCGGGAGGCGCCCCCGACCTCCCGGCCTCCCGCAGAAGACAGACACCCAAGGAAGCCGCTTGCTCACTTGGAGGTACGGAAATGGTTATTGTTTTTTAAACGTTGAATTTCAGTTTTACCACTTACTTGAGCAGGTAATGCAGTCACACGACTCAGGAAGATAGGAAAGGGCCCCCCGTTAGAAAGTCCCTCTGTCCCAGCCACCCTGGTCTCCTCCAATTTCTCTTCCTGCGCCATCCGGCAGGAAGAGTCTCTGCATTTACAAAAACAGAAGCAGAGCGACATTCCCTGCCTTTTCCTACATCAACTGTCGCCTTTGGCACACACTCCTCTGCCTGGCCTTCCCTTTGTGACTTGTCTGGAGTCTAGAGTGTTGTTCCATCTTGATGCAGGTCAAGAGCATCTTCATTCCTCGTGATGGGTGTGCGGTATCCGTTGCGCGGACAGGAGATAACGCATGTGGCCAGTCCCCAACTGGTGGACGCTCAGGTGGTCCCCAAACACTGGCTGCGGCGGGCTGCCTGCCTCGCGCTCCTGCGCACCTGTCCCTGCGTGAGTGCCGCGGAGCCACGCCCAGGGTCCGTGGGCGGCCAGGTGAGGGGAAGTTTGGGTGGCGTGTAGACCCAGTGCCAGTTTGGGTGGCGTGTAGACGCCCAATGACTCCGAGTCTATGCATGGGAGCCGCAGAGGGAGACACGCCGGAACCTGGCGCCCCTGCCCAGCTGCTGTGGCCCTTCTCGCTCCTTCCCCTGGCCCGCACGTGCGCACAGCCTGGGGCGGCCTGTGCGCGCCGGCACTCTCGCCACCTGGTGGCCACGGGCAGAACTGCAGCTCGCGGGGACCAGGAGCGCGTGGCCAGCATCCTGCATCCCCACGCCGTTCCCCGCGCCCTCCGCGGGAGCCGAGCGCCGGGCCGCAGCAGCGAACGAAACAGGCGTGCTCCGTCCTCACTGAGCAAATACCCGAATGCATGCAGTGCGCTCCCTGGCCGGCTGGACGGTGAAAGGTAAATGGCGTGGGGGGGGGACGCCTCTCGAGGGGCTGACCTTGGAGCGGCAACCCGAGGAGGCGGGACTGAGCCGGGACACCTTGGGCAACGATTCTTAACGCCGGCTGAACATCAGAAGCGCCTGGGAAGATTAAATCTACTAACTACTTGGACGCCACCAGAATAAGGCGCCAGACTGTGAGCTGGGGCTCGGGCATCTGGACTTTTCGGAGCCCAGCTGACAGCCACTGACCTGGCTGGAAGGGGCTCCGGGGAGAAGGAAGCGCACCTGCGAAAGCCCTGAGGCGGGGCCAGGGAAGGAAGGCCGGCGAGGGAGGGAGGGAGGGAGGGGCCCCGGAGGCAGGGGTGGGGGGATCAGAGGGAGAAAGCTGGGGGGAGGCCGAGGCGTGGATCCCGTGGCGCCGTGTGCTCTAGAGGAGACGGGAAGCCAGGGTGAGTGGGTGTTTTATTTTTAAAACAGCTTTGTTGATGTATAATTCACACACTATACAAGTCACCCATTTGAAGTGTATAATTCAATGATTTGAAGGTATTTTACAACATTAATTTTTAAAAAAATTTGTGGTGAAATGTATATAACATAAAATTTGCCATTTCTACCATTTCTAACTGTGCAATTCAGTGGCATTATCAGAGTTGTGTTTTCCAAAGTCCAGCATTCAGCTGCCGCCTTCACGCCAGGGCACAACCGGACACCACCTGTGCTCTTACATCTTCATCCGCTGAGGCAAGGGTCCCCCACGCCCCTCCAGGTGTGGCCAATGAGGGCATGTCCCACGTGCTGGGCTCCGTGCTGAGGCTTTCTGCGCTGTAATCTTATAGGTCTTCCCGATGACTCCACGCATGAGGCAGGCACTAGAGATGGGCCCATTCTCCAGATGAGGAAACAGGGTCGGAGAGAAAGAAGTGACTTGCTCAAGGTCACAGGAAAGGTCAGTGCCAGAGCCCAGAGCCGGGACTCAGCCAGACTGTTCAATGCCCAAGCCGGTGCAGGGAGCCATCAGATGACACTGCCCCAGCCCCAGCGAGCCTGGTGGCTGCAGCACCGTGGTAAGAAGACAACACGCCTTCCCAGGTACCCTTTCCCCGACTACTCTCAGTTACCCGTGGGGTGTGTGTTGTCCCTTCTTTGCGCAGCCTGGGAAACTGAAGCTCAAGGGTTAAATGAATGTGGAGGGGTCAGGTTTTTAGTTGCAAATAACAGAAGCCACTCTAGCTAATTTGAGCAGGCAAAGAATTTGTTAAAAGGTATTTATTGAGTGGCTCACAGATCTCCAGGAGGGCCAGAGAGACGGGCCGGGAGACTGCACAGCCACCATCAGTGTCCAGATTGCATTGCTGGACCTGCTTGTTAGGACTTCCCCCATCAGTGCTGCTGGGCCCAGTCCCTGCAGCTCACTAGGGAGGCTGGGGACGTCCCTTCTGCCCCTTGCTGGCTTCCACGCAGCAGAATCCACTCCCACTGCTTTCACCTTTCGGTGTGTCTGGCCTGGCTGAGCCTGGGTCCCATATGGGTGCATCTGGTGGACCCAGCCCGAGTGCCAGTGGGTGTATTTGATCGCTGAGCCTGGGTGCCATCTGGGGACATGTGATTGGCTGAGCCTAGGTCACATGCCTGCATTCTAACTGCAAGGCTGGGGAAGCGAGAGTCGGGCTTCTGGTGCAGACTCGTAAGGTCTATGTTGACAAAATGACGACAGCGCCTACTGCAGAGCTGTCCAAGGTCTCTGTCCGCGAGGTCCGTGTAGAGAGTGGGATTCGAGGGCCGGTTTAAGCACAAGGCTCTGCATTGCCCAGAATTCCCTTTCCTTGAGTGGTTCCATGCTCAAGTTGACCAAAAGAGGAGCTGTGTGTGTGAGATTCTGAAGACAGAAGGGAAGCAGCAGCCTAAGGTCCTAAGGTCCCTGTGGTTAGACGTGGCGACAGATGCAGAGGCACCAGCAGGCTCCAGCTTGTCCTTGCTGTCGCTCAGCGTCCAGGCCTTCTTCCTCGCTCCTGGACGTCAGCGCCTGGCCTGTCACCAGCCACGTGGCTGCAGAGGCAATGCTGCCCCATTGATGCCCGACCCTGGGTCCCCTCTGCCAGATGTGCCTCACAGCTTCTCAGGTTGCCAGTGTGGGGAGTCCAGATCCCGTTCTTGGGCCTTACTGTCCTTGTCCTCCCACCGTTGTGCACAGCTCAATTCCCACGATAAATTACTTATCCCACACTCATAGGCCAGATCCGATGCATTGAGAGTATTTACAGAGTCACAAGGAGGCTGCAGAAACCCGTCTGCGTTTCAGGAAAGCCACGGGGCTGCCTCGGAGGAGATGCTTGGGGTCCGGACCTGCAGGTGACCTGAGCAGCCTGGCTGGAGGCAGCTGGGGAAAGAGTTTTTAGCTTTCTCTTTAGTTCGGGAAGCTACCACAGAAGGAGGAAGGATGGTTCGATGTTGAACAAGCCCAAGGTGGCCGGGCCCAGGGCTCTTAGCTGCCCAGGGCTCTCCTTTCAGAGCGTGGTGTTAATGGAAAACCGAAGCCTCTGGGCCCAGCAGATAGCCCAAGTTCCAACATGACAAGGTTTGTTACGACAATCGAGCACTGACCTTGGGTCACCTTGATGAACTGATGGCGACTGGAGCTTCATTTACATACACAGCAGCTCCCGTGTTCCGGCAGTCTGTGCACGTTGCATTCTAATTACCTGCGTTTGCAGCAGAGCACAGCAACGGGCCCAGAGGGACAGAGGCTCCACAGCCCGAGAGTGGTGGAAGCTGCACTGGAACCTAGTCTAATGACAGAAAAAGGCCTGCTCTTAATCACCACTGTATCTTTGTATCGCTAGAGAAGCCTTTGCATAAAAGCCACGAATTAATTATTAATTAGACACTCATTCCTGGCGGGGCACAGTTTCAGGTGCCGGGGGCACCCGAGGGTGGGGCGGGGGCTGCAGGGCAGAGAGACGCCCACCTCGCCTCCCACCAGAGTTCACCAGATGCTCATCTTTGGCCAGATACCTAATGGCTGAGGCTCGAATGAACTTCTGGAGATAAACCCTAATGTATTCCCAAATAATTTAAACTATTATTACAATTATAATATCACAAATCAGGGCAGTCCACGTTCAAAGTCAGGCTGGGTGCAGGAGCACGTGCCACCCAGCCCTGCGGATCGCTCTGGCGGCCACCAGTGTCCCTCTGCCTCCTGCAGGGACATCGTGTCTGCTGAGGCGGCTGCTGTGGTCACTGCAGAAGGTCACCTATCACCGCCTCTCGGGCCTGAACACATTGTCCTTGGTGCTGTAATTCCATCGGAGCAATCCTGCAGCACGGGCGGAGCCTGAGGGAGACGCTTTCTGAATCCTTCCAAGGGAAGCCTCCCGTTATTATTTTCTGGTCCTACTTCAAGTGGCATCTGCAGGTGACTTGGGTGGGCTGCGGGGTCGCTCTGCCCCCTGGTGGTCACAGTTGAGCACAGCTTTGTGGGCGCTGAGCTTGCAGCAACCAGGGCTCAAAACGTGGGAAAAGTGGTCCTGTGTTCTTAACTCAAATTGCCCTTACCCAGGATAAACTGCAGGTCTAGCAACAGCACGATGCATCTCAAAAGCATTTCAGTGGGAGCAGCCAGGCACCAAAGGTTGCATTTTTCGTGAGTCCGTTTATATGAAATTCTAGATCAAGCCAAACTTTTTTTTTTTTTTTTTTGAGACAGAGTCTCACTTTGTTGCCCAGGCTAGAATGAGTGCTGTGGCATCAGCCTAGCTCACAGCAACCTCAAACTCCTGGGCTCAGGCGATCCTCCTGCCTCAGCCTCCCGAGTAGCTGGGACTACAGGCATGCGCCACTATGCCCGGCTAGTTTTTTCTGTATATGTTACTTGGCCAATTAATTTCTTTCTATTTATAGTAGAGACGGGGTCCCGCTCTTGCTCAGGCTGGTTTCGAACTCCTGACCTTGAGCAATCCGCCCGCCTGGGCCTCCCAGAGTGCTAGGATTACAGGCGTGAGCCACCGCGCCCGGCCCAAACTGACAGAAATCAGAGCTGTTGTATGTAGACTGGGAAGGGCACGAGGGAGCCAGCCTTTTGCCTGGAAACGTCGTCCGTCTTGATCTGGTGGTGTAATTATCCCAGCGTAATCACATATAAAAGTACATCAAGATGTATACTTGAGATTTGGAATTTGAGCAATAAACTTTGTTGATTACAAAATTAAAAAGAAAAAACCTCCTTTAAATTCATGAAGGAATCCCGTGATCAGATGTCCTGCTTCCCTCCTTCCCCTCCAGCAGCTGTGATGATTTTGAAAATAAACATCAGATCACACCACTCTCCTGCTGATCATCCTCTGACATCCTTTTTTTTTTTTTTGAGACAGGGTATCACTCTGTCGGCGGGGCTTGAGTGCCATGGTGTCATCCTAGTTCACTGCAACCTCAGACTCCTGGGCGATTCTTCCAAAGTGCTAGAATTAGAGGTGTGAGCCACCTTGACGGCCTGCCTGTATGATTTTGTGGAGGATTCTTGGAGTCACCTTTGCCACACCAGGCAAGAGCTTGTCTGAAAATTAAGGTCACATAAGAGGAAGCCATTTTATCACCTGGGTCCAGCTATGCCTGAAGTCAGGAGTCTCCAAAAACTTTAGGTTATTTCTCCCTCTCCCTTTCCCTCCCTCCCTTCATACCTCCCTCTGTCTCTCCTTTCCCCCCTTCCCACCTTTCTTCCTCCCTCCCTCTCCCTTCCCTCCCTTCTTCTCTTTTTCTTTCTCTCCTCTCCCTCCCCTCTCTTTTTCTTGACTTGAGCCAGTCTGAGTTGGATTTTATTCTTTTGCGACTGAAAAAGTCCTGGAAAAGACCAACACGTTTGGAAGCCCGAGAGTGGTAACGAAGTGACTACACCCTACCCCACTTCGAAACGTAAACGTGGTTTTATTTAATGCCTGTAATCCATCACAAAGGACTGCTTCCTTCCCAGCGTCCCCCTCCCTAGGGCGCGAGAGGGCGGCGTGAGGCACGTGGGCCGTCCACGCGAGGCACGTGGGCCGTCCACGTGAGGCACGTGCGCCGTCCACGTGACGTCGAGCGGGTCTCTGAAAACAAAGGCAAGCAACAGTCTCCCCAGCAGCCCGCGCCGCCTCCCCGTCAGTGGTCAGAGAACGACTGGACCCCACAGCACGGCGGGAGAAGAGCGCGCTTGAATTAGATCTGTGAACCGCCACACGTGCCAGTTTAAAACACCAACGACTAAGAAAACCAACAACACAGGTACAAGAGCGTAATACCAGAGTAATGAGACTAGTCCATAAATTAAAAAGGAAAAAAGAAAAAGAGCCCATCCCCTGCTCCTCAGCAGCCCCCCTCCCCCCGTCAGCACTTCCTTGCTTTTGTCCTGTGAGTCTGGGGCGGCCTCCGAGCCAGCCCTCGCCCCAGGTGGCGTGTTCCCGCCAGCGCTGGGCACTTTGCTGCTCAGGGGCCCCGCCGGGACCAGACGGACGGGCGGCTCTTGACAGCCACGGGACACGTCCTCTCGCTGTGGGACCTGCCTGGTGTCCGGCGTTGGGTCTTTGCGGCTCGCGGTGGGGTCGCGGGTGGGGACGGGAGGGGCTGGGTGGGCGCCATGGCAGGTGCAGGCGCCGCCGCTATAAGTACTCCAGCTCCAGGGCGTGCCTCAGTGCCTCCAGGTCGGCGTGGCAGGATATCCGCCAGAACGGCATGTTGTGCTGGAACACAGAGCGCCAGGTTACCGCGCCGCCCGCGCCCCCTCAGCCCCCCGCGCCGCGATGGCCGTATGAGCAGCGGACCCCAACTCGGTCCAGCGTGTGGGCCCGTCCCAAAGCGTGATGGTCAGCACACGCACCTCCCGCCACCAGCGAGGCCCGACCACTTTTGCCCCGCACCGCCCTGCGCTGTCCCCGTGGGGCCCGGGCCGTGTGCGGACGCGGTATCACGTCACACAGCGACCGGGGATTCCTTTGTGCAAGTTTGTTCTGGTCCTGCCTCTTGCAGAAGAAAGGCTGTGCCGGGTGCCGGGACGCCTCCGCCGGCTCCGACCTCCGTTCTGAACAGAGAGCCGGCGCAGAGGGTCTCGGGCGAGCCCTGGTGTGTCGCTGGGTTGTGTCCTTTGCAGCCTTTGTGTCTGGCTTTTCCGTTGCCTTACGGTGGGGGACGCTTGCTCTGTGTCACTGTCGTGATGTCAGGTTTTCGGTGTTGAATAAGCGTTAGTTGGTTGAGAGGAAAATGTGCAATGGTACAGGCAGGGTGCGGCTACGACCAAAGTCGCAGCTGGCGTGAGTCGGGGTGTGCGGATCACAGCACGAGGTCACCAGTGTGGAAGAATCGCCGGTCACCTGTGCCAGGTGCTTCTACAGGGTGATGGTCAAAGGACACCCACCGTCACCAGCCGGGTGACCTTGGGCAGTTTACTTTGTTGCTTGTCTGTCAAATGGAGATAACCCTTGCTGTATACCATGGGCGCTGTTCACCATGCCTGCGCGTACGAAGTGCTCCGTACGTGTTAGCTGTTATGATCAAGTCTCAGTGCCCAAGGACCTGCCTACATAGATGGGACAAAGTCAGGAAGGATGCAGGACAAATATAAACATGTAGGTGGAAGAATGGATTTTGGGGGTTTTCAGTAGTTTAAAAAATAATAAATACGAGTATAACATGAAGAATTAAAAAAGTCATGACGGCAGGTGTAAATAAAATGTCATGGGAGCCAGCAAGAGGAAGCAGACTCCTTTTTGGTGGCAGTGAATGGGATGGGCGTGGCCCAGAGGAGGCATGAGAGCCAGGCCTTGAAGGATGAACGAGGGCTTCAGGCTTTGCAGGCTGCTCAGGGGAAGGGTGTTCCTGGGCGAGCAGAGGAGGAGATACAGGATGCACGGGGCAGCGTGACCTGGAAATATCATTGAGTGGAGCGGCTGTGGTGTGGTGCATGCAGGTGTGTGTTATTTTCTCTTCCTATTTGGAGGTTGTCATGTTAGTTTGTGATACCTGGAGCTATGGCAGCTGTTTTGAGATCATGAGGCAACACAATAGAAACTAAAAAGCCAAAGATGGTAAGAAAGGTTGAGCAAAAATGATGCTTTGTAAATTTTTGACCCACTGAACCAACCACTGTCTACCCACTTTTGGTCTTTAGGTGTGCTGGTGTGTAAGCCATCATTATATGGGTTTTCTGTTAGTCTCCTAAAGACAGTCATTGGCCTTAAATTATTTGCTGAGTAAAAAAAGATATCCTTGATGAGCATATGGATGCCAGGGGTTCTTTGGTGACTCTGAGGTTTTATGCCTAGGGGCTAGAAACTATGCAGGGGTCCATTTGTTTCTGGAACACACCAAGCCCACTCCTGTCTTTGGGGCTCTGCACTTATTACTCTGCCAACTCTTTTTTTTTTTTTGAGATGGGAGTCTTGCTTTGTCACCTAGGCTTGAGTGCAGTGGTGCAATCCTAGCTCATAGCAGCCTCAAACTCCTGGGCTCAAGTGATCCTCCTGCCTCAGCCTCCCAAGTAGCTGGGACTACAGGTGCGTGCGATTGTGCCTGGCTCTGCCAACTCTTTATATCATTGGTCAGCTTCACCTTTCTGGTCTGTGGTAGGCAGAAAAATAGCCTCCCAAAGAGGTCCACATCCTAATCCTTAGACCCTGTGACTATGCGACCTTACAGGGCAAAGGGATTTTGCAGATGTGATTGCGTTCAGGATCTTGAGTTGGGGGAGAGCATCCCGAGAGCAGGGCCTCAGTTGCATCTCTCACTGCTGTCCCCCCAGCAGGCTCTGCTGCACAGCGGGCACGCACTCATGGAGCTTTCCTCGGTGGCACAGACGCTAAATAAACAAGGAAAGCTCATCTCCTTGTAAATGCCTCGGGCGAAGTAGAACAGGGGGTGGGGGAGAAAGCAGCCGTGTGTGTGTGTGTGTGTGTGTGTGTGTGTGAGGTCAGGAAAGGTCTCTAGGGGAGTGTCATTTAAGCAGGCCCTGGTAGGATGTGGGGGAAGGTAGAAGACACAGCAAATGCAAAGGCCCTGAGGAGGCTTTGAGCTTGGAATGTAATGTTCACTGCTGCATTGCATGGCTCTTGGCACATATAGGCGCTCAAGAAATATTTGTGGAAGGAAAAGAGAAAAGGCAAGTTTCTCAAGCAAAGTCCCCTAGGAACGCATGCTTTCCCCTTGTGCTCTGTAGCTTCTAAATGATTCCCAGCACGAGGGGAGCAGAAGGCTCTCCGTCACGGGTGACAGGTGCCCTCTCTTTAATGCCTTCTAGTTCTCCCAGCTCCCCCATCCCGGCCAGGCATTCCTGTCCCTGCAAAGGTGGAAGAGAATGTCTCAGCCACCTCCCTCCCAGGCTTGATGGCTCCAGTGCACCTGTCACTGGTGTAGACAAGTGACCCCCTGAAATGGGGTATTAGTGGCACTGTCAGCAGGAGCAGTCACAGCCCCCGGTGCGTGGACCCTTGTCGCGGCCTGTCCCCCCACAGCGCCTCTCACTAACGCGCTGGGGCTGCAGACACTGTTGGGGGATTTCTAGGGGTGCTTGGTGTGTGTTGGGGCACCTGGTCCTCTTTGGTGGACTCTTGTCTGACTAGCTTAGGGGTGCGAATCGACGGGGTTTGAAACTCATTTGGAGCAAGACATAGGTGGGCTTGCACGTGCCAGCTGTGTGACCTTAAGAAATGGGGTGGGCTTGGCGGCTCACACCTATGATCCTAGCACTCTGGGAGGCCAAGGAGGGAGGATTGCTTGAGCCCAGGAGTTCGAGACCAGCCTGAGCGAGACCCCGTCTCTACTATAAATAGAAAGAAATTAGCTGGACAACTAAAAATAGAAAAAATTAGCCAGGCTCTGTGGCACGTGCCTGTAGTCCCAGTTACGCAGGAGGCTGAGGCAGGAGGATTGCTTGAGCCCAGGAGTTTGAGGTTGCCGTGAGCTAGGCTGATGCCACGGCACTCTAGCCCCGGCAATAGAGTGAGACTCTGTCTCAGAAAAAGAAAAAAAATGGGATGGAACAATAACTACAACTCTGCATTACATCATTTTACTCAATCCCCCCCACAAAAACCCTGCAGAGTGGGTAAGGGCACAGGGTGAGCTTGGCCCCTTAGGTGCCAGCTGTCCCCCAACATCCTGTCTCCCCTTCTCTCTGAGAAGCCCCATGTTTTAGCCGGCCGCTCGGTGGCCAGTAAGGCTGCATCTCTGGGGAAGGGGAGGAACCTTCCAGGTGGAGGGAACAGCGCATGCAAAGCCTTCTGAGCTTCCTTCTCCCCCCTGAGGACCCCAGGGCCTTCCCTCTTCTTCTGGGTTTCGTTAGCTGAGACCCTAAACATTTTTGCATTTCCTTGGGATTTACTGCCAGGGAGAGAAGGGGGAAACGAGGTCCCCCAAATTAAGCTCCGTGACATTAACAATCTGCTTCCCAGGCCCCCGGGTAGGGGGTGGCAGGCTCTCTGGGGCACTGTTGACAGGCCCAGACTCAGGGCTTTGGCAGCTGTTTCTTTTCTAAGAACAGAGATGTGGCCACCAGAACCCCCTGCCCTCTCCTCCCGGGCCCGAGATCACAAATGTGGGATTTTCTTTTTCATTAGCTTAATGCTGTCTTTATTAACTGGGAAGGGTTCCTGGAACAAATGATCAGCGAGCGTTAAATAAAACGCACACACGTGCACCAGCCCCACCAGCCTGCCCCGACGGGGCGTCTCTGGGTTCCCCAGCACTTGTCCCAGAAACTGTCCAAAGGCACAGAGGGGATTTGCAGAAGGAAATTACTTCTGCGATTTGCAAATGGGGGTGGATGGGTGAGAAGGAGCCTGGGCAGGAGGGTGCGGCTAGTCGGGGAAGAGCCCGAGAAAGCTCGAGGGAAGGAAGAAGTACCTTTTTCGCTCCTTGCTCCTCTTCGACACCGTCCCCGATCACCACGTAGACGGCCTTCCTGCCGAACCTCTGCATTATCCTCTCGAAGCAGCTCTCCTTCCCTGCACGGGGCGGAAGGAAACACGAGGAGAAGCGCGGTGAGGACCAGTCTCCAGGTGTGGGGAGCTTGGCTAGGCCGTCTCCATGTGAAGGAGGGTGAAAACTCAGAGACACAGAGAGGTTAAGCCGCTTGCCCCGGGGGACACAGCCGGAAGAGGCTGCGCAGGGGTTTACAGCAGGCCCTGGGGGCCGCCTGATGTAGGCCTGCCGTGGGGAAAGTACTTAACACCGCTGGTAGAAATGTTATATTATTTTGCCCCAATTAAAAATAGAAACATTGGCCAGGCCTAGCACTCTGGAAGGCGGGAGGATCACTTGAGGTCAGGAGTTTGAGACCAGCCTGAGCAAGAGTGAGACCCTGTCTCTGCTAAAAGTAGAAAAAATTTGCTGGATGTGGTGGTGCATGTCCCAGCTACTTGGGAGGCTAAGGCAGGAGGATCGCTTGAGCCCAGGAGTTTTAGGTTGCCGTGAGCTAGGCTGATGCCATGGCACTCTAGCCCAGACAACAGAGTGAGACTCTATGTTAAAAAAAAAAAAGAAAAAAATTAAAAGGTGGTTCTTTTTTTTTTTTTTTTTGAGACAGGGTCTCGCTTTGTTGTCCAGGCTAGAGTGAGTGCTGTGGTGTCAGCCTAGCTCACAGCAACCTCAAACTCCTGGGCTCAAGCGATCCCACTGCCTCAGCCTCCCGAGTAGCTGGGACTACAGGCATGCGCCACCATGCCCGGCTAATTTCTTCTATATATATTGGCCAATTAATTTCTACACTTGACCTTAGCCAAAAGGCCGAGAAGCGATGGCCAATTAATTTCTATTTATAGTAGAGATGGGGTTTCACACAGGCTGGTTTCCTAGCTCCTGACCTCGAGCTATCTGCCCGCCTTGGCCTAAAAGATTCTAAATAAGCCTGCAAAGGTAGCTGTCAAGAGGTATGCACAAAGAAAATGAAAGACTCACAGGCTCTTGTTGAAAAATCTCTAATAGCCATTTTGGCCTGAATTACTATGATTTAAAAATCTAAAGGCACTTTTACATAATGTTCAGACCTAGAACTTCAGTGAAGACAAAAGTTGCCATAAGAAAATGCTTCCAAAGTATGCTAAGTTGATTTTATTTGCTCCAGAAAAAAAAAACAAGGGTAAAAATTTCTACTCATGCCTGTAATCCTAGCACTCTGGGATACCAAGATGGGAGAATTCCTTGAGCTCAGGAGTTCAAGACCAGCCTCAGCAAGAGTGAGACCCCGTCTCTACTAAAAATAGAAATTATATGGACAACTAAAAAATACATAGAAAAAATTAGCTGAGCATGGTGGCACATTCCTGTAGTCCCAGTTACCCGGGAGGCTGAGGCAGCAGGATCGCTTGAGCCCAGGAGTTTGAGCTTGCTGTGAGCTAGGCTGATGCCACAGCACTCTAGCCCGGGCAACAGAGCCAGATTGTTTCCAAAAAAAAATTTAAAAATTTCTAACTAACTAGACTTATTTTATATTATTATACATGCTTACATGATATAAGAATTAAAAGAAAAAAAAACAGGCCCCCAAAGAAAACCAATATTTCTTGGCATAAAAAGAAAGTAGCCAACGATAAACAATGCTATTAATTCCTAGTTATTAAATTCTCTTACCTGATGAAAGCTCTGAGCCTAGACTTGTTTTCTTGCAAGTAAGGGAGATCAGCAGGTATAAGATAGGCTAGTACTAAATTGAGACTCTCTAAGAGAATTAAAGAATAATTTTCTATGTGGTTTAAAGTTTGATTCAAGGTTACTGACAACCAAGGTTATTTGATGTACCACCTAAATAAAAATCACCTTATATGCCATGCTGTGGTGTGAACTGTTCTTTTCTTCCTTAGTAATAGGATTCCATGAGTTTTAGCTGGGCAACTCAGCCACTCAGCCATGGACTATAATTCCCAGCTTCCCTTGCAGCTAGTGGTGGCCATGTGACTAAACTGGAATAGGAGATGAGGAGACGTACTATGCACCCCTTCTGAGCTTGGCCTTAAAATATCAGACATACATTACTCCTTCCTCTTTTCCCCTTTCCCACAGGCTGGAATGGTGATGTGGCAGGACTCTGGTTTGACCACAGACGTGAGAATAAAACCACGAGAGGTGGTAGAAAAATAAAATGGGGTGCCTGGATGACTGACCTCTTCTGTCACGGGAGGGAGACATATGTAAGCCCTTGTGTTTGGGGTGTGTTTGTTACGGCAGCTTTGCCTGTATCTCAACTAACAGACACTTTGGAAAACTGTGGTCCCGATCAATTTCCTTAGCAGCAGAGGAAAAGGCAAGCGGGGCGTGAGGGTTGTTCTTGGGGTTTGAGTCATGCCCGTGCACAAGTTCCACCAACTTCCCTGGTGCCCTTTCCCTGCCACCTCCCGCACCCTGGTCTGGCTTGCCCTACCTGTCTTGGTTGCACTGTAGATGTTCTCGATGGGAAACACGGAGCCCAGCCCATACAGCAGGACTTTGGCCAGGGCGGGGATTAGTTGAGTGGTGGTGACCAGCACATTGACACAGTTGGGCCTGAGGACAAAAGAGACGGCGGATCAGAACTCTGAGGTCTCAACAGACCTCCCCCCCCCCCCCCCCCCCCCCCCGCAGCGTGAGGCTGCGGTGGGCGGGAATCCTGGAGGGGTTTGGAGGCTCTGGCAGGTGGTCTTCAGGTGAGGGCAGGGCCTGAGGGTTCTCCAGCTGTCCCTCTCTCTCAATCCTGAAGCTGCCTGACACCTTGAAATGGAATGTGGGTGCAATACTTCTCCTGTATGAAAGGGAAATGGGGCCTAGAGGTAAGGTCGTTGAGTGATGTGGAACAAGTGTAGGGCAACAGGGAGAGGTGGCGTCTGCGGCAAACCGGACAGCACATGCCAGTTCTGAACTTTTGAGAGAATCCAGAAACCTGGAAAGTCTCTGCACTGTTTGCCCAGCTACGCTACAAGGTGTCCACCGAGCCTTGGACACCTAAGGGTCAGCATGTCTGGACAGGGTGCAAATGAGAATTTGGGGAGTCCAACTCCCCCGAGTGTGGAAATGGAGGAGCTACCACTGCCTACTGGGAGAAAGTTCAGGGGTGCAAAGGAAAACGGGGAGCTGCCACTTGCCGGGAGTTGATGAGGTTTAGTGCCTTCAGGGAGTGCGTCAGCCAGAGGTCTGTGAGAGCCTCCAGCTCGGCTCTGAGCTGTAGCCAGGTCTCTCTTTTGGGGGCTCCTATCAAGCCTGTAGATGAAGGGAAAAAAGATGTAGTCGTCATATTAGAGATAACTGGGGAACAGAGTTAGGGAAGAGGAGTCTAGCTGCTATACTCTGAGGGTTCAAATCAGATGACACCCAAAGCCAGTCCAGTGTCTTCTTTTAACCTTATCCTGAAATCAGCTGATTGATTAATCAATCCATCTACTGATTGATCCGCCCACCCATCCACCTACCAAGCCATCCACCCACCCGCCCACCCATCTGCCCACACTTGGATCTGCCCATCCAACACAGAATTCCAGAGTACCTTCTAAGCTTGATACTGTATTAGGCACTAAGTACATAGGTATGAACAAAAACACACATATTATAGAACTTATACTCAAAAAATAATAATGGCCAACATGTATTGAGTGGTTACCGTATACGTGCAAGGCCCTGTGCTTTTAACATGACTCACTTCATTCCATTCTCACAGTAGCCCTGGAAGCGGACACTGTTTTCTCTCTGTCGTTTGGGTGAAGGAGTGGGCCTTGTGATGCTGACTGACTTGCTCACCGCAGGGAGGAAATAATGGAGGCACTCGGGCCCAGGCAGCTGAGCGCCACAGCACCCCTGTGGCACATTTAGGGCGGCTCATGTGTGTCAGACGCTGTTCTAAGCACCTTCCCCATGAGAGTTCACGCTATCCCCGCAGGAATCCCATGAGTTGGGCAGCATCATTAGCCCCATTTCACACACGAGGAAACTGAGGCACAGAGAGGACAAATACCCGCTCAGTGGGCGAGGGAGGACTGAAATCAGGCAGGCGGCTCTGAATCCGACCACCGCCTCCCAGACGTTGACCCACTAGGTGTTTTCTCACTTCATCCTGGGTTTGCAGGTGTCTTTCCTCCGAGCACCTTCTGAAACACCCAGAATCGCGGGCGTCTGTGGGGACCCAGGCCAGAGGCTGCGGCTACGCACCTGGCTGGGTCTGTGGTGCAGACGCAGCTGGTGCAGGGAGGGGCTGGCGTCCTGCCAGCTGTGGGTCCTCACCTGTTGACACCTCAGGGAATTTCCCCCCAGCTTATGGGCAAGCAAAGCGGCCCTGCAAAGCCCTGGGCGTTTTCCTGGCTTTAACCTGGACGGGAGCAGACGGCCTCTGTTGGCCAGCTCTGTGCTGTCTCCCCTAACCAGGCACACCTGCCGCCCTCCTCCCTCCATGCGGGCGCGAGCACACAGGCAGGGCCGACCCTGGCCAGAGGCTGCTGCCGCACTCCTCAGTCAACAGACTCGCACCGAGAGGCCGCCGGCACGAGCTGTTGCCGGACTGTACTCAGCGCCCGAGCTGCATTAGGACGACAGCCTTGGACGAGCCAGGAAATCTGTCCCCGAGAAACTGACGGTCTGGCCAGGGAAGGCAGAAGACACAGAGGGACCCAGACTCCCGAGCAGAACTGAAAGGAACTAGTGATCCATGCCATCATTTATCGAGTGCCTGCTGTATACCAGGCATGGAACTGTGCCTTTTGTATGCATTAACAATAAACCTCTCAGCAACCCAGGGAAACAGAATTAGTTTGATTCCCATTTCATAGACCTGGAAACTGAAGCCCAGAGTGGTGACCGGATTAATGTCACCTAAAGCTAGAAAGTGGCGGAGCTGGGACTGGAAGCAGGTTCTGTCCCGGTTGAGAGCTGGGACTCTGCTCTTCCTGGAAGCGGGGAGGGAGCCCGAGGAGCTTTTGTGGCCACGTGGATATTGCAGACACTCTTAGCTGCCTACTCCAACCCTTCCCTTATGGGCCAGCGGCTGGTTCCGGGCACCATGACAACGAGGAAGACTCCCAAATGGCCCTGGGCGGGAGCAGTATCACCCCCAGTGAAGAACTGTTCTCAGCTAACACTCTCCTGCCTGAGCCGGTTCTCCCTTGGCTGTACATTGGAGCCACCCGGCTCCCCGTGCCCCAGCCGCAGCCAGACCAAGAAAATCAGACACAGAGATTCCTCAGGAGGTTCCAATATGAGCTGAGTTTGAGAACCAGTGACTTCTGAAGCTTCCTCCACTTCAATGTCTCCCCAGCCACCTGAGGTTCTGGTTAAAAATGCAGATTCTGCGTCAGTCTCGGGGTTTGGCTGGCGATCTGCGTTTCTCCCCACTCCAGGGTGGCGCTCCTGCAGCTGGTCCACCCGAGGTCAGAGCGGTGCAGGCTGAAGGTTGCGCCCCCACCCCACGTCCCCCAGCGGGCACCGGACCTCGCAGGGGCCAGCCCCACCCAGAGCTTCACCTGTGCGAGGTCTGAGGTGCGGCCAGAGAACCTGCACTTCTGCCATGCCCCACGTGGCCTGCTGGTTTGGGGACCACGCTTTGCGAGCCTGTAGCTGTGGGTAAGAGAACGCAGCCCCATGCCCACCCTGGCGTGCGGCTCGTGTCATCACAGACACGGCGCATCTGTTTCTCAGCTCCATCGCCCGCAAAGGGAAGGTGACAAAATGCTAGTGTCCTATTCTGGAGGGCGTCATGAGGGTCTCGCCATGTGAGCCGGGACTGCACTTGGAAGCGTGTCAGACCAGCGCCCGGCCGAGGCCGGTACTCACCGCCCACGTTGTTCCTGTAGGTGTTGTACATCTCCTTCACGCGCCGGTAGCGGAAGGCCAGCTTCCGCATCCAGTCCACGCCGCCGTGCACGCCCGAGCCCAGGCACAGGCTGGCGCCCGGGGCCGAGCTGTGGAAGCCGTCCGCCGAGAAGTTATAGGTGCTGGGGAGAGGAGGAGACGGCGTTAATAACGCGGGAGGCCAGGGCTCTTCACTGGGACACGCAGGTCCCACGAGCGGGCCTTGGGGCACCTGTGAGCCACCCAAGCAGGCAGGAGGTGCCGCGCATGCACTTGGGCAGCAAGAGGACCACAGCTTTCATCAGCTTCCCAAAGAAGGGCCGCAATTCTTGCTCTTGCCTAGTTGGCATTTATTTTCCTGTCTTTCAATATGAAACAACATCTCTAGTTCTGCTGGGGAACGATGGCTGCCCCTGCGTGCAGTGGCCACGCTGGGGAAAGCCTCTCTTCCTCGCCCTTTGGAGCTTGAAGCTCAATGGGAATTCCACAAAAATGGCTGGAGTCGGTTCGTCCTGGCCAAAGAGTCAAGAAAATGTCAGTAAATTACTGCTACTTTTTTTTTTTCTTTGAGACAGATCTCTCTCTATCACCCCGGCTGGAGTGCAGTGGCATCATCATAGCTCACCTCAAGCTCCTTGACTCAAGTGATCCTCCTGCCTCAGTCTCCTGGGTAGCGGGGACAACAGGTGCGCACTACCATGCCCAGCTACTTTGTAACACTTTTTTTGTAGAGATAGGGACTCACTATGTTGCTTGGGTCTTGAACTCCTGGCCTCGAGGGATCCTCCCGCTTCAGCTTTCCAAAGTGCTGGGATCACAGGCATGAGCCACTGCAGCCAGCCAATTTCTGCTACTTTGATCCCCAAACTACCCTGGTTCGTGTCCCTCCTGAGGCCTGGCTGCTCACCCTCCCTCCCGTTCTGTGAACAATGCCTCAGCTTTCCACAGAAGTCCCCTCTTTCGATTTTTTAATTTGTTAAATTAGGCAGAGTCATTGTCTAATGGGTGTTTTGCAGCTATCAACCCTGACCCCAGAAGAAGCATGTTAGGCTAAGGAGTTCTACAGTGGACTGGGACATTTTAAAAATGACACAAAGTCAACCACAAAAAAAGGCATCTGGGATCCATAATAGTTTTCTCCTTTGCTCTTTATACCGAATTACTCAAAATTTTTAAAAGACCCTTAGAGAATGCAGTGTGAATAAGTTGTTTGCACAAAAACTTCCTTTTCCCCCATGAAAAGTGCCTCCAGGTTTATGACGCAATCTTGTTGCTCCTTCTTCCTTCGGCTGTGACAGGGGCTACAGACAAATGAAATCTGTGCAGCGGGTAGAAGGGAGCAGACAGCTCGAGGACGCACTCTGTGCTGGGCGCTCTTCCAGCACATTCTGAAGATGAGGACGGAGCTGAGACTCCATCCCCTCGCTGCTCCTAGCTCCAGAACCCACGCTTGTCACTGCCACGTGGGCCTTCCTGTCCGGTGTAAAAATTCCCATCGTGCTAGTTTTATTCTTGAAAAGGCGAAACTGCAAAACTGACTATAAACTTGGAGAATACTGTGGACAGATGTCCGGCTGGAGGTCCCTCGTGGAGGGCAGGGTGGGGCGTCTGGGGTGAACTGAGGGGCTGTTCAGAGCTCGGGCCCTGGAGCCAGGCTGCCTGGATTTGCATCCTGCCTTCCCCACTTACTAGCTGTGTGAGTTTGGGCAGGTTGCTTGAGCTCTCTGAGCCTGGCATTCCCCAACTGTAAAATGGGGACGATGGTGAGAACGTCTGTCTCAAAGGTGACTGTGAAGATGCCACGATTCAACCCAGGTAATGCACTCGGAGCAGAGCATGTCACAAAATAAGGGCTCTTTGAAGGTGGGTTCTTACCACTAACTGGGAAAAACCCCACAAAAACAAAAGTAGTGACATCTGATGCTTGGCGCCTGGCATATAGTAGAGGATCAATAAATATTTCTTGAACGAATAAGTGGGGAATTTGGTTTCTAGGGGAAAAACACCCTTGGACTGTGAGTTCTCCAGGTGAGGTACCAAACAGCTCAGCACGAGGCACAGTTCAGAGGAATATTGCTCTAAATTCCAAGCCAGCAAGCTACGGGGGAAACTTTATAAGAAGGGAACCGCGGTTGCTTGCTGCCCTGAAAGGAAGCGTGGTTCCCAACGATGACTTCATGGAAAGGACACAATTAACCTTGATCTGGGGTTTATTTACTCCATAAATTGAGAAGTCCTGGCGGGGCTGGAGCCTTGCTCCTCGCCAGTCCTGATTGCAGAAGGGATTTTCTGAATGGCTAATTAGAACGAGGCAGGCATCTGCCCGCTCTCACTGCTGATTGTGCTAGGCTTTGAAGTCTTGCGGGCTTGGTAACAGAGACTTTGATTTCTGTTTGTGTAGTAAGTTGGGAGACATGCTTTGGAAACAAGTCCTAAGTGAAGTTACAACGACTGTTCCCATAATCAAAACATTATTTGGTCTAATAATGTTTTTGATGTGCCTAGAGGCATTGAATTGTGATAATTTTGGATAAGCGCAGATGAACTATGGTTCCATTTTTATAAAGTTTCCCCAGGGCTAGGTTTGGAACATTCCAGCCACATTCCTCCGAAAGCTGTTTCATTATAAGCGGTTGGTTACCCGATTTCTGGAAACCATGTCCTAGAAGTGTTTTCCCCTAGAAACCAGACACACCACTTACTCATTCAAGAAAAGCTTTTTGGAGTATCAACTATATCAATGGTTATATTAAAACGTATGTACGCCAATGATTACAGTCACATGTTTGAAGAATGTATACCAAACTCTTAATGGTAGTCAATTTGGAACGTGAGGTCATGGTTAGTGTTTGAATTTTTGACAACATGCATGTATTACTTTGGTAAGCGGGAAGAAGAGATAGAAACATATGCAGAGTTCAGTGATTTGAGGTGATGTGGAAGAGGCTGGGGGGGGTGTCAAGCTGTGATTTTTGAGTTCAGAGAAGCACAACTCCCAGCTCTGGCTGGAGGTGAGAAATCCTGTCCCTATCAGCGCCTTTCCCTCCTGCCTGCTTCCTAGAAGGCAAGCTTGATGACCAATCAATCAATTGATCAAAGGGCATTTTTTCTCTTTTTTTCCTTAATATAAACTCACAGGAATAGAAAAGGAACATTTTTGAGTCCCCAAATTCCTACCTTAAATCTTGGCCATTGTCATCTGATGAAACGTCATCAACGTGGATCTGGTCACAATCCTAGGGAGAAATTGACAAGAAGAGAAAAAGAGAGAGAAATGTGCCCGGTTAATCTGATGTAGCCTGCAAGAGTTGGCTTCACAAGCTAGGGGCGGTAATGAGCACTGGACTGGGAGTCAGCAGTCCTGGGTTCTGGTCTGGGCTTTGCCACTAGAGGTGAGACGTTCTTGGGTTAAGTCTCATGCCCTTTTTCTCTTCGGTTTCTTTATAAATGAGCAGGTTGACTATAAGGAAAGTGACCATATAATTTATCATCCAAACCAAGATAGTTTTGAGAGCAAAAGGGCTGCTATTAATATTATATCGGGGGACAGGTGCAAACTAGGACTCCCCATCTCTCCAGCGCCCCAGGTACGCTCCATGGTCACCCTGGCCATGCGGTGGAAGCCTTTGCCTTGCTCAAGGTGTTTCCTCTGCTTCGAATGCTCTCCCTCCTTCATCTGCTGAACCCTGTATTCTTTAAGCATTAACTTCTGGAGGTACACCGTACACCCTCTGTGTCCCTTGATCTGTGATCATCACTTATTGAGCACTTACTACATACCGGGCACCCTCTCAAGGACTTGACATTCAACCAACAGGCGAGGAGATGTGGCATTTGGGGCGGCTCGGGCTGCCTTGTGGGGAGCCGGGCTAGAGCCTGGGAGGAGGGGTCAGTGGAGGAGTGGCGTGGACGCTGGTTCACATTTGACCCCTACAACGGGCTTTGGATTGGAAAGGGGTTTGCTGGCAGGCGGGGCTTCCAGAGTCCTCTGCGCACTGGCCCGGGCACAGCAGCTTTGCGGCAGGTGACTCAGAGTCCAGGAGCTGCCCTTCCCACGTCTGCATAGGACCTTGCACCCGTGACCCAGAGACGGAACCCCAGGCGTGGGCGGTGGTGTGCTATGCAGGGCCTGGAGGGCAAGAGCAGCAGGGAAGTCCCACCGAGTAGCTTCCTCGGGCTCAGCCGTGGGCAAATGGGAGTCGAGCAGATGGCAAAGGACATGGTGGACGCTAAAGGGTGACCCCAGCATGAAAAACTCTTTGGGGGAGTGGGAGAAAGACTGGGGCAGGGGGACACTGAATGACCACTCTTGAGCCAGCAGGTATCTGGCTGACGCCTAAACCTTTTCTGCTTATTTCACATTTCCTTCCTTTCCAGGGACCCAGGACTGTAATCAATGCTTGGTGGTTTCAGGTATAATCTGTCCCCCATCCCCAAGAAGAAGTGTCCTTTTCCTGCAGTGGCCGGGCACAATGTCAGGACTCCCACCTTTAAAGACTCTAGAGCCATGCCCATGCTGTCCAACACAGCCGAAATTAGTCACACGTGGGTATTTATACTTATATTTAAACTAACTAAATATAAACTTAAAAATTCACTTCCTTAGTCCTATTTCAAGTGATCAATAGCCAGCTATGACACTGGACAGTGCCGATGTTTCCATCGTCACAGAAAATTCTACTGGACCCTCCTGCTCTAGAGGGATCAAGGAACTAGACTGGTGGCTTCCCTCCTGTGCAGATAAGTTCAAGCAGGGAAGAGCTGAAAACTGGCCTGCAGACTTATCTCCTTAGCCCACCCTGTGCTTAAGATTTTTTTGGAAACAATAGCCAAAATGTAAACTCAGTGGGTCTCTCTCCACCCCCACCCTGCCCCTCTCCCCCTCTCTCTCCTTGCTCTTGCTCTCTCTCCAGATTTGTAGCAGCTCTTGGGAATTCGTGCACTCTGGTGGCACAGAGCTTGCGCTGTCATATCCTGACAACCGCTGGGAGCTGAGCCGCAGCTGCTTCCTCCCGCCTGGGCATCCCTCCGTAGCTCCCACGGTCTCTACTGTGTTGACTTCACTTTCCATCACCCTGAGTTTGAGACCCCTGACCCACTGCCATCTTACATAAAAGGGAGGGTCCTAGGACCACCAATCCTGGCATGCTAATGAAAATGCTATTTAAAAGACAACGCTGACTTTACAGAGCCAGGCGCAGAGGAAATAAAATTAACAGAAAATCCCCATGCCCCCCCCCCCCCTGCCAAGTGCACTGCTTTGCCTGAAATTGGAAAAACACCTCTGTAGGCCCCCAGGCCTTCCCTCAAGCTCCAAAGCCACCCCAGGGTCACACGGGCTCAGGCCCCTGGGCAGGGTTCCATGTGCTTTCCTTGATGTCAGGGGAAAGGCATTTGGGGAGGCTCTGGCTTTCTCATTTGCAAGGGGATTGTTGGGGGCGCTAAAGCGTGACAACAGTAGCGATCACATTTCGGACTTAATAAAATACCATGACGCTCAGCTAGACGCTACCTCATATCCGCCAGCTGACCTGGATTGAGTTACCCCTGAGCTGGCAGCGAGGGGCGCTGGACAACGCAGGGGACATTGGGCTCCTGGGGAAGAGACTCCCACGCCCCCCAACTCTGCTGCCCGCTCCCAGGTACGGGGCGGCCTCTGGGTCAGACCAGAGACTTGTGCACTTCTGGTCTCTCCTGGGTCAAAGTGTGACCGTCCTGGGGGCCCTGAGTGGGACCAGCTGGCAGAGACAGAGGAACGGTTCCCACGGCCTTGACTCCCCACAGGGGAGGCGAAGGGGGGTTGAGGACCAGGACTTGGTGCATCCTGCCTCGAAGGATGTCACTTTCTCACCCAGAGAGACACCTGCAAAGAGCCTTATGCCAGGATGTCCGTCATCCCAGGGAGAAACTGGAAAACACCTAAAGTTCCCTTGATTAGGTCGTGGCTAAATAAAATGTGGTATATCTATTCGGCCGAATCCTACCCAGCTGTTCAGAAGAATAAGGCAGATTTTTATATTAGCACATGGAAATGTTTCCAAGACTGCCTATGGTGTGAAAAAAGCAGGCTAAAGGATGATGAATCCAGTATGGTATCATGTAAAACCCCATTAAAATATGAGATATTTTATATGGATATGTATGTACAATACATAACTAGAAAAAGAAAGATCTAGAAGCCTACACATCTGGCTGGTAGCAGCAGTTCCACTTGGGAAGGTGTTGGGATTGGGCTGGTGGTCAAAGAAGGCTATAAGCCTTATTGAATACTTTCATTTTTCTTTTAAATGAGGATAACGTGCATATGCATTACTTTTGAAAAAATAATTGAAAATATCTCACTGGGGAGGAGATGAGATCTAACTTTGGATAAAAGCTAACACTTACTAAGAGCTTCCAATGTGCCAGAGACTGTGCTCAGCACTTCGCATGTATCTAGGGGGAAACTATTGTCATCCCTTCTTATGGAGGAGAAGATGAGGCAGGAGAAGTGCAGGAACATGACTGCTGCGGGTTGAATTTTGTCCCCCAAAAGATGTTGAAGTCCTAGCCCCTAGTACCTGTGAATGTGACCTTCTTTGGAAATAGGGTCTTTGCAAACAATCATGTTAAGATGAAGTCACTAGGGTGAGCCTTAATCCAATATGACTGCTGTCCTTATAAAAAGGGGAAATCTGGACATAGACAGAGACCCACAGAAGAACCACCACCATGTGACAATGAGGATAGAGATGGGCTGACACATCTCCAAGCCAGAGAACATAGGAGACAACCAGGAGCTAAGAGGGAGGCAAGGGGCTAAGAAGAGGCAATTCTCCCTCACAGGCTTTGGAAGGAAGCAACCTTGACCTTGGACTTCTAGACTGGAGTACCCCGAGACAGTAAGCTTCTGTTGTCTAAGCTCCCCAGGCTGTGGTGCTTTGCTAGGGCAGCTCTAGCCAGCTGACACAGTGCCCAGGTGAGGGGGAGAGGGGCTGCAGCTGGGCCCACGGAGATCCGCCTCCTCGAAGGCTACAGAAACACGGGCTATTGGCCCGATGCTGCGTCAGACAATGAATGAGGCGACAGAGGGGAGGTTTCTAGGACTGGATCTGGCTCCTGTCCCCGAGGTGCCTACCATGCCACTGGAAAAGATGAGGCAAATAAGCATGAACCCCTGAACTGCTGATTCAATACGTGTACATAACGACCACCTGCAGTGCGCCAGTGCTGGGCTGGGCACTGCGTGTGTCTTGTCATCTCTGACTTCCCTCTTTGTCTCACATCCTAACACTGACCCATCAGCAAGTCCTGCTGGCTCTGCCTGTGGCATACACCCACCCTGACCATTCTCACCTCCCACTGCTCCCACCGTGGTCCAAGCCACCATCATCCCCCACCCAGGCCAGAGGCTGGTAAACTACAACCCACAGGCCAAATCTGGTTTGTTGCCTGTTTGCATAAATAAAGTTTTATTGGAACACAGCCATGTTCATCCATTTACATTCTGTCTGTGGCTGCTTTTGTGCCTCTCTGCAGGAGAACTGAGTAACTGACACAGAGATAGCAAGGCCCGCAAAGCTGAAAATGTTTACTATCTGGCCTTCTCCAGAAAAAGTTTGCGGACCCCTGGCCTAGGCTATTGCCATCACCTCCCCGCTCTCCCTGCGCCCAGGCTAGTCTCCGGCCAGCAGCCAGAGGGATCCTTCCCCCTCTCCAATCCCCACAACAGCTCCCACCTCCCTCCAAGTAAGAGCAGAGTCGACACAGTGACCCCTGGTCCTGTGTGGTCTGCACACCCTCATGCTCCTCACTTCCTTCACCTCATCTCCTACCCTCTCCTCACTGCACTGTGGACACAGCCCTTTCCCGCTATTCCTCCAACAACTGGCACACCCTGCCCCAGGGCCTTTGCCTGGGCTGTTCCTTCTGCTTTGAATGCCTTTCCCTCCCCCTTTCCACCTGTCCACAGCTTGCAAAATGCTTTGCTGACATCACCGTATTTGTAAAAATTCCCCCAGCTCCATCCCAGATCAGGCTGAATGACTCCTGTCTCTGTTTCCCCACTTTGTGGAGCCTCTAGGACTAACCTAGGCCTGATATAATGGCCATTTTCTTCTTTCATCACTAAATCGGAAGACTCTAAAGGTAGCTGATACGGTTTGGATGTCTGGTCCCTCCCAATCCCACACTGAAATTGGATCCCCGTGTTGAAGGTGGGGCCTGGGGGGCAGTGTTTGGGTCACTGGGGCAGATCCCTCATGAATGGCTTGGACCCCCAGACGGTGGGTGAGTTCTCGCTTTATTAGTTCACGTGAGAGCTGCCTGTCTAAAGGAGCCCAGCACCACCTCCACTCTCTCTTTTGCTCTTTCTCTCGCCATGTGAGCCGCCTGCTCCCCTCGCCCTCTGCTTTGATCGGAGCTCCTGAGGCCCTCACCAGCAGCAGCTGCCGGCGCCATGTTTCTTGCACAGCCTGCAAAACTGTGAGCCAAATAGGCCTCTTTTCTTTCTTTCTTTTTCTTTTTCTTTTTTTGAGACAGTCTCACTTTGTTGCCCAGGCTAGAGTGAGTGCCGTGGCATCAGCCTAGCTCACAGCAACCTCAATTTCCTGGGCTCAAGCAATCCTCCTGCCTCAGCCTCCCAAGTAGCTGGGACTGCAGGCATGTGCCACTATGCCCAGCTAAATTTTTGTTTATTTATTTTTAGTTGGCCAATTAATTTCTTTCTACTTTTTTAGTAGAGATGGGGTCTCGCTCAGGCTGGTTTCGAACTCCTGACCTTGAGCGATCCGCCCGCCTCAGCCTCCCAGAGTGCTAGGATTACAGGCGTGAGCCACCACGCCCGGCCAAGACCTCTTTTCTTTATAAATTACCCAGCCTCAGGTATTTCCTTTATAGCAACACAGAAGTGGACTGACACAGTAGCACCTACTTCTTTTTTTTTAATTGATTTTTGCTGGAGGGGAGGGAAGTTAAAAGCACACACTCTGGGGTCTGGGTTCAAATTCTGGCCCTGCTGCTTCCTAACCCAATGGCTTGGACAAGGCATTGAACCTCACTGAGCCTTGGCTCCCCGCTCTGTGTGTGGTTCAGTACCCACCTTGTGGGTTACTGGAAGGATTAAGTGGTCAATACAGAGGAAGCCCTTTGAAAAGTGCCTTGCTGTAGAAAATGCCCACACAGCACATGCTTGCCATCCTTGCTGCTACTAGTACCAACTTGAGTTCTATAGGTTCAAACTCCAGGCCCGGCACAGTAACAGTTCAACTGGATTGAGCCACCACTGAGAGAGGGCAGGGAAGAAGAGAACAAGGCAGGGGCATTTAGGTTCACACATCCTAGATGACGTTGGAGCTGGCATTCCAATGCCCGTCCTTGGCCTCTGATCCCAGCCCTGCATTTCCAGGTGTGTGATCTTGGGCGAGTCACTTAACACCTTTGAGTCTTCAGTTGTTTTTTTTTTTTTTTTTTTTTTTTTTTTTTTTTTTTTTTTTTTTTTTTTTTTTTTTTTTTTTTTTTTTTTTTTTTTGAGACAGAGTCTCGCTTTGTTGTCCAGGCTAGAGTGAGTGCTGTGGCGTCAGCCTAGCTCACAGCAACCTCACACTCCTGGGCTCCAGCGATCCTTCTGCCTCAGCCTCCCGAGTAGCTGGGACTACAGGCATGCGCCACCATGCCCGGCCAATTTTTTTTTATATACATATCAGTTGGCCAATTAATTTCTTTCTATTTATAGTAGAGACGGGGTCTCGCTCTTGCTCAGGCTGGTTTTGAACTCCTGACCTTGAGCAATCCGCCCACCTCGGCCTCCCAGAGAGCTAGGATTACAGGCGTGAGCCACCGCGCCCGGCCCAGTTGTTTTTTTTTAATAACCTTTTTATTTTAGAATAGTTTTAGATTTATAGAAAAGTTCCAAAGACAGTACCCTCTGTATCCCAAAGACCCACATAACCTACACCCAGTTTCTCCTTTTGTTTACATTTTACATTGGTATGCTACATTTGCTTCACAACTAATAAACAAATACTGCTATGTTCTTATTAACTAATGTCAATTCCTTATACCGATTTCCTTAGTTTTCCCACTGATGTCCCTCTACTGTTCCAGGATTCTTCCAGGGTGCCGTATCACATTTAGTCATGTGTCTTCTTAGGCTCCTCTGGGTGGTGACAGTTTCTCAGACATAACTTGCCTGCTTTGGGTGACAGGCTAAAGAGTGCTGGTCAGGTACCTTGTACAATGTTTGCCAACTGAAATTTGTCTAATAGTCTCGTGGTTAGCCTGGGTTTGTGGGTTTTTGTGAGGAAGATCACAGATATAAAGTGCCCTTCTCATCACATGCCAGCAAGGGTATACACACTGTCGACTTGACTTATCACTATTGGTGTTGAACTTGATCACCTGGCTCAGGTAGTGTTCGCAGGGTCTCTCCACTGTGAAGTTACTCTTTCCCCCCTTTCCATATTGTGCTCTCTGGAAGGAGGTCACTGTGCATGGCTCACACTAAGGGTGTAGTATCTACATAAATTATTAGGAATTTTTCTGCTGGGAATTTGTCTATTCTCCCTTATGTATTTATGCAATCATTTATTTACATCACTATGAACTCATGGATACTTGCTTTATACTCTGGGTTGGAGTCCAGTACTATGTTATTTCATTGCGCTGGCTTCTATTTTATTTTGTTGTGCTTTTTATTTTAGTGTTCCAGCTTTGGCCATTGGGAACTCTTTCCGTTGGGCCCTGTGTCCCTTAGACACAACACATCACTGTGGGGTTTTTCCAGCACTTCCTTATTTTCTTGGCACTACAAGTTGCTCCAGGCTTAGCTTGTACATTCTCTGCCCCAGCCCTACAACCAGCCATTTCTCCAAGGAGCTCGGGTTTTAATTGGAGAATGGTATTAGAAACCATTCTAATATGTGGGTGCTGGGTGTGCTCGTTGGTACATGGGTGTCATTGCTTCTGGGCCCTCCCCTGTGATGGAACAAGGTCTTCAGTTTTTAAAAAAATTATGAAACATGGAGGTATGTTACAACTTGCAGGTATGTTACAAGGCAAGTGGCAGGCACTCAATAAATAGTACCGATTATAGTCCAGACCCCTCCTTTCACCTCCTTCAGTTTCTGCATGGAAACTGAAGCTCAGACAGGATTTGCAGGAAACTTCTGTGAAGAGTCACAGGGTACAGATGAAGGTATCTTCTGGGATTGCAGGGGCATTCTGTCTTTCCTTGGTGATGACAGCAATTTGTCTATTTGTCATATGCTCAAGGTCCAGGTTTATTTTCAGGGTGATGTTTCATAAAATGTGTGGGAGAGGATCCCATCTTTTTCTTTCCTCTGTAGTTTGTGTAGGATGGGATTTATCCTTTCCTTAAAGACTTGTTGGAACTCTTGTTTAAAACCAGCAGGACCTGGTACCTTTTTTGGGAGTATACATCTTTGACAATTTCCCATTGGTTAACTTTTATTTTTTTTTTCCCCCTTGGGCTAATTCTGGTAATTTGCATCTTCCTGAGAAGTGTCAACTTCACCTAGGTTTTCAAATTCATTGGTGCAAGCGTGTACTGGTATTCTCATAATAAAAATAAATGACCTCCCCTGAATCCTTAGTAATGTCCCTTTCATTCTGGATGTTGCTTATTGATCTCTCTCTCTTTTCTCCCCGTTTGATCAAGCTTGACAAAGGCTTATCTGCTGTAATGGGCATTTCAATTGTTCTTTAAATTTTCTAATAAGTGTCATTTAAAGCTGTAAATGTCTCTCTTGATCCCCTTTCTCCTGCACCCCACAGGTTTGATACTTAGTATTTTTGTCGGTGCACACTGCCAAGCCATTAGCTCAGTGACTAATACTCATCAAAACCTGTTCTGGTTAAGCTGGGGACAGCTGGGGTCTCCCAAACTCCCCTGCTGTGGTTTGATCCCGTTACATTTTGTCCTTGGCTGCCTCGAGAGGAGACTGGAATGCAGGAAGGAAACAGTTAACAGATTTGCTTTAGAAAAATGGCTTTTGTCAGGGCCAGATGAACTCCCTGGCCACTCCTGCTCTGTGGCAGGGATATTTTTTAAGTGGGATTGCTCAACGCTGCCTCCAGACCAGCCAGAGAGGAGTCTGCCGCCTGGGCAGGAAACCTTGGCCTTCTCCCCTGCGCTAAGTGTTTCATTTATCTCAAGAGCACTAAAGAGGCTGTGGCTCGAGTTGTATTAATGGCCGGCTGGGCAGGACGCTTTGGAGAGCAGTTCGGCACTAACACAGTGAAATATCATTCTCCCCGATAGCTTCCAAAGGACCGTAAATCAGACGTTTAGCAGCCAGGTCCACGTGTCAGGCAGGCAGCCATGGCCTGCCCTAATTTCAGCAACTGCTCAGTCGCTCTGGCATGCTCTTTCCCAAAGCTCCGGCAGCATCTAGAACACTTCCCCACCAGCCCACCTGACTGCCTGGCCCTCCTGAATCCGGCTAAGACAGTTTCTGTTGAAGACCTTCAGGGTCATTTCGTTTCTCATGAAGAGACTCTTTTCCCTTCCATCCACTCTGCTGGTCTCTGTTTCTCCTCCGCTTTGTAGTTCATCTCAAAACGCTTCCTCCATGAAGGATAAGCCTCGAAGTCAGCTGGGTCTGGGATCAAATATCCACACTCCTCTTACTAGCTGTGGGACCCTGGCAAAGCGACCTCTTTGGGCTGCGGTTTCTTCATCTGTAAAATGGAGATTAAAAAACCCAATCTAGGCCGGGCGCGGTGGCTCACTCCTGTAATCCTAGCTATTGGGAGGCCGAGGCGGGCGGATTGCTCAAGGTCAGGAGTTCAAAACCAGCCTGAGCAAGAGCGAGACCCCGTCTCTACTATAAATAGAAAGAAATTAACTGGCCAACTGATATATATAGAAAAAATTAGCCGGGCATGGTGGCGCATGCCTGTAGTCCCAGCTACTCAGGAGGCTGAGGCAGAAGGATCGCTTGAGCCCAGGAGTTTGAGGTTGCTGTGAGCTAGGCTGACGCCACGGCACTCACTCTAGCCTGGACAACAAACCGAGACTCTGTCTCAAAAAAAAAAAAAACAAAAAAAACCCAATCTCCTTTGCAGGGTTTTTTGTGAGGATGCAGCGAAGTAATTCATGTGTGATGCCTGATACAAAATAAGAGCTCAATGTCTGTCAGCTGCCAGGCAAGTGAACTTTGCTGTGCCTCAGTTTCCCCATATGTAAAACGGGCGGGTGTTATGGACTGAATGTTTGTGTCCCCTCAACATGCACGTGTTGAAGCCCTAACCCCCAGTGTGCAGTGTGGCTGTATTTGGAGATGGGGACTCTGACAAAGTAATTAAGGTTAGAGGAGGTCATAAGGGTGGGGCCCTGATCCAGCAGGATTAGCGTCCTTAGAGGAAGAGACGCCAGAGGGCTGTATCTCTCTCCCTCTTCCCCCTCTTCCCCCGCTCCCCTGCGTGCACGCACCGAGGAGAGTCCAGATGAAGACATGGCAAGAAGGTGGCCATCTACAGGCCAAGAAGAGGGTCCTTACCAGAAACCGACTTTGCTAGCACCTTAATCATGGACGTCCAGCCCTCAGAACTGTGAGAAAGTACATTTCCGTTGATTACGTAAATTTCCGTTGTGGCTATTTACATCAAAATTAGTTAACATTGAATATAACAAAAATTCATTGCCTCAGTTGCACCAGCCATATTTCAAATGCTCATTAATGACACATGGCTGGGGGGGTATGATATTGGACAGTGCAGGACAGAACATTTATATCACTGTAGAAAGTTCTACTGGACAGCATTGCTCTAGAACATTGGCTTTCAAATGATTTAGACTGTGACCTTTGGTAAGAAGTACCCTTTGTATTACACAGAGATTTATGTGACTGAAACAAAATTTATGTCACTGAAACAAAATTTTAAACAATATTCACCACTGCAATTTGTGCCATACCCTATGATAGTCTATTTTATTCCTTATTTTTGTGTTATTTAAGAAATTATTCTGGTCTTGACCCTTTAAATGGTCGAAGTTTGCTGTTTGAAAAACGCTAGAGTTCCCCACAGAGTAGGAAAGAGGTTAAGGGAAAGATAGAATGACTAGTTATGGAGGCCTGGACTAGACATTTTATAATAAATACCTTCTCTCATTTAGATCACACGACTACCTTGTGAACTAGCGATGCCCCCGCTGTGCAGAAGAAGATGTGGACGCTCGGCCACGTTAAGTTCCTTCTTGAAAGTCTTAGAGCTAAGAAGCACTGGGTCAGTATTTGAATTTGGGTCCCTCTGACCCCAAATATTAACAGCACCCGCCTCTTTCCGCGGTGCGAGGCATCGCAGTGGATGGGCACCGGCCAGGGCAGGGGTTCCCAGGCTTGCGGTCCACCGTGTCGCAGCTTCGTGGATTTGGCTGTGCAGGAGACCCGCCTCTCCTTTGCTTCTCGTTAATCTTTATATGGACTTTCCCTTACCAACATTCAAATCCTTAGCTTCATCTTGAGCATTATTACCTACGGAACCACTGATTTGACGTGCCAGTCGTTCCCTCCCCCAGTGAAATACGATACACAAAATGGCATCACGCTGGCTCAGAGCTCTGAAACAGTCAGAAAGCCGTTCTGATAAGGGCCACCTGCAGCGCCTACTACCTTGCCGAAAAAAATCCTCGAAAACTTGTCTTCTATCTTTGAACTGGGCTAACCCGCCATGACCACCCATCCCAAATCCAGCCAAATTTCGCCAGGGCTACAATTCCTCAACAGCAACAACCAACGAACTATGAGCCATATACTCAGCCAGCCACCCCCACCAAGGACAGCTCTTTCAGAGCAGCTTGTGTAATCACCCTCAGCTTCCTTTCAAAAACCTCTCCCTCCCTTCAGAACACAGTTTGCCTTCTAGCCAAATCTGTCTCCAGAGTTACGATTCCTAAGACCCCGGCACATGCCTGTCTTCCTGCTTTGCAGTCTGGTCTTCTGCCTCTTGTTGGTTGACACCCCCCAAAACACTGGGGGCTCAGTGTGATGTTTCTCAGTGGACGCCTTTGGCATTTGGGGTGGGACAGTTCCACCGTGTACAAGACTGTCCAGCTTATTGGGTGGCTTGGCATCCGTGGCCCTGCCTGCTAACAGCAAATAATTCTTCCCCTTCATGTGACAACCAACCACCACCACCCCTAATTTCTAAATGTGCCCCCTAGCCCCCACCCTAGGGGGTAGTGTCGCCCTCAGTTGAGAATCTCTGGTCTAGTGAAATGCGCCGACCATAGGGAAGATGCAAACATCTAGAACACCTGCTGTTGGACAAGGAATGGCCATGCAGACGGCCCTGTTAAGAGCAGGGCTGCGGATTCACAGCAGAGTGGTGGGAGGCGTGTGCAGAGTGAAGGGACAACCCCGGGCAAGATACCTAGACACAATGGACTAAGATACCTAGCAAATAGAGAGAATGGTCAGAGTCCAGGCACCAGGCCAAGGCTGGAGAAACAGAGACCAGGATTTGAGGAGGAGAAAATGCACTAAACAGAAATTAAGGTCTGTAAAATAGATGAGAATTAAGTGCTGTGGCCAATTGCTAGTTTCCTGCCAGTGTCTGTTCTCTCAGCTCCCAACAGTCATAGAATTTTGAGTGAGCCACATGGCTCTCCAGAATGAAGACTACAATTCCCAGCCTCCCCTGCCAGGGGTGTGGCCATGGGATTCTTTTCTGGCCAATGGGATGTAAGTGTGAATATCACATGTATTACATGAGTATTCTGGCAGCTTCTGGGGACATTCTGTGAGAGCTGACCGGGGTGCTTGTCTGAAAGGGAAAAGGCAATTCCTCTTTGTCCCTTCGTCCATCCTGATCCCTGGAACTTAAATGTCACCACTGTGGATCTTGAGGGCAAGACCGATGAAGATTGGTGGAGTTGGAAGGTGGCAGGAACCCGGGAATCTTGAGTTCTTCATCTAGACGAGCTCCCTTGATTGCTCCCCTCTGGAGTTTTACACACCAGAGAAATACATCCCATTCTGTGTGGCCCACTGTTAATCTGCTTTATTTCTAATAAAGTCAAAGTTAGGAATGTAAACAAAATCAGTTTCCTCAATGAAGGTTAGAAATTCCAGCAGGCAGCTATTACCATGGACAGGGTGAGATCACCAACAGTCAAGACTCGAGGATGACTTACTGAGCACCTACTGTGTGCCGAAGACATAGCAGAGAACACAGCAGACGTGTTCTCTGCCCTCATGGAATACACAGCCAGCAGGAAGACAGACTTCACGTAGATTATTTCAAATAATTAACGAAATGGTTACAAGTGTGCAAAATGCACCACATAGGTATGAGGTGTCCTCAGAGCATACAATGGAGGAATCTGACCTTTTGGGGGGACCAGGAAGTGGAAATTGGCTAGGGAAGTGTGTTCCAGGCAGAGGGCGGAACAGGGTAGGATCCCAAGGTGAAAGGGAGCCTGATGTGTTCAAAGCATCACTCTCAGTGGACTTGGAGTGGAGTGAATGAGGGAAAGAGTGGTAGGAAGAGTCTGGAGAAGTAAGTGGGGCCAACCCCCGAAAGTTTTGTTTTTATTTATTTTTTGATTGGCCATGTCTTTTTTTAAGAGCTCGGAGAAACCACTGAAGAGCTTTAAGCAGGGAATGGTATGTTCAGATTTTCCCTTTATCATCCTGGCTACTGTGATTAGAACTGAGCAGGGGTATTAGGCTGAGACTGCAAGCTGACCCCTAATATCCACCCCCCCACCCTTTTCTATAGTATCGGAGTTTCTACCAGCACCTGACTGCCCAGAAAACGACTATGCCTCCCAGGCTCCCATGCAGGAAGGTGCGGCCAAGTGACCAAGTTCTGACCAATGGAGTGTGAGCAGACGTGGTCAGTGCAACCGCTGGGTGGTGCCCCTCTCTGCCTCTGTCCCCCTCTTCCATCTGCTGCTACCCACGACGGATCTGTTCTGAGATGTGGATCTGGACTTGTCCCCTACGACTCCCACTTCTCGAGGTGTGTCTAAGGCTTGATGGAGAAGACCTTTCGCTGTCCTGGGTCTGCAGGGGCGTAGGACGGACTACCGTCAATCTCGCAGTCTGGTTACAAAGGGCAGGCGTGTCCTGCTGCCGTATGGAGCGCTTACTACATGCCAAGCGCTCTCTCTGCATGCTCCAGAGCGGGTAATTCTCTCCCAGCCGCGGTGCCAGTTAAGGGCTTCATAACTGGGTCTCTGATATTCACAGCAACCTACAAGGTAGACTTTAACCTCCTTTTTACAGAAGAGGAAACAGAGCCCCAGTAAGTTCACCTAACTTTGTCTGAGATCATCGGGAAGTAGGCAGGAAAACCGGTTTAACTCCAAATCTGCCCGACTGCATAGCCTGTGTCTCAGCAACTGCCTTATTCTTTGGTGTTTTCTCTGCTTTGCACATCAAGATTCTTCTGCCAACCCCGAGTTTCCAGTGTCTGCATTCATTCTGGGAAAGACTGAGGGAGGGGATGTCTTTACTCTCGATGGAAGTACCTGTGCCCACCTAGCCTTTGGAAAGGCAGGGACTGGCTTCGGCATCAATGCCAGGGCCTGTTCAGATGTCAGTAGCATCTGTGGGTGCTAATGTCCCCAGCAGCGATGTACTGGGGGTGTTGGGGTGACGATCAGAACTCTGTTTCTTCCTGCTACTGGCAACACCACCGAGGCAGCCAAGGGGCAGCCTGTGCTCCCTGCCCCCCCTCACCACACCCGGAGGGCACCTGGCCCTGGTCAGAGAGCTCTGAGTGCTCCTGTTCACTCCAAAATTGCTTTTCACAAAGGAACTGGGTTCTAATTCAGCTCCAAGTGTAACTTCTTTTGCCTTCTCTTGGTTTTGGTGGGGTGTGGAAAAGGAGACTTCTGAAACTACAAGGCTTAATATTGGGGCAAATTCTATCCTTAGAGCGACGGGATCCTCTGGGGAAGGATTGAGCCTGGCTGGCCCCTCTCCCGAGACACACACACGCATGCAGGTACACGTGTGCTGCACTCAATGTCAGGGGTTCCTGGCCCCTGATGGGTGGGTGTGACCTGGGCAGTCACTCCCCAGCTATAACTTCTGCAGCATAATCGTCTCCAAATTGCTTGAGTACCTGAGTACCTAGCACCTTCTGATACCCATTTCCATCTCAGAAGGTGAGACAAGGCAATGAAAACGGATGTAGCGGCAGGAGTATTAATGACTCAGGCTTCCCCAAACGTACCCATCAATTTCTTGCCTCTTACCCATCAATTTCTGCCTTTGCACATACTGTTCCCTGACCTGCAAATACTCTTCCTGCCAGCTAGCTCTAACCTTTTCCTGATAATGGCCACGTGACAGCCTCCTCCCTCAGCCTCCTGGTGGCCCTCAGAGCACTTTATCCGACAAAATATTACTTAATCTGTTGTTTATGGTGGCAGCCCCAGCTGGGAGGTCAAGAGGTCAAGCCGAGAGGGCATGAGTCTCGCTGGGTTTCGTTTGCTGCTGAACCCGTAGCGCTGCGACCAGGGCCTGGCAAATGGGACGTTCTCCGTAAAAAGCTGCCGGATGCAGAGGACGCCCTTACTTACGGACGGCCACTATGCGCTCAGAGCAGAAAGGGATCTGACTTTATTCCTTGGGGCTGTCACTCTCGCAGGAGCCGGGCTGTGAGCTGGCCTCCTGCGGCCGCTGGCCTCTCCCTGGGTCCACGCTGCCTCCTTGGGAAGCTGCAGAGACTTGAGAGTGTGACAGGGACTGTTCTGCGTCAACAAACAAGGTGTTTTCACTTGTGTGGGTTTTAACTTCTCCGTTGTGTGACACGGTTTCAGTTCTGCTCAGGTGCCCTGGGGCTCCTGGCACGGGGGACATTTTTGAAACAAATTTAATTCCTCAAGTTTCTACTTACAACTGCTTTTTGAAATGGATGTTGGGCAGTGAATATCAATCCCATTATACACATGGGAGGACTGAGGCCCCAGTGGCTAAACCCTTATTGCTCTTTCTTTCTCTCTCTCTCTCTCTCTTTTTTTTTTTATCCCAGAGACAAGGTCTCGCTTTGTCACCCAGACTGAAGCTCAGTGGCGTGATCATAGCTCACTAGCCTCCAACTCCTAGGCTCAAGGGATTCTCTTGGCTCAGTCTCTGAGTTGCTGGGACTACAGGTACACCACCATGCTCAGCTAATTTTTAAATTTTTTGTAGAGATGGGGTCTCACTATGTTGCCCAGGCTGGTCTTGAACACCTGTGCTCAAGCAATCCTCTTTCCTCAGCCTTCCGAAGTGCTAGGATTACAGCCACTATGCCTGGCCCACTCTTATTTTTTAATCTGTTGAACCAATAAGATGAACATAATTTACAAATCCAGAAGATCCCCACACTAATCCTTTTATCAGCCAAAAACCTTTCTTCACCCTAGAGAAGGCTGCTTACTCTTTCATTAGCGGGAAGTAACTCATTATAATTCTCTTCTTCCTTTGGCTACCAGGAAGCTCATAGATTCACTCTGAACTTGACTGCAGTAGTTAGCCTGTATGAGCCTGGATTGTTTGGGTACAACTCCTTACCCTTATTCATTACATAGCTTTTAATCCTTTTGCTTTAATAGTTCTATTTTAAGTATGTTTTCCATTTGAAATCTTTCCCAAATCTTTCTGACATAGTCTGGGTATAAACAAATGAATTCAATTTATGTTCAAAGCTTCTTTTCTGCCTTTTTTTCCTACCTCCCTTGCATCTTGCTTAGGGGCTCAGGAGCAGATACTTTAAATAAGCATATTCCCTCTGCTCGCTCTCACGCTCTCTCTTTGTAAAACATGCTTTCAGGGGAATGTCAATTGTTTTTAAAAGCTTCCATTCTGGCCCACTGCTAATTATTACTGACCCAGGAGGATCTGCACTAATTTGCCTTAATAAACTTATTAAATAGCAAATTTCAGGAGGAAGAAACTACATAGCCTTTATTGGATTAGTAAAACTGCCAGTGGACATCACCGCTAGAACAGAGAGAAAAACCCATTAACCACACAGGAAAGCCAGGGAGATAATCTGGCTAAGTGTGTTTCTAATAAACGGTTGCTGGCCACAGTTTTGTGCCTTCTTGGGGAATGCAAGCAAAAGTTTCAAGCCTCTGAAAGAAAAAGAGGAAAAAAAAAAAAGAAAGGAAGGAAGGAAGAAAGCATCTTTCCTCCCAAACTAGATGCAGGTGATTAAACACAGCAAATGTTAAATGAAAGCGGCAGCCACAAACCTCCAGGTCATTGAAGAACAGATGTGTGTCTGCAAGGTTGAAGATCATCTCTTCCATCATCAGGCCGATGCGCACGGACGTCGTGGTGTCCTGTTAGAGAAGGAGAAAATCACACGAGTGGAGCCTGAGTCATCTCAGCCTCCCTCCACATCCCATCCCACTGCTGAAAGGCAGTTTTGGTCTGTCCCCATCTGCACGGCTCGTGCATGGCCTAAAACGTGTCTCCGTGTGGGGTCAGGGTGATCATGTTGCAGATTCTGACATCTCACTTCCAGTTTTTCACCATTTCTATTTACCCTCTCCAGTATGTATTTATTTATGAGACAGAGTCTCACTCTGTCACCCTGGGTAAGTAACAGAGTGCCACCTATGGCATCATCATAGCTCACTACAACCTCAAACTCATGGTCTCAAGCGATCCTTCTGTCTCAGCCTCCAGAGTAGCTGGGGCTACAGGTGCATGCCACCACACCTGGCTAATTTTTCTATTTTTGGCAGAGAATGGGTCTCGATCTTGCTCCGGCTGGTCTTGAACTCCTGATCTCAAGCGATCCTCTAGCCTCAGCCATCCTCTCCAGTTTTTAAATCTCCCTGGAAACGCCCTTGGAATTGCAACCGTGTTCAGTGTTGCGTGGACACTCATGACAGAAATGGCTGCAATACAGGAGGGCCTCTTGGAAAATGTGTTTTCTGGGGTTCCCTCCAACACGTTTTTGTTTTCAGGGAGGCCTGGGAGGTTTCTGGGAAAGCAGTATAAACTATGTATAAACTACAGGGAGACCTGGGATGTCAGTTCTCTCTTTCTGATGCTCTCTCTATGGATGCTGCCTTACTCCACCTGGTATTTTAAAAATCACTGTTACCTAACAACAGAGGATTAATGATAAAAACACACACACAAAACCCATTATGGTCCATCCATACAGGAAAAACCAGGCAGCCATTACAAAAATGGAGTCATGCTAGAGCTAGTGATCTGAAACTATCATCAAGAGACGCAGTACTAAGTAACAGAAGCAAGTTGCATCACAGCGTAATGTATGAAACACAGTGTGCGATAAGTGTCCTCTCTCTCTCTTTTCTATGCACATAGTGTGGCGACTGCATTGCTTTTCACCCACACTTGGGGTCTCTCCCTGAAGAGCTTCTCCCTGCAGGAAGAGGACACATACCAGGGGTTGGCACACTATGGCCCTCAGGCCAAATCTGGCCTGCTGCTTCTTTTTGCACAGCTCATGGGTTAAGGATGGATTTTTAAATTTTTTAACAGTGTCTTATCTATGGTTCCTTTCATACTACAAAGTCAGAGGTGCCTCCTACAGAGACCACATGTCCCAGGAAGCCTAAATTGTTTACTGTTCCACCCCTGATCCGTACCCTCCCTGTTGAACTCAGGTGTGACTATGCAACTTGTCTTGGCCAATGACACATGGGCAGAAGTTACGTTTCACTTCTGGTCAGAAGCTTTGAAGAGTCAGTGCATGCTTCCCCATGCACTCTCTCTTCCCACTTTATAAGACTGTACATATTCTGGATAAAAGCTATTCTGGATAAAAGTTACTCTGGGTTCTTGAAAAAAGATGATGTGGATCAGAGCTGCAGTTCACCAATAGGGTCATGTGCCATAAATGAGATTTGGGGGATGTTTGTTACTGCAGCATGCTCTCACCTATCCTAACTAATACACATGGAAAATATGTAGTACAATGGTTTTCAAGCCTGGCTATGCACTGTAATCCTCTGGGGAGCATTCGAAAATCCTGATACCCAGGATGCTCCCCAGACCAATGAAATAAGAACTTCTGAGAGTGAGGTCCAGGTACCAGGAAGTTTAAATTTCCCCAGGTGATTCCAATGTGCAGCCAAGGTTAGGCAATACTAACGCATTATTGGTAATATTCCTGGCTAATCTCTATTAAGTGTTTTCTCTATGCCACTTTACAAGTATTAACTCATTTAATCCCCACAAAGCTCTAGGAGGCAAACACTATTATTTTCCCATTGCTGTGGTTTGGACGTGGTGTGTCCCCGTCAAAACTCATGTTGAAATTTGATCCCCAATGTGGCTGCATTAGGAGGTGTTTGTGTCATGGGTGCAGATCCCTCATAAATAGATTAATTCTTTTCTCAGGAATAGATTAGTTCCCATGAGAGTAGGTTGTTCAAAGAGTTTGGCTTTCTCAGTTTCACTTCCTCTCTTGCTGCATGGTCTCTCTGCACATGCTCACTCCCTTTCCACTTCCCACCATGATAGGAAGCAACCTGAGGCCCTCACCAGGTGCAGCTGCCCAGTCATGAACTTTCCAGCCACCAGAATCATAAGCCAAATACTCTCCAGCCCTGATCTTTCTTTTATTTTTATAAATTATCCTGCCTTGGGTATTGTGTTATAGCAACACTAAACAGACTAAGACACCCAGTTCATCGATGAGAAAAATGAGGCGCGCCAAGGTTAGGTAGCTTGTTCAAGGCCACACAAGCTAACAAGTGCTGGGATTTGAACCTAGGTAATCTGGTTCCAGACCAAGACTGCTTCTGAGGAGAACTCAAAGGGGTTGAGTTGGCAAAGAATAAAGGGGGCCTTGTACCCTCACTCTTTACACTTTCTTTTCATGTTTGAAAATTTTACTGGGAAGGTATATTACTTTTTTTTGAGACAGAGTCTTGCTTGGTTGCCCCAAGTAGAATGCCGTGGCATCAGCCTAGCTCACAGCAACCTCAAACACCTGAGCTCAAGCGACCCTCCTGCCTCAGCCTTCTGGGTAGCTGGGACTATAGGTATGTGCCATGACACCAGGCTAATTTTTCTATTTTTAGTAGAGATGGGGTCTTGCTCAGGTTGGTCTCAAACTCCTGACCTCGAGTGATCCTCCCACCTCGGCCTCCCAGGGTGCTAGCATTACAGGCGCAAGCCATCGCTCCCGCCTGGTGCATTACTTCTATTATAAAAATAAATAATTAACAGCATAAACCCTTCTTGACCCTTAAAAAAATGTGGCTGGTGATGTCAGTTTCACACACAGGACTGTGGAGAACCAGGCCCAGGAATGCAGCCATTAGGAGGAACACCTCATCAGAGCCCCAGGAGCAAAGCTTAGCACTCCCTCCTGGCTGGAAGTCTGCGGGGGCAGGGTTCGGTGAGAAACAAAGAGCAAATGAGGAAAACAAACGGCTCAGGGCCTAGGAGGGAATCAGAGTGTGACCTGAGAGAGAGAAAGTTCTGGGGGTGTTTCCACGAATGACTCACAGCTGAAGCGTTTCACCTCTGCGCAAAGACATTCCTCTTTGACGGGGCCACTCGGCTACGCGTGCACCAATCCACCTACGACCAGCCCTCAACGTGCTGGGCCAGGGGCAAGCAGCAGCTGTCAACCCGGACTCGTCTGCCAAACGGATTTACTCAGAAAGATGTCACCTCTCAGGCCAGCACACAGAGAGGGAAAAATAATCCCTGCCTATGAAATGGCTTCTCTGTGAAAAGTGCCTGTTATAAAAAGGCAAATGCCGCATGTTGATAAAGCTCAAGTCATGACTGATTGATGTTGGGAGGATATGAAGAGACAGTCTGCACGTGTGTGATGGGGGCAAGGGTGAGAGAAGGGACTCTAATTCTCATCTTATATTTCGGGAAGTCAGAGATCATGCCCAAAATGGCAAAAAAAAACAAAAAAAAAAAAAACAAAACACAATCAAGAAGTAGCAACATAAGCACGTTACTTAGAAATCTGGAGGTAAGTCCCAAAAGCATCAGCAAAGGTTGAAAGCTGTTGCCTCTGGGCAGAAAGAAAGAGTGGGGGCGGGGGTGGGGGCAGGGTCACTGGGGACTGCTGTTTTCCATATATTTTTCTCTATAAAACTATATGATTTTTTAAAATTGATTTTATTTTTTAATTTTAGAGATGAGGGTCTCGCTCTTGCTCAGGCTGGTCTTGAACTCCTGAGCTCAAACGATCTGCCCACCTCAGCCTCCCAGAGTGCTAGGATTATAGGTGTGAGCCACCGCGCCCGGCCTGATTTCTTTTTTTTAAGAGAAGGTCTTGCTCTGTCGTCCAGGCTAGAGTGCAGGGGCGAGATCATAGCTCACTGTAACTTTGGACTCCTGAGCTCATGTGATCTTCCTGCCTCAGCCTCCCTAGTAGCTGGGACTATAGGCATATGCCACCACACCCAGCTAATATTTTAAAATTTTATTTTTTGTAGAGATGGGTTCTCACTATGTTATCCAGGCTGGCCTGGAACTCCTGGCTTTAAGCAATCCACCCACCTTGGCCTTCCAGACTGCTGGGATTACGGGCATGAGCCACTGCACCAAGCCCAGAACTAGATGAATTTTAAACTATATACATATATGTCTTGGGTCAAAAAATTCAAAATAATAGGCAACACATTTAGTAACATCCTAGAGAAAAACTCATACACATTAACAAGGGGACATGTCAAAAGAGGTTCATTACAGAATTGTTAGTAAATAGCAAAAGATTGGAAAAAATTTAGTTTTCCAGCCAAAGGAGACTAGAAAAATAAAATGTAGTATATTCCTAAAATGGAAAATGAAATTTCAATGGAAAGAAATGAACCAGATCTACATGTACTAACATGAATGTGTCAAAAATATGTTATTGAGTGAAAAGAAATTTTTTGATTACAGTATATATTATATACTGCATGTTATTACCATTTATTAGGAACACATAAAATGTTACTACATATTTTCCATGGGTACTCATATATTTGTAAGCATCTGAAAGGATAAACTCAGTGAAAGAACAGTGGGTACTTCCAGAAGGGAGAGAGGAGGGAGTAGAGATGGTCAAAGCGAACTTCAGTATTATCTAGAATATTCTAACATTTTTTAAAGGAGAAGGGATCCAAATATTTACTGTATAATTTAAAATTAAAAAAAATTAAATACACCCAAATGTTTCTGTAGACAGCCTTCAGAACACCCACCTACTCCTTGGCATTCTATTATTAATATTTCAGGTTTTCCTAAAATTTGCTTGCATGTTGCCTAGACATGCAAGATTGTTTTAAGACAATCTAATAGGCTTAAGCTACATAGGTGGTACCTCTTTTAAAAAACGACTTGATAGAAACTAGTTGCGCAGAGGCAGAAAAGTCTGGAATAGCCCCAGAAAAGCACAAGCATTCCAGGAGTTAAAGTAACACAGAGCGTTGCCCTGGGCCAGACCACTTTATCCAAATAAAAAATGTTTTTCCAGGGTTGCAAAGACTGAGAAACTAGAAGAAAAAAAAAAATGGTGGGGATTCTGTTAATTTGTGTGAGAGACATCTGGAGCGAGGGCAAGACAAAAGCCATCGGTTTTATCTCAGGCTGCCTGCGCAGTGCATCCCTGATACGTGCCATAAACACACCGCTCTGGTCTGTTGGTTTCATTCAGCCCAGTGCGGTGGGGAGGAGAAGCCTCCGTGTTAACCCAGCAGTCCTCCTAGCCACACAAAGCCCGAAATATAGGAGCCTTCGCACCATGCTCTTCAGCCAATAAAGCGCAACTGACCCTTCCAAATCCACCCTGATCCCTCTGACTGCCTAACACCGCAGCGAGGATGAAATGACACAGCACGGGTTTAAGCACCTAGCCCAGGGCCTGGTATGCAGCAGGTGCTCCGCAAGCGTTGGTGATCGCCAAAATCTCCCAGTCCCCTGCCTCGAACCTTTCTGCAAATAACCTGTTTCTGTAAACCCGGCAGGAGCACCCGAAATCAGTTGGTACAAAAGCCTTTAACATGCTACTCGCACGAAAACCATTTTCTTAATCATTACATGCTCTTTGGATTAAAAATAAAAAATCAGTGGTTAATTTCCCAAACGAGCAACAGCATAAGTGGATTACTTAAAAATAAATACATAAAGTGATCAATTTAAACCAGAACAGAGAACTGAGAAAAAGGGATTTCCCCACATGGGCTTCAGAGTGTGACTGGTCGTTGGAAGCACTAGGCTGGGGGCGGTGGGGCTGGGTGGATGGAATGGCGTGTGTGCTGCACTAGAGAATCTGTGGGTGGTTCTCTCCCAGCGAAGGCACAAGTCAGACAAAGGCACTGCAGATTGTTCCAGCGTGCACTAATGTTCTACAGATTTCTTGGGGCTGGCTTTGATGCTGGCGGTGGGCTCCGCACACATTCATCTAGGAGGCTGGCAGGAGGCTTCCCTGGAGCCAGCCCTCAGGGCAGGTGCCGTAGCCCTGGATGGCAGCTCCCTAACCTAATTATCACGCATTCTTGATGAAGTTCCCTTAATTAGAGGAGAATGGCGGGGCCTTTCCTATACGCGCTGCCCAGAGATCTGCCTTGCGGATCGCTGTCTTGTGATATAGTGTTGTGTTTCTTGATCAAAGGACTAGCGTAGAAAAGTCTTTCCCCAAAACAAAATTAATCCGAGGCAAAACAAACACGAAGAAAATGGCACGTAAATTCTCAGAGGTCTCAAGATTTGAATGCCAGAAGTTAGTTAAGACCACGACAGTCGTTTTCCAACAAGTGTCTCTACCGTCCTCAAATTTATCAGCGCTCCGGTGGCAGCCACGTTGGGAGTCTATCTCCCATTCCACATAGACTAGGAGACGATGGTTTTCCTTTCAAAATGGGGAATTGAAGTTTTTGGCAAAAAGTTGTTCTAATGAATTAGAGGTCTATTTGTCCATTAAAGAATTTCCTTTTATTTTCCAAGTTTTCTGTTTTCAGCACATAGTGTTTCTGTATTAGATGGCTCTAGAACGTGTTCAATTCAAAGAAGCGAGACCCACACATTATTGAATCAGCATCACAGCTCTTTGAACAAAGGAAGGTATGCTCCAATTTCATCCTGAAACCACGTCATGTGACTGTGGTCTTTTGGGTTTCTTCACAGTCCTGGTTGAATGATGATGATGATAGTAATAATAATAGCCAATCTTTATCCAGTGCTTTGGAGTGGAGGTTAAGAGGTGGGCCCTAAGCCCATCTGCCTGTGATGAAGGCCAGCTCCACCTCTTATTAGGTAGATGACCTTGTACTAGTGACTTAAACTGTGGGTGCCTCAGTTCCTCATCTGTGAAATGAGCTTGCTTACCTGATAGAGTTGTTATGAAGATCAAATGAGTTTTCCATAGTGCAGTTTATAATCCTTTTAGTGAAAGTTTAATGCCTAGCATTAAAAAAAAAAATAGACTAGAGTCTAGGAGTCAGCAAACTGTGGCCTGCTGCTTGCTTTTGTAAACCAAGTTACTGGGTCACAGCGATGCCCAGTTGTTCACGTGGTGTTTTTTTTTTGAGACAGAATCTCACTTTGTTGTCCAGGCTAGAGTGAGTGCCATGGCATCAGCCTAGCTCACAGCAACCTCAATCTCCTGGCCTCAAGTGATCCTATTGCCTCAGCCTCCCGAGTAGCTGGGACTACAGGCATGTGCCACCATGCCTGGCTAATTTTTTGTATATATATTTTTAGTTGGCCAATTAATTTCTATTTTTAGTAGAGATGGGGTCTCGCTCAGGCTGGTTTTGAACTCCTGACCTCGAGCATTCTACTCTCCTCGGCCTCCCAGAGTGCTAGGATTACAGGCGTGAGCCACCGCACCCGGCCTGTTCATGTGATGTTTACGGCTGATTTCACGCTACAATGGCGGTTGAGCAGTCACCAAAGAACCTAGGCGAAAACCTAAAGTGTTTGTTATCTCTTTATACAAAATGTTTGTCAGTCTCTGGGATAGGCAACAAAATATCAGAATCTATCATACACAGTCCTGTGAACTTCTAATTCAGTTGGGGGGTGTTTTTGTGTGTACACATGTGTGTAATGGGCCATAAATAGAAAATGTATGGTCATGTTAAAAATTTCAAAAACAGTGAGTTTATGACTGTTTAGAGGTTGGAACTGTGCCTGGAACAAAGTAAGCACTGAATAAATGTTAGTTTAATAATGCCTACTATTTATGTTGCTGTTAGTATTACTATTAGTACCATGTGACTTGTTCAATGTCACTTAAGGAAGTGTTGGCAATGAAACTCAGGTCAAATCTGACTCCAGACACCATAATCCTTTGGTGATGCCATGATGCCTGTTATGGCTCCTTTGCTTTGAGGCAGTGCCTGCCTTTCATGGCTTAGCTGCGTGAGTAGACAGGAGGAAGCGTTGGCAATGAAACTCAGGTCAAATCTGACTCCAGACACCATAATCCTTTGGTGATGCCATGATGCCTGTTATGGCTCCTTTGCTTTGAGGCAGCGCCTGCCTTTCATGGCTTAGCCGCGTGAGTAGACAGGAGGAATGTGCTGTCCCCCATAGAATATCCAGATGGACCACACATCTGCAGTATTTGGTGGTCTCCACTGGAGCTGAGCCACTGAGTCGATTTTATTTGGAGTCCTTGCTGTGAAGATTTAGAGCTGGAGGGGCAGGAAAGGGTTAACTCAGCGGGCCTGGGTTGCTCCAACCCTGCACATGGCTAAGAGCTGTCTGTGGTCAGGACTGGCCCTTGGAGAGCTCCTGGCGGGTGAGCTCTGAGCCCCCGGGCCACACGACTCCAGCTGATCAGACAGTTCAGGCTAACAAGGGTGAACAATCGTTTTGGCTTTGGAGCACTGGAGTCTAGTGGTTTAGATCAGTCACGCAGGTGCTACCTGCTTGTCATTGACCCTCAATAAAACCGCGGACACCAAGACTCAGGTCTTGGCAACACTTGGCA